ATATGAGCTTTATTACTTTAATTATTGACTACTAAAGGTCTCTCGTTCTCTGCTCGAGCTCGACTTGATCACAAGGATTACAAACTCTCATATACAAAAATCGATGAATTATTTATGTAAATTTAGCTGCTCAATTATTTATCCTAAAACTACATTATTAAATTTCTACATGTTTTTAGAGAAATGGAAGAAACCGCCCCGGGGGGGCGCCGGAGGGCGGCGTTCCGCTTTCTCGCCCAGCGCGACGGGCGCCCATGGGCCGCCGCCGCCGCCGCCTCGGCAAGGATCCGACACCCTTACAAAACCTGTCACTTGCAGGACGCCGTCCTGCGAGGGCCGGTCCGTGTACGCGGCGGCGGATGCTACCCTTCGAGGCCCTTCGGCGAACGCGGGGCCCCCGTCGTCGTTCGACTATTAGTAATGCGATTAACGCCCCGGCTTTTTTTTCGCAAATACCCCACCCTGAACCAAAAAAGTACGTGCAGATAATGAAAAAATACATTAATCCAAGAAATTTTTACATTAAAAGTCGTCCAATAAACGATTTCATTAAATCAATGAACGTTTGTTCATTAAGCGATGAAGAGGTACATTAAGTGATGTATAATTCGTTGATATGATGAAATGAAAATCATTGTTTCGATGAATTAAAGTTGCTGACCCAATAAAGAAGTACATTAATTCAATGTAATATTTTACATTGGTTTAATGAACGGTGTACACTGATTCAACAAATTTTAGATTTTTTCTAATAAATGTAGTACATTGATTCAATGAAATGCTTTCATAGAATCAATGAAATGCTTTCATAGAATCAATGAAACTTAGATCTTGGTTTAATGAATTTCTTTTATTGAATTAAGGAATTTTAGCTTTTGAATTAATGAACGCAGTACATTGAATTAATGAATTTGATTTATTAAATTAACGAATTTACATTTTTTGTATTATTGCTAGAAGAAACTGGTCAATCTTCGAAGAATTATTTTCGAATTATTCCATAAAATTCTTTGCATCATACGCTGGGGCGAAATCCATATCGATCTAAAAAAAATTATGGGTTAATATAGTAGACTGTAAATTCCTATCTACATATCCAGTAAGTATATAGATTGCAACATAGGCTATGGGTGCAACAAAGATAACTTCAATTAGACACTTGTAAAGGAAAAAGAAACAGTATGATATTATGTCATTGCAACTTTTCACTCTGACAACTGTTATTTTACTAATATTTCTTTGTTCAACTCATAGAAATGCTCATGTTGCAATCGCGAATGAAGCACGGTGTATAGGTAGGTATACTATTGAAGGTACTCACCAAGCTATATCCAGATGGTCGTTTGTAATAAGTTCATTTTATCATCTGAATTTTTGTGCGTTTTTTATGTCACTCAAGCGAAGTTCCAATACATGCTGCATACGTCGAACTCTTCCGATGATAAATTTTCAAACTTCAGAAGTCTTATGCACGTTTCACAAATGTCTTTGGGGCCTAAAAATTTAATATATCCAATAATTTAATGAGTTGTAGTAAAAACCATAAAAACTTACACACATTTTGTATGAATCTTGAAGTTGTTGCACTTATATCTCCCTTAGGCTTTACGTTTGTGTTTAAAATTAAATCCTAGAAATAAAATGTATAAGTATTAACCTATAGTGTACCGAATTAAAAAATGCTTACCTCTTAAAACAACAGCGCTTGAATTTTCTTCCTTCTTATAATACAAAACGAAAACGAAATTAACTAAACAGAACACTTCCAGTTCAACGCTTCAACACGAAATAACAGGAGAGAAAGAGGGGTAATTAACGGTCAACGCGATTTTCGAAAGCGTCTCTATCTATTTCTTTTTTTCTAATAGAATAGAACGGTATAGATTTGCACTCTAGTGTGTATTGCCAAAATCCAAACTGATATTCATTGACTTAATGAAAAGCGTTCATTAACTCAATGAACTCGAGACAAGAATTTACGTATCCAGTTTGTTGAATCAATGTACGGGCTACATAAAAAATTGCGAATGTGGTTTATCGAACCAATGTATATGCATTCATTGTCTCAATGAACTCGAACATAGAATTTATGTATTAGATTTGTTGAATCAATGTACGGGCAACATTAAAAATGCCGAATGTGTTTTATCGAACTAATGATGTATGTGCGTTCATTGGCTCAATGAACTCGAACATAGGATTTATGTACTCAATTTGTTGAATCAATGTACGGGCAACATAAAAAATGACGAATGTGGTTTATCGAACTAATGTATTAATGTTTTTGGTTCAATAATTAAATTTCATTAAAAGAATGAACAATTCGTTATATTAATGTACAAGTTACTTTGATTTAATGTATCGAATACATTAACTGAAATATTCGCTTTTAATGTACTAGGTTATTATATTAATGATTAAATTTCATTGAATTAATAAAAATTGTTATTGAGTTAATGAAATTTTACATTAATAATTAATGTTACAAGAAACATTGAGTTAATAAATGAATTCATTAACTAATGAATGAAAATTTATTGGATTAATGTATTATTTTATTGAGCTAATGAAAACAAGTTGAAAACATGGTGTTCATTGATATTATGTACCAAAATTTTTTCAGTGCACCCTGATTGATTTTTACCGCATTCGGCACGACGACCATTGTTTTTGACTCGTTTCAATTAATAAGGGCCCTTATCGAGGGCCCTTGGGCGGCCGGGCGAAGGGGGAAGGCCACGCGCGCGCTTCCGCTTCAAGGATTCGCTTATGCTTTCATATCGGGAGCTATTAAATTAATAATCGTGCAGCATTATCCTTGTTTAATCCTTCGACCACTTTAAATAAATCACTCTGTATTGATGCAAATGAACGATTTTAAACTAGGCAAGATACGCTTCTTAAAGCTTCCTAAAGCTCCGCGAGCTTGATCCACTTTTTCCAATTTTTTTTAATAAGTTATAACATCCTGTGAGTGGATATAGATGTACGGGAGGCTGTTTCCTAAAGCGACTCCATTAAAGCGGGCTACAGACGTAGTTGGAACACAGCCCGAGGAACTTTTTTTTGCAATATAACATTATATATGCATTATAATGCGGTCCAGAGCGCCTGGTTCGCCCGGATCTCGGTCGGCGGGCGAAAGAATGAGCTGAACGACTGGAAAAGGCCCCGGCGAAGTTAAAGCATTCATATTATATAGAGAGTTAACGTTCAAATATGCCAGAAACAGAAATTGAAACGATTCGAATATATGTTTTAGTTTTTTCCGGGGAGCGCGATTCGCTAGAATATCGCCCGACGAATCGACCCGCATGGCATCTGGGAAAAAGGAAAAAATTACGGGTTTTTTATATGTAGCTTTTAACGGGCTTTAGTTCTCGATAAGTTAACAAATTTTCAGTAACCTCCACAATTTTCAATTTATTCCTCGTTAGGAAGTATTAAAAAAACCCTCAAAAATTAATGAAAAACTTCTCGAATCTAAAAGTCAAAAATCTTCATCTATTAATAACTTAATAAACATATTTTTCACAATTTAAAGGTTTTTAACACAGTGGAAAATAATCTGGAAACGTTCACGTGGATAACTTATTGAATAAATATCAACATGACTATAGGAAAAGCCATTTTCCGAGGCAGCTTATCGGAACACGACCGCGTCCGCCTTACAACGAGTATGATATTAATCTTCTAGCTTCTGCGGTTGATGTATATTATATTGGATATTATAACCGAGGAAAAACCAAAAGCTAAAAGCTAAAGCTGTATAGGTAGTCTCTTTCTGACGCCGAAGTACGCCCGGTTTCCTTCCTCTTTTCCGCCGGCACAATCGCAGGACCGGCATGCGTAAATCCGAAAATCAATTTTCTTTATTACCTCAAGCAGCAGGCATTCGAATTCTTCGTGAAGAATGGGTCAATTGCGCAGAGTTTTGTTGGTAGTAGGAAATTGTAAGTCTAAACTAAAGGATACAATAATCGTGAGGGTACTAGTTTGAAAAAAACTTATTCAAAATTCACAAAAATTACCCAATCCTTACAATGAGTGTTACAGATCCTTTGTTGATTTGAAAATGTGGAAAATGCAAAATTCGCTCGAAAATCCGGCCCTGGATAACACGTACTCGTACAACAGTCAAAAGCTTCCCATTTCCCATTTACTTTTATTGTGTCTCTATTAATTAACAGCTTTGTAATTGAATAAACTCCGGCTGTGAAGGTTCCGCTTACGCTTCCAGGATTTCACCGACTCCGACGGTGGTGTATTTTATTTTCTTTTATTTTCGCTTAGTTACAATGTATCTACTACTAATACACAGTTTATCGAAACATTTCGTAACGTAATCCTGCGAAAATATCCCAGTCAAAAGCTTCGTTTTTCTTTAGTTGCTTCGAACGAGTTTAATTTTTTAAACAAATTTCAGTCGTCGTTTATTTCTCGATTCGTTAAGCATTCAGTCCGATTTTCCATTTATTACTCGCTTTTTTTGAATTCGAGAATTTAATTTCGCGAAAGTTCCGATTAATGCCGGCGCCCTCGGGTCCGGATCGAAATAACGAAAAGAGTGAAAAGAAACCGACAGGCCTGCGAGTCCGGGTGAAAAACAGTTTAAAAATTTAATTATCTTGACATAAACTGCGGAAAAACCGGCGAGTGGAAAAGTTCTTTTCAGAACCAATTAACTTAAAAATACGACGATTTAAAAACGACGACTCGAGATGAGAGAAAGAGCCGAGTTTTGCATCAGTTTGTTCCACTTTTTTTTCGGATTACTTCAGTAGAATAAAGGAATTTAATGATAAAATCAAAGATCTAAACCCACGAACAAAAAAATCTATATTTCCTTATCAATTATTATGTAATTATGAAATTGAAATCCACTGAAATTTCCGGTTTGTGTGTTTAATAGTAATTCAGGAACAAAAACACTGCCTTTATCATCCAAATTCAATGGTATATTTATTAGAAAATAAAAGTTCACATTGAATACAACTGTTCTATTTTCTACCTTTTTTATAAATCCAATGGTTTAACTTTAAATAATGTATGTACGTAAACTAATATCTACGTTAAAGATCTCGATAAAAATTAGGCGTTTTTGTGGAGTCCGTTCTGTATAGTGTTCAACTTAAAGTTGGGTAGGTAAATATAATTTCCCTACTTTAAGTTGTATACTAAATGTATTCATTAGGTTTGTTTCAATGAGTGTTTAACCAGTACACAAATTAGTGAATGCTTAAATGAAAAATATAGTTTGTCCCTGGAGACACCGCAGGACTTTTTATAAAAAAATACTTTTTTATTTAAACGATTTTTCTTCTTATCAACTCCATCCAGGGACACCCTGTATATGTGTTTATACAAGAACTAGGCTAGTACTCATCTGAAACGAAGATATGATATTGAATTTGTGTTGCAGAAACGGCATTTTAAACTAATATAAATGCTTAAATAAGTAGATCTAATAGACATCTGCAATTCAGTTTCAATTTTAAACTGCCGGTAATAATTTCGAATATCACACTCCTATTATTATTACTTTCGAGCAATGGTGAACTTCTTTTGATTTCTGAAAAGGTACAAAAATTTTCAAAAACACCCTGTATAAGTTATTAATTTCTTCGAACTCCTAATAATTTAATATTCGATTTTTTTTACTTACACAAGTGTAAGTACTTCTCACAGCCAGTTCACCATTTTGGATAAATTTATTTTAAAAATATACAGAGTGGCCCACTTTTAATACATCCGTTCACAGAGATATTTGTTCACGGAAAGGCTGATCATTTGGATAATACCATAATTAAAAAATATTTCAATTTCTTCATTTTTTCTCAAGTATTTTGAGAAGCATTTATCTTGGACCACTCTGTGTATAAATCAGAATTGTTACTTTTTTATTTTCGCAACAAAAAATAAAACCAATCGGCATAATAATTTAGAAATATTATGTTAAATCGACTTAGTACAAAATAATAAAAACAATTAATTAAAAATGGTTTAGCAATTAACTTACTAATTTTAGAATAAAAGCAGATTTCGCCAATAAATGATATCCCTAAAAAGTAATAAAATCCAGGACACTATTAATTAGAAAAAAGATTCCGGTTAATAAAACTTTAAACTTAAATACAAATCTACACAATCGTAATGGTTGTGTTAAAAGAACTCTAAAAAACGTGTAAAATATTCGTTAATTAAGGCAGTTGTGCAATTGTATACTAAAAAATAAATCAATTCGTGCCAATGCGCTAATAACATCACAAATCGAAATAATCCAGCATTGCCACAATTCGACGTTTTTCTTCCACATTCGAGATTTTCAAAAAAATATGCCCTAATTAATTTAATAACAGAATGACATCATTACCACATCAACACGAACCAACTTTATCATTCATTGCGAATTTTCCAAATTCCACAAACTATTTTTAAAATACTTATCGACCGAATCGTCAATGTTTACATATTCTTCCGCATTTTCACCCTCAGTTTCAACATTACCATCCCCTTCCTGCGGATCAGTATTGAGAATTTCGGTAATATCTTTAGATGTTAAATCATTTAGGATATCTTGCAGCATATCAATTTCTTCTTGTGTACTGTCCACGTACTGGCTAAGGTGCTCTTTCGGGTTATCCATTATATTGAACTGCTTTTCTTTACTTATCGATCTGGTTCTGTTTAAATTTGGCCGCGATTTCGCTTCGAAATCGCTAGAAGCAACGTCGGATTGGCTGGTGTACAAATCAGGAAAAGTCTCCTCCACCGAAGGGCTATTCAGCAAGTTTTGCATGTTACTGGAAGCCGGTAAATTCATATTATCTTCCTTGAGCTTTTCGGTTTCCTTTAGGATTTCTAACAGAGCCCCTTCGGCGTTCACGTTCTTCGGAGAAGCCACGTTTTGCTTGACTGAAGCTTGCTTGGCCGCTTGATTGGGCGAAACCTTAATAAAATTCGTCTTGTTCGCAGACGATTGATTTAAATTCTTAATGGGAATTTTAATGAATTTTGGCTTGGTGATGAATTTGTATTTCGAGGACGATTTTCCATCAGCACCAACTGTTTCTTGCTTAATTTGATGCCCATCTTTCGGAGTAGATACAGTTGGTGAAGTAGGTACAATTGGTACAGTTGGTTCTGTGGGTACAGTTGGTACAGTTGGTACAGTTGATAAATTGTAATCATTGTTAATTTGTTCTAGTTTTATCAGTTGTGTATTTAAAGTTGGTGGATGATCCCAATCAACGGTAGTTTCATTAGGATAACTAATGGTATAAGTTGGAGTTTCCTCGGGTGAATTTACAATTGGCGATTCCTCGTTAACCTCATCGTTTAATAATCCGGCTTCTCTGACATGCTGTTTAAGTATGTCATCGGTGTCTTCTTCGCATAATCTGCAATAAAAAAATGATTTCTAATGCACATTTAGGGGTAATTAATAAAATACTTACAATTCGTTTTCTCTTAATATGTCCATAAGTGAATTTTGAATTTCGGGTTTGCTTAATTTATCCGGTTGATTTCCCGGTAGTTTAATGGAATATGTTAACGGCCTTTTCTTAGCTCGTTTTAAGCTAGGGTAACCTTGGTCCTCCATGGCTAGTAGATCTTCTAAAGTATGAGCGTTCTTCCGAGGTCTTTGAGTTTCCGGATCGCTTTTCGGGAGCTTCACCGAGTAAGTTATCGAGCTACTAGTTCCCGGTTCTAATACTGTATAATGATCGGCGTTGTTTTTAGTAGGTGACTTGTTGTTTTTATAGCCTATTTCTAGTAATGTTGGTCCGACTTTGATGTTTTCACTAGGCGAAACTTGAATGTTTGGAGTTGTAAATGAATTTTGATGAGAATGTATGTAAGTTATCAAGAAATGTATGAGCATGTTAATTATCGTAGATTGTTTCGTGTACTTTAGCCTTAAAGAATTCAACTCGTTCCACAGGGCAACGTTTTCCTGCTTCAACATGGCTAATTCTTTGTCTACTAAAGTGTGCTTGCTCTTGAGATTTTTAATGTCTGTTAGCAATTCTTCGACTTCTTGTTCTTTGTGATGCGATATAGTTTTCTTGTTTAAAATAGGATTTTTCCTCCTGATAAAGGGCAATATTTCTGGCACGTCTTTCATAAAGCAAGTATGCGTGAATTGAATTTCATCTTTAATATTAGGAACTTTGTGGAAATTGTAGAAGTTGAGTTGCCTAACGAAGCTAGCCATGTTGTTGTGCTTGAAATACAGCGGTAACAACGTGGTTATGAATTCTAATTGATTGTGTATGATAAAACTATCACCAGTTGCGTTCCAACTAATTATGTCCTCGGCGTCTTTATCGTTAACCATTTTCCATAGTTTTTTGATAAATAGTGGAACATTAGAGTTAGCTGTAGTTATTTGAGGCTGCTCCTCCTGTTCAATACCTTCTTCCATTTTCAGTAAACAGTAAACACCTGGAAATAGTTTCAGAATAAGCGCCTATCAGAAAGTGATGGCTACTAAATAATAGTAATCAACATTACCTTCAAAAAGTAAGAAATTAATCAATTTTAGATAAATTGGCTTTTATCATAAACAATTTTTTTGTTTTTTGACGTTTTATAGCTGATTGACAGGTTAACTAATTTGAATTCTTCTTTTTTTCTGAAAAATTTAAATCTGTCTTGGTGACACGTGACAGCTATCAAACTGTGAAACTGTCAAAAGTTCATTTTTAGCAGGTTAAAATATGGCGTCTACTGAAAACTCCGGCGTGACCGTAGGTCAACCGAATCTACACAAACAGGACCTCTCGAAATTGGTAAAATACCCTATTACGTTTACTGCTTATTCTTTATTTACCCCATATTAATTCGTTTCGGCGAATAACACCCAAAACATACACATGTTAACATAACCTTACTTTAACGCCTGCCACATCGTTGGTTTCTGGAACATTTTCACTAGTTATTTAGCAAATTTACCGGGGGTTTTATTTTTTAGGACGTGACGAAACTAACGGCCTTATCGCCCGAGGTAATAAGCAGACAAGCCACTATAAATATAGGAACTATCGGCCATGTAGCCCACGGCAAGTCTACCGTGGTGAAAGCCATTTCTGGCGTGCAGACTGTCAGATTTAAGAATGAATTGGAAAGGAATATTACCATTAAATTGGGTGAGTGTTAATCTATGTTTTTTTGTATTTTGTAACTTATTCAATGGATTTAGAATGGATTTGTTGTGTATAGAGTTGTATCGAGCAGTGCAAGTAAAATATTTTTGTGGATATTACCTCGATAATCTGGAAAAATTCTACGGTCATTTTCTAATGCTCCAAAATGCGACAATAATATCCAAATATCATCCAGATAAAACATCTAAACCTGAACGAATGATCTTAAATCTAATTTCCCAAATTCCAGGTTACGCTAATGCGAAAATCTACAAATGCGACAATCCGAAATGTCCCCGGCCTTCGTGCTTCATATCGGGCAGTTCCGGAAAGGACGATAATTTCCCGTGCCTGCGACCGGCCTGCTCCGGCCGATTCCAGCTAGTCAGACACGTGAGTTTCGTAGATTGCCCCGGTCACGACATTCTCATGGCTACCATGCTCAACGGTGCTGCCGTCATGGACGCAGCTCTTTTACTCATTGCAGGTATAATTTATAGACTTATATCTCATAGAGCCTCTTGTATTTATTTATTTGTTTTGTTGGAAAGGCAATGAATCGTGTCCTCAACCGCAAACGAGCGAACATTTGGCCGCCATCGAAATTATGAAGCTGAAGCACATACTAATCCTGCAGAATAAAATCGATCTGGTGAAAGAGGGCCAGGCGAAGGAGCAGCACGAGCAAATCGTGAAATTCGTGCAGGGCACCGTGGCCGAAGGGGCTCCGATTATACCCATTTCGGCGCAGCTTAAATACAATATCGAAGTGAGTATTATCGGTTTTGATTGTAGCGTGTAAACTTACGTCGAATTAGGACTCTCGCCTGAGAGACAACGTTTACACGAGACCATAAAGACCAATTTACAATTATTTTTTTGTAGGTATTGTGCGAGTACATAACGAAGAAAATTCCTGTGCCTCTGAGGGATTTCACGTCGGAACCTCGCTTGATCGTCATCAGATCGTTCGATGTGAATAAGCCGGGATGTGAAGTAAACGATTTAAAAGGCGGTGTGGCAGGAGGCAGTATTTTGAGGGGAGTTTTGAAAGTCGGACAGGAAATCGAAGTAAGCTCTGATTTTTTGTTTCAAATTTTCTGATTAATTTATTATATTCGTTTCTTAGGTAAGACCGGGATTGGTTAGTAAAGACTCCGAAGGCAAGCTGGCCTGTCGTCCGATATTCTCGAGAATAGTTTCCCTTTACACCGAACAAAACGAGCTCCAATTCGCCGTGCCCGGAGGATTAATCGGAGTCGGTACGAAAATTGAGCCTACTTTGTGTCGAGCAGATCGACTGGTTGGGCAAGTTTTGGGCGCAGTCGGGGCTTTACCGAGTATATTCACCGAATTAGAGGTAATAGAAAAATCTATAATTAAAATAAATGTATTCACATTCTTTTTATGTAAATAGGTGAGTTATTACCTGTTGAAACGACTGCTGGGCGTGCGTATGGAAGGGGATAAGAAAGGAGCGAAAGTGCAAAGATTAACCAAAAGCGAAGTCTTGTTGGTGAATATCGGCTCGTTGAGTACCGGTGGAAGAGTAATCGCAACGAAAGCGGATTTGTGTAAAATATCCCTGACGAATCCCGTTTGCACCGAAATCGGGGAGAAGATCGCGTTGAGCAGGCGAGTGGAGAAGCATTGGCGTCTCATCGGGTGGGGTCAGATCCGCGGAGGGGATACCATCGAGCCCACTAGTAATTAATTAATTTTGAATTTATTTATTTTGACTTGAATATTTACTACTGTTGTATTTCTTGTAAGTTTGTTCTTCATTTTTTACAAATAAATAAATTTGAAATAATGAATCATTTCGAATTTCTACTTTGTTCATCCATTCTAACACTATACTAAATGTGATACACAAGTATTAAATATAACTTTTATTAAACTGAAAAATTTCACAAAAAAATAGAATCGTATAAACAAATATATACATATATAAATATATATAGTAACATTTATAGTTTAGGTTTGGCATTAAATAAATTAATAGCCCTAAATTACGTATTTCTTCGACAGGTAAAATCGAACTAGTACAATAATATTAATGATAATAGAAATTTGTACGATTGACTTTTATAAGATCACATGTTTTTAACTGCTACTTACCTAAAAAATCTATACGTATTTGAATTTAATTCGCAATGAGTCTACACGACTTCTAAAAAGATACGGCTATAATATATTTAACAAATTATCCTACTTAGTATAAAAAAGGTAATATTTAAATCTTTTTTTTAGTATCAAAATAGAAGCTACCTATAAACCCATTGCAGTTGTACTACATGTATTATTTCTCTTGGTGCTGTTGGGAATTGTAAATTATGGCCCTGGTCAATTGAACTAATTGAGCCCCTTCATTAGTAAAATGGCAGGCAAAAAGGAGCAGATTTCTCGGCTCCACTTTCCAGGCGAATCTCATAAACATGGCGGAATACAGGCAAAGAGCTAAAGAAAAATATAATTTATTGATAAAAGTACTTCCAAATAAGTGCTCATAATCGCCGATAAAATATTTCCTCGTTCTCAATGACGAGTTTAAATTCTAAATTAAACATACATATACACACGCAATGAATAATTTACGTAATTACGTTTTTATTTGCATAAATTTGAACAATTTGCATGTATAAATAAAATAAAAACTAATGCTTTTCGACTTACCTACAGTCATAATTGGGCTAATAAATTTGGGATCCTTTTTGAAATCGCCTATAGCGGCTATGGGAATGCCCCAATTAGCTACAGGACCCCAAAAATGGGTGCTAAAATAAAAAAAAATGTTTGTAAATATTAATTATTAATTCAAAATCGTAATACCTCTTTAAATATTGTCTAAATTCTCGAGATTGCAAGTGGGCGAATGCTCTTTTTCCTAACGATGCCATTTTTATTAAATATGTTTTTGGTTTAAAACAATGACCTCTTTGATATTACGAAGGATATTCGTGACAATTTGAGGTTAAATTTGACAAGTGACATAATTTGACTTGACATACTTGTCAAATTTGACGTAATGTGTCTATTACTTGGTAAAATTTTGGATAATTCCAAATGTAAATTTTTATAAAAAATACATATATTGAATAAAAATAAAATACCTCAACAGATAATCCCGAAATTCTTTTGATTTCAACCGAGTGGTTAATTTTCTAAACACCGAAGACATAATTTGGATGTTTTTACGGAAAAAATAAAATTGACATTAGTTGTGAATATGCCAAACTACCTAGTTACTAGGCAACTAAAATTGCACAAAAAAAAATTGGTAAAAGACTGACAAATGAAGGATTGACGAAATGATAAAAACGAACTAAGAAATATATCATATATTACATAGTTTTTAAATTTTGAACAACGCAAGTACAATACAGAATCTTCTCTTGCAGCCTCTCCCAGGCAACATTGTGGCAGCTCATGACGTGCGGTAAATACTGCCTGAGCGACTCGTTTTGAGCCAAAACAATCCCGTGGCATTTCAAAAACACGCTCAAATACGCTTCGGCCAACTCGAAATCCCCGTTAGATTTCAAAACGAATTCCAAGCACTTCATAAACTCCAACATAACTTCGACGGATCCTCCGTTATCCGGCGACAAAGATTTAATTTCGAAATCGATCATGGAAGGGCCCAAAGTCTTCAATTTCTCCATAGCCACTTCGTAATTGCGGCGTTGCAACAGTTTACCGAATTCCGTTAAATTGACGAAAGTAACGGGAGCGATGAGTTTACTCTGGTCCTCTGATTCCGGTTGTATATCGAATTGTATGTTGTTTAGAGACGATACGGTAGGAAGGAAGAAAGGCGCCGCTTTGGGCGCTCTCGGGGGCTCCTTGGGTTTGTTCCTCCGCTTAATCGCGTCGAGATCGAGTAGATTTTGCCATCTCGACGTCGCAAGACCCGAGAGAGTGATTAAATCTCGGCTGATTTGAGCAGGTGAAATGAATTCTTCATCTTCAGTTTTGATTTCTTCATCTTCTTCTTCTTCGACGGTTTCTTGTCTACATTCGGGCAGTACCATTAACGGTGGGTTTTCACTAGGCGTTAGAGGTTTCAACGTTATCTTAACGTACAACGTTTTATTGCTCCATAGAAAAATGCCCAAATAATCCACGTGAGCCGTTGCTAATGATTCACCGGTGGGAGAAAAATCCAACGATACGCAAGCGGCGTCTGTTGCGAATTCATCGATTAACTGTCCAGAAGGAATATCCCAAGTTCTTATCGAGCAATCCATGGAAGACGTCACTAGCCAGCGAGAATCCGGACTGAAAGTGGCGTCCGTAAGTTGAGCCGTGTGTCCAGAGAATTTCCTTACTATTCGCTTCATATCAATATCCATAATGTCGACGGAAAAATCGTCTAAGGCTATGGCCAACATCGAACTCTCTCGATGCGATCTGAAGAAACTTATGGATTCTTCGAGAGGAATCACAGCGATCGGCGATGTTCCTAAAATTGTTATTACATTAGTGATGAATGTAATAATTTTAAAATTGCGTTACCTTTGCATTTGAATCTCCAAAATTTGATTTTACTGCCGCCTCCCGTGATTGCTACTTGATTCAAAGTATCGCTCGATGTCCCTCGGATTTGATTTTTATGCGCTGATGGGTTACCATAAGTATCTCTCCAGTGCCCGGACTGCATATTAAATCTGAAATTAGTAGAATATTTAGTTATTAATTTGAGTAAAATTAACTGGGGCTTTACCTATCTACATGTCCTGTACTATAACCGACTAAAACGAAATTACCGCAATGAGTTAGACTTAAACAAGTAGCAACAACATCTAAATTAACATCTTTATTCTTTTTGTGGAACCTTTCCGGCAACAATTTCAAATCGCCCATTTTGATTTTATCGTACGACCAGGTCGTCACCAAAGCAATATCACTGTGCACCGCCGCAATATTATCCCACTCCTTTTCTCTCGTTACCTCCGACGTAAATTGCACTATCGGAGGCATCTTGAGCGGATCCTCCACGGCTCTGCCTCTTTTTTTGCTGATTTTCCTGTTATACGAAGCCTTGCCCAGGCTCTTGTTGAATTGTTCGGTTTGAGTGTTGAATATCCTCAACGTAGAATCGCCGGCGCTGCTCAAAATGTTGTGCCCGTTCGAGCCGTGGAAACGAACGTAGGACGGTGTGGCTGAATGACCCTCTCGTATTCTCAGGAGCCTCGCGCCCCCATCGGTCATATCGAATATCCATAATTTTAGTGTGTTATCGGGCGAGGATGTAATGACTAACGGTTCGTTCGGGAGGCAAACCATACCGGTAACAGGCCCATCGTGAGCGTACTGTAATTGGCTGGATACCCTTCGTTCCTCCAGATCCCAAAATACGATGTGCCCGCAAGCGCTACCGGTCGCCATAATCGGATTGCCATCGGTTCGAAAAGATATCGAAGTCACCAAGCCCCAATCTTGCGTAAACTCCATTATGGTCTCGTCGTATTTCAGATTGTGCAGGATTATTCGACCGGTGCTCAGACCGATTGCGGCCACATCGATAGCCGGCGCCTGTTCCAGACAACTAACTCCGGCATTGAATTTTTTGAAGGTGTAAATCAACTTGGCGTTGTTGATGTTCCACAGTTGCATCCCGCCCGTGTCGCTGGCCAGCAGGATTTTGTTGATGTACGTGCTGGGGTGCAATATGGCGCTTACGTTGAAATTCTCCGAATTGAACAATAACTCCGTGTACACCGTCTCCGCTTTGATATCCCATATTTTCACGTTGTTCGATTCGTCTACGGAGACCAAATGAGCGCCGAACGGTATCATTAAACGCACGTTGTGCTGGTGGCCTTTGTACGTGTGCTTTAATTCGGTACCTCTTCTCCACGCGTATATAACTTTCCCCACTGCAGTGTAAATGTGGTAAGCGTCCGAAGTCATGCAATTGATATCGTCTGGATGCAATGGGCTTACGCTGAGCAAACCGAAGTGGGAGATGCCGTACGTGTGAAAGGATTTCCCTACACATGTGACTATCAGATTCTCTTTTCTGCTTTTGATGTAACGCACTTGCAGAGGAACGTGATTACTCACGTAACCCAGTCCCCTGGATGGTAGAAACACTGAACTGCTGCCCGGCATTGTTATTTTGAGGTGTTGAGCATTTTACTTTACTTTTCTTTAGTTGAATTGGTTTTTGTAGTACGTGTTGAGTCAATCACGCGTGTGAGAAAGTGAGGTTATAGCGTTTAATGGGATAAACAGTCTTCTTTTTTTGACAGGTTTTGAAAGAGTTTATATGACTGTAATGGTACTTTGTCAAGGGCCTCGATGTGTTAATTTTCATACAATTTTTATGAGTAACGAAATCAAATCATGAAATAATGTGTGATTCACAGACAATCCATTCGGGATTTTTCTATTAAAAAAATAATTTAAAATTGAAAAAAATAAGCTTTGTTTTTTAATAATCGAAGTACACTTTAAAAAGACACAAGAAAGAAGCAAGAAGCGTCAATTAAACACTTATCTGGTAAAAATTGTCTATAATTACTTATTATTTTCCCATGTTATTAATATTTTACATTTATTATTATTATGTTATAATTAACAAAGTTTCCAATACTTACTAAAACTATTTACTTTACATAAAATCGTTTAATATAATCATATAAAAATGTTATTATCCATGCAGCATAAATAACATTGCACTTACACAGTAGAATTAATAGAGGTTACATGCAAATTTTCACCGCCGGACATTTCCAGATGTACCAAACTTTCCTTCCAATGCCTCAAATCAGGTTTCCCCAAGCTCGAGCAATTCTCGTATCGATTCCCCTTTCGAATGGTTTCCATAACTTTCCTTTGAACGGTATCCAGATTATCAGCGTTATCGCAAATAACGCCTGCTAATGTGGTTTTCCTCAACTCATCCAGTTGCCGCTTCTCGAACACTCCGGGATTTTCGTACCAAAATCTATCCCCGCGTTTAATCCTGTAAAATTGATCCAGCAGCAAGCACGTTAATGTGGGTCCCAGTATGCTGTTTTCCATCGGAATTTCACTTAGGGCTCCCGTGTATAAATCTACATCTTCTACTTTCCTGCAAAAACCAATTAAAAGTAAGAATTTGCAAACGTAAAGTTCAGTTTTGCTCTAAAATTGCAAACTGACTGAATAGCATTGCAGTTGTGGCCTGAAATTGAAAATAGAAGATGAAAAAATGGTTTTTTTTCTCGTCAAAAGTCAAAACTCCACCAAACAACTACGGTCTTTTACGACTTGGAAAGTCAATCAACAACAATCGGATGTAATTTTTATGAGAGGTTTTCATTTGGATCTTTAGCTTACCGGTAAATCGCTTTTATGTTACGCAACGAATTCGAATCGAAAACTCCTTTGAGATCGTCGAAATTGCGCACTCTTTCGAAGCCGCAATGGCGCCTCCACTTAACGTACCCCGGCAGCCCGTGGTCTCTGCCCCTTTGTATATTCAACGAAACCAAATCCAACCCGCACAGTTTCGGCTGCTTGGCCTGCTCCACGGATCTCTCGAACATGTGAGACTTCAACTAACAAGCATAATCTCATATTATTGATAAAGAATTGGCGTATAATCGATTAATCACCTCGTCGGTGAAGTAGGAATCGCTGGCCTCTATGCTGGCGTTCATGGCGCCTCGCAGCGTCTTGTCCAGCATGTCGGATTGGTACAATTCGAACGGATTGAACAGCATTTTGTGCATTTGCACGTACTCGGGCGTCGACGAGTCGTTGGCCAGCAACTTCATCAGGCCCGGTATGATCGAATGGGCGAAGCGAAAGGCCGCCGTGGCGAAGCAATTCGCTATGTTGGGCGCCAAAGTGTCGTTGTACTTCCTGAAGTAGCCTTTCTTCGAAGGCGACAGCTCGAATTTATCCATCAAACGTTCGCCTAATAAGCGAAACTAGTTATAACAGAGCTACAAGCTATAAACTGGGTGTTTTGTTTACCTAATAAAATCGGTAGGAACTCGTTGTAGGTAATGTGCTGCATTTGGGCCGCTGTTATTTTCCTCGCTTCTTGGAATGTCCTTTCGTCGTCCCAATGGGGATTTAACCGCGATAAATTCTTTGCCAACCTGTTGTGTTGTCGCACCCATATCAAATGCATGCTGACCAAATGGAGGTTTTCGTTCGCCCTCGCATCGCCTAAACCATTAAATTTTTACCAATTACATTCCATCCACTACGCAACTCTCACCAGCCATAAAGCAATACCGTCCTCTGCTCTCCTCCTCCTCTCGATTACACCCATCGCCCGGATCGTCGGACAGCGGCAGCAAAGTACCGCCCTCCGGCGTAACGAACACCTTCATCTCGCCCCCGACCAACGTCCGCAGCTTCCTGGCGAAGCTCTCGTCGGAGCTGTACACCACGGACCCGTCGATGAACGCCGTGGCTTGGTTCATCTGCTCCCTGGGCCCCAAGCAGCAAGTGGCCGCCGGGGCGGACCTGACGAACTCCATGCAGGTGACATTGTACTCGCTGAACGGGTCCTGGGGGTCGATGATCACCGGGAAGCACTCCGGAGAGGCTGTAGTAGATGGCTCGCAACAGGAGATCGTACTGCCGTTGGATTTCTGACTTAGAGCCGTCGCGGTGATGTCGTGGTCGAGGAACTGGCCCCAAACGGCCAGCATCACCGAGAATTTGGGGTCGTCTCTGGAGCACGGCCGGTGCACCACTAGGCTGACAGTCCGGGCCGAAGGTAGTGAGGATTGTCTCGGTTTGCTGATTCCTGCGACCGGTTAAAATCTTTACACTAGCTAATTTAGTTACATAACTTACCGTCTTCATATTCCGGCGGTAGGATCCTCCTGAAAGGCGTATAAGCCACACCGAAGCTATCAGGATGAGCCAAATTGTTGCAACTACCATCGAATGTACGGTGTCTCTGCAACACGTTGCATTCCGGAATTTCCGTCCTGCAATGATCCCCTAATAGGTTGGTGTGTTTTCGGCAAATCGTTTCCACCAGTTCACCACTAGTTTTATTCCTGGAAGGTACGAAACATCGCAAGTACTATACAAGTTTCGTATACAACTCACCTATTCAAGTACTTCGAAGCGTACTCTTCGATGAACCCCCCTCTGGATAAATTCCTGGCTCTCTCAGATGTGGCGGTGACGCGCTGGTGCCGGTAACTGGGACTCTGGACGAGCAATGAAGGAACGCTCTTCTCGATTTCATCTTTAGCTTCCAAACGCTTCCTCCCTCGTTGAATGGATTCTGCTATTAAAGTGGTATTTTCTAATCGTCCTTCTTTAGGTTGTTTTTGGGAGAAATTGTAGGAGAGCAGCACGAGAACCGGGGCTTCTACGGTGGTGTTGTTATCCTCCGGATTCGGCGCTGATTTTATCCGAATGCTGTAGACTACAGTGAGCATTAACACGACGGAGAAGAGCGATCTGGAACGAAGTAATAGTTGTTTCGGGCGGATAGTGAGACGTGGAAATAATGCTTACAGAAATAAAGCGCACAAGCAGCACTGGAACTGTTTTACTCGGCGTTTGCGTTCTCTGGAAATGGCCGCGTTGTAGATGTATTCCGGCGGGTTGGGATCGACCAGAAGCCTCGTTCGTTCTGTAGGGTAACTCATATTTGAGTTTTTTTACAACGCCATTAGAGTGATAGAAATTCGAGTAGATACGCTGAATTGTACTAGTACACTGGAGCCGATAGGGAAGGAGTTTTCATTCGATACGTTAGAAATGATATTGATACGGAAGCCAATGAAGCGTAATATTGAAACCTTATATTCCGCTTTGCCTCGTAACGCAATCTCTTGTAAAATGACTAGGTTAGTACTTCGTTTATTATCGCTTAAAATAGGGATGTATTTTTTAGTTTTCATCGTACAAATTTGGATGTTGCATGAACTACAAACTAATAGCCATGATCATAATAACAAACTCGTCTTAAATAAACCAATAAATATTTATTAGCAACTTAAATTGCTTAAATTTTCTAAAATGCACCAACGGAAATCACCATTCGCAATTTTAAAGCATTAAAACCACATCACGTTTCATCCAGATGAAATTTAAATTGCCTTTATAACTCGACGTTAAACTGCACTTGTAACTCAAACATTCACAGTGCAAACCAACCATGTTGCGACTATCTGTAATCCTGGTGCTCAACATATTCCTGGTAACTTTCAGTGATTCCCAGGAAACACCTGGAAATTTCTTCAGCTGGATACCCGAAGAGTTGAGGGACTTTATTTCAGATGTTACCGCCAATTCCGTAATATCACTGACCAGTTTTATCAATAGTCTGGTGAGATTTTACGAGGAAAACGTGGAACAGCTCGATGACTTTCTGTGGGATACCACAGAAGACCCAAGTAGGTCCATCAACCACATTTATCTATAAGTTTTTAGTACTATAAGTATCATCTTTCAGAAACTGAGTACGACTTTATCGTGGTGGGAGCGGGTTCGGCGGGTTCAGTAGTAGCAAACAGGCTATCGGAACTGCCTTGGTCTGTGGTGGTGCTGGAAGCCGGCCAGCCGGAAACTTCCTTCGTAGACATTCCTTTACTGGCAGTGGGCTTCCAAGGCGGTCAGTACGACTGGGGCTACGTGGCCGAGCCGCAGGAGAACGCCTGCTGGGGCCTGGAGGACCACCGAATGCCCTTCCCCAGAGGCAAGGCCTTAGGAGGTACGTCCGTGCTGAACTACATGATCTACTCAAGAGGCAACGAGATCGACTACAACGAACTGGCTAAGCGTGGAAATCCAGGTGTGATGTACTACTAGTAATTATATGGATAAAAGGAATTAATTGTGAATAACAGGATGGTCGTACGAGGATGTTTTGCCCTATTTCATGAAGTCGGAAAACGCGACTGATTTGAGCTACGCGGAGTGGATGTACCACGGCGAAGGGGGGCCTCTCACCGTCGAGGACACCTTCCAGTCGGCCGTGGTAGGAGCCATGATGGCAGGAGGCGATGAGATCGGTCTGCCTACGATCGATTACAACGCTCCAACGCACAGATACGGCGTCAGTCCGATCCAATCGACCACGAGACGAGGCAGGAGGCTCAGCGCTGGAAGAGCCTTCTTATCGCCCGTTTCTAAGAGGGACAATTTGGACATCGTCATCGACGCTTTGGTCACCAAAATCCTCATCGACGAGAAAAAGAAGGAAGCCGTTGGGGTTATGTACGAAAAAGATGGTATAGTTTACACCATCAAAGCCAAGAAAGAAGTCATCATATGCGCAGGTCAACTAACTTTTAAACCTATTTGCTTAATGTATAAGCTAACAAGACAATTTGCAGGCGCGATAAACTCGCCTCAGCTGCTGATGCTGTCGGGCGTAGGTCCCCAAAAGCACCTGAAGGACCTCGGCGTACCGGTGGTCAAGCACCTGCCGGGCGTCGGGCGGAACCTCAAGGACCACATCAGCTTCTACGGCTTGAACTACAAAGTGGACTTCGATTGGAACCAAACCCCCTTGGCCTACCTGACGTCGCTGGACGATTTTATAAGGGAAGGTCGAGGTCCGTTCTCCACGTTGGGCGGCGTCGAGGGACTGGGATTGATCAGGACGAATTACTCCAGCTACCTACCGGACGCTCCGGATATAGAGATTTTGTTCGTGAGAGGCTACATCGGAACGGATCGCGAGACCTTCACGAAAGAAGGTTGGTGTTGTAGTTACAATACCCATACAATCGTCTATAATAAACGTAAATTAAAGCTTTCAGGTTGACAGACGATGTGTACGATCGATCGTTTCGACCTCTGGAAGGCGCGCCGGTGTGGTGTTTGATTCCGATGCTGCTGCATCCGATGTCGACGGGCGAGGTGAAACTGCGCTCCGGCGATCCGCACGATCCCCCGTTGATCTACGGGAATTACTATTCGGACAAACACGGCGTGGACGTCAAGCGGATGATAGCCGCCATACGGCGGGTGCGCGAGTTCGAGGACACCGCCGCCTTCAGGAGCAACGGCGCCCGGCTGAGCGAGATACCGGTGTTCGGTTGCGATCCCTACCAGTTCGACAGCGATCTGTACTGGGAGTGCGCGCTGAAGACCGTCAGCGTGACCATGTACCATCCGATGGGGACCTGCAAGATGGGCCCCAAGAAGGACAAGATGGCCGTGGTGGATAATAGGTTAAGAGTGCACGGTGTCAAGAACCTCAGGGTCGCCGATGCTAGCGTATTCCCTTGGGTGAGCGGGCACACCAACGCCCCGGCCATCATGGTAGGCGAGAAGGTCAGCGATATGATCAAAGCCGATCACCAATGAAAGCGGAATGAAAATAAATCTATTGTTTGGTACAAATGAATTTTATTAGAAATTTAGAAATTATTAATATCAAAAAACGCTGTTTTGCAAAGAGGTACGTCTACAATGAACTACTCGCAATTGCTTTATAAATAAAATATTGTAAGTGGTTGTGTTCCATCCTGTAGAAATTATCTTAAAATTAATGGATATAATATAATAGATAAAATACCATCTCGTAAAACACTGTATGACATTTATTGGATGGGACAATGATCTAAAATAAATATACGGGTCCGTCCCACTAAAAATCCGGACCGGATCCGTTTTGAAACTTGCCTCGTATTTTTAAAGATTAACAGTGGGACAGTCCCCAGTACAAAAAAACGATGAATCTTACGTTAATACTACAAGACAGTTCTACAGGAAATAATCGGCCTGCGGTTTTTTCGACGGTATCCCTCTCGTTTCCTGCGGCGCCGCTTCGAATATTGTAAAGTCTCTTTGCAAGTGTTCGTTCAATTCTAGTATAGCGGCCACGTTACCGCATCTACAAATTAAATTATACATTAACAAGACTCCCATCGAAGCATTCACAACGTATTTACCTGTAACAATAGTTAGGAGCGGACCACACAGTCAAAACAGTCTCATTAAAGTGCCATTTGTAGCCTTCCATCACTAACTGATGCGCCCTACAAATCATGTCTATATCGTTACTAGAATTAAACTGGGCGACTACATCGGATCCGAAGAGATATCCCGCACCTCTAGGCGATACCCCCCATCCTTGAGTGTCTATACAACAAAAAAATAAATGTAAAACAATTAAATCTACTCGTATCGAGGCGATGATGTGTTACCTTCGGGATCGCTCCAGAGTAGATCGCACATGGGTCCATCGTGGGGCACCTCTTGCTTCCTATCGATAACTCTAATTTGATCTAAGGTCTGTATGGAGGGCGAGAGACCGCCGTGAACACAAAAGATTTTCCCATCGATGATGGCCGATAGCGACAGGTAGTCGAATATCTCCGTGCAGTACCGCCACACGGTTATCGAGCCGTACTTTCGCAAACACTCGTCGTAGAAGCCGTACACTTGGGTGATTTGGCGCGATTCGTGGTTGCCTCTGATGAGGGTTATGCGATCTGGATACCTAACCTGTAAGAGGACATTTGTTAACGTGCGAGGCTTATTTGATGGAGTAAGTGTAGGCTTACCTTAAGAGCTAATAGTAACAAAAACGTTTCCACACTATAGAATCCTCTATCTACAAAGTCTCCCATAAATAAATAATTCGTTTCCGGTACATCTCCACCTACTTTAAATAGTTCTTTTAAGTCGTAAAATTGGCCGTGAATGTCCCCACAAACCTAAATAACGCGTACGTTGAGAAAAAACGTTAGATTTTTAGTGTTGAAAACTTACTGTAACTGGCGAATCGACTCTCTGAACATTACTTTCTTCTACTAGTATTTCCCTGGCTTTGGCGCAGAGAGCCTTTACTTCGCTTTCTTTGATAATCTCGCACCTCTTTAGTTGCTCTATTTGCCTATCTAATTCACTGGTATCTCCCATCTGCAAAATAATATCCACTTTAAAACCAAGCACAGATGATTTCTTCCCAGAAAAAGTAATGCTTCAAACAAAGGTTATGTTGACATATTTCAAATTACTTCGTGGGTTCTAAATAACCGCTTTTTAATAAAGCAAATCGATGTACTGTTAATTAATAGACCAGAGAAACTACGAAAAACCAAAAGAAATATCCAAAAATCCAAGCAACTCACATTTTATTTTGGTTTAAATGTACACTTTTAATAACAACGCGACTTAATCATCGACGTAGGTCTAGCTTCGTTCGCGTTTGACAACTTTGACAGCTCCGCGACGCCGATGACGTATGTCGGACATTACATGACGCCTTTGAAAATTCGATTATTTTGATAAAAAATAACAAAATTCTAAAAATACAAACTTAGTGTTACTTAAAAAAATACTTTACCAAATATATTAGGCATTTTATTTGCTCTTACAGCGAAGTACATTCAAGAAAGTTTAGAAATCAAACACGCATGCCTCATATACAGGAGTAAGCTGTTATATTCCTTAACAGTTATTTAGTTCATTAGGTAGATTATAGTATGAATTTAATCAACTAAGTGATAAAATCAACACGTATTGTTCAAGTTTACATCAAATTTGCCTAAATTACGGTATTTTAACATTTAACTTATGAATTTCGTTTATTTTACTACATATCGTTTGCACCTCGTATGGAGGAGATGAGTTTACTCTTACGTCAACTGTCATAAATGTCATACAGTTAATCATTCCGTTCTTTTTTAGCGTTCTGTATTGGCTAATTGTTTATTCTGTCTATCTCCTCTTCGAATTTGGGGAAGACGACGACGTCCGAAAAATTAGAAAAAGCGGTGTTGATTGCGCGTACGGTTAGTGTTAGTGTTTTATTTAAAAAATTAGTTATTATTTAGCGTTTCGCTCGATATTTTTGTGCTTCTACCCGAAATATTAGTGGATATAATGGGAAATATACACACAGTGGGACCCAACGAAGCCTTGATAGTTTCAGGTTAGTGGGATTTTGTATATTATAACCCTTAAATGAGTCTTATTTTCATTCGCCAGTCAATATTTATGACGAGCACTCGGTCGTTTATTAATTGTGTCGAGTTTATTATGTTCGTAAACAAACAATTGTGTGATTTTAATTGAGGATAATCAAATGTTCTAAATACAAGCACGCCTCGCCCTTTTTTATCATAATCTAACATTTTCGAAATGATATCTTCTTTTTTGTCAATGTAATTTAAACTAATGGATTAAAAATCAAGGTTAAACAAGTAATAAATTGGTAATTTGAGTTTGATTTGAAATTGAAGGAAGTTAGGTTATGTTTTTGTTTTGGTTAACTGTGATTTTACCAGGTAGTACTTTCACTTTTTATTAATCTCTACTTTCCCATTTCTTCTTTTATTCGTTTATAATGATATTTTAGCGAGTGATGCTCTTCACTGTTCTGTTAGGAATAGGAATTTTGCATTATCTAATGTAGACATTTCATCTTTTCGTTTGATTTATACACACTACACATACCTGGTATTATCTATTTTTACGATTTTTTCACCTTGAATCAAACAGTACAATTAAATCTCTAAACTCCTGATACCACAACCGTTTTCACATTAAATGCTGAAGCGTTCGAAATGCTATTAATAACTTATTCTAATTGAAATTGATTACGAATTTAGTTTTTCCATTGTAAATACCCAGTTGTTTACCAGGGAAAACGGTTTTTCGATGATGCTTTATTGTTTTCATTGTCTGCTATAATAAACTATAATTATATTGCTCCGACATGCTTCACTAATAATTTATCGTAATAATTATAGGGATCCAGGAACACCCTGTATATTCACGAACGAATAGTATTCAAATACGAGTTATCTAAGGTCACTTTTTGTTTTCTAATTTTTTTCTATTATGTAGTTGTAGATTTACAGAATACAAATTAGATTTGAATGAATACACTCGAATGTGTATTTTGATAGTGTCATAAATATTACGCAATTATGAGGATTATTAAACATTTTTTTTATGTGTGTATCAATTTATGTAATTTTTTTTAATTGACACAAAAATGCGAATTTATCTCACGAGGTCGCGACCTTAATTTCGGGTCGATATAAATAGATCTGTTCAATTAAATGGGGCGTGTGTGAGTGGCGTTTACACTACTAACATCACATCGAAAGCTTTCGTTTGATAACTTACTGCTCTAATTCGAGATTATTTACCACTCCTCGCATTCCCTGTCAATAAATAAACAACGGCATACTTAATTAATGTTTAAACATTTATTACCAATTATCATTAATTACATCGAATTGTAATGTAATCGAATACGTGTTTACTAATATAGAAACAAATCATTTTGTTGGGGAATTATACTTTGATAGACCAGCATTCTTTCAAAATGTCGGCCGCCCTTTCCGCCACCATGATCTCGGGCGCCATCAGATTTCCCGTAATACTGACAGGAATTACACTGGCATCGGCCACTCTTAATTTGTGCACCCCGTATACTTTGAGATCCTGATCCACGACGGCTTCTTTCTCGGTGGGCAGACCCATTTTAGCGGTACCGGTGATTTGTCCTCTCGCTACAGACAAGTACCTGTAAAAATAAGGATTGTATAAACATTGTGGGGTAATTAGAGTCGCACGAATGAGCTTACTTTATCGCGCACTTCCAGTACTCGTCGTTGAAAATGGCCTGGTCGCATTCGGGTATCTTTTCGTGCACCAATTTCACGTCTAACTTTTTCATGGACGGCGAATCGACGATCTTCAGTACTTTCTTTATGCCGGCCATTAGCGTGCCCACGTCGAATTCGTCCTCGTCGGAGAGCAATTCGGGGTTGATGTAGGGATGATGGTAGGGATCGACGTCGTTCAGTTTCATCGTACCTTTAGATTTCGGATGCAACAGCACGATTTCCACTTGGAAGCCCTGCTGCGGCTTGCACAGCAGGTTTTGCAGCTCTTTCTTCAGACTGTAGCCCTTGAAGTGGTAGCAACCTAACAGATAATGATTGTTGAATTAATCAAGTAACTGAAATAATCGATTTTGGTTACCTCCTTTGGGATGAGTTTTTTTGAGTAGGATTTGAATGTCCGGGTAATCGGTTCTATCTCTGGAAAATTCGGTTTTGATGAACCCAACCAGCTGTAATCCCGTCGAACTTAAAGGACCCGTTCCGTATTTCAGATAATCGATAATTTCGTTATCCGAATGAGAGTGCAACCATTTTATCTAAAAAACCACAATTACCAAACATTACAACAACAATTATTGACAAAAACCTTTTCATGCGCATCTTCTCCTTCATATTTATAGTCCCTTTCGATTCTTTGAGATTGCTGCCCGTCGTTGTAGAAATTATGAGCAACTTTATCGTCGTCTTCGAGACCCAAATTTGGTATGAACTTGGGCCCGTCGAATCTGAAATCTAACGCCTCGTGCGGAGGACGTACCTCGTTGTTCTCCTCTTCGTGAGTCTTTTCATCGTGGTGATGGGGTTCGTAGAGGAAGTTCAATCCCATGAAAGAGACTTGGTCTTTGAGATTGAAGCCCACGAACAAATCGGATATGGTGTCGATGCCGACTTTGTGGAGGATCGGGTGCGGACCGACTCCTGAGAATTAATTAGAATTAATTAAAGTTTATTAAGTGGTGATGGGAGTTTACCGGAGAGCATGAGGAGTTGCGGCGTGTTGATGGCTCCAGCGGATAGGATGATTTCTTTCTTGGCCTTGGCTATGTGGAGTTTATCGTCTTTGATGTAGGTGACGCCGTTGGCTTCTTTCGTAATGTGACTGATTAGGATTTCGGTGACGTGGCTGTAGGGCAGTATCACCAGGTTGTTGCGTTCGACGATGGGGTTGAGGTAGGCTTTGGCGACGCTGTAGCGTTTACCGTGCTTGGTAATGACCTGGCGGATGGAGTAAATTTAGATAAATAATAGTTAGAAGTTGTTTTAGTTGTATTGTACCTGTGGAATGGCGAGGCCGATGTGTTCTTTACCGTTGTAATCGATTTTTTCGAGGCCGCAATGCTTGCCAGCCTCGAGGAATTTCTCGGCTAGAATCGGCTCGGTGGGTTCGAAATTCTCCAAATGAATAGGGCCACCTTCAAGAAAATTCGTTTAGTTGATATTAGTGATTGAATAGACGTTTGTTTACCGTAATGGCGGTATTTCCTGTCCATGTCCTTCACGCAGGCGTTTTCCATTTTCTTGAAGTAGGGCAAAACGTTGTCCCAACACCAACCTTTCATGCCGGTATCGGCCCAAATGTCGTAGTCTCTCTGATGGCCTCTGGTGTACAACAAATCGTTGATGGAGGAATCTCCTCCCAAAGCTTTGCCTTTTATCACGCAACATTTGCTCTCCTCCATACCTAAACAAGCGTGCTTTTGCGGACAGGTTTTGTAGCCCCACGTGTAGCTGGTGGTGAGTAGCTGAGGTTGAACGGCCGGCACTTGAGTAATCAGGGTTTCCAAACCGCCTGCTTCTAACACCAGGATTTTCCATCGTGGCTCCTCGGATAACCGGTGGGCTAAAGTTAACCCGGCCGTGCCGCCTCCTACTATGATAAAATCGTACTCTTCCGCAGCTGAAATGTAGCTTAAATTATCACACTAGTTCGCAAAGTTTGCTACTTTTATATAACATAATAGAAATAATTACTTACCGCCTAGAGCTAGTGTAGTATTGAACTCTCCTTTGTCGAAATTATACTGTTTGGTTTTGTAGGCGTCAGACCATTTGTACAATGAGTTCATGCCGAGTTTGAATTGCCTGACGTACTCGTCGACCATGTCGAAGGGGGAAAATTCGGCGGAAATTCCCGTCGCCAAAACGGCCGCGATTAAAAACAAAACCGAACGGAGCCCTGCCATCATTTTTCTCTTCTGCTGGATCTGCTGCGGTCGCCGGTCGAACTGGTTCCGATGTATCGTGTTAATGTTCGTTTTATAGGATCCTCCCGAGATCGAGATTGGCTTAAAATATTGGGATTTTCCGTGTTTACTCTTTTTTTCTTAATTCTAGTAATTATTCTCGGATTTGTTGATATCGTTCTTATATTAATTATGCGTAAGTGCTACGCGGTAGTACGCAGTACTAGGCGATACGCGGTTACTTTTGTAGGGTTTTTATTGTTAACTATACGTTACTGAACAAATTATTGTATTTGGTTGGAAAAGACCGGTAAATATAAATAGTATCTAACCGTTATTAATTCTGTTGGTGTTTGTATAAAAAATTAATTAATTCATGAATCTTGTTAAAATACAGGAATAACACGTTAAAATTTTGTATAAATTTTGCTACAACTAACAAACACTGTTGGTGTTATTTCTAGGAATGGGTTCCTTTTAATTTTACGAATTTGGGGATTCCCTATTTGGAATTGATGTAGTAATTGGAATTTCAATACGATTAAAACTCAATATAATTATCTACTGTTTACTTATTAAAATGTTTATTTCTGATTAAAGATTACCGGTTGAAATTTATTACCAGTTTTCCTTGATATTTCTTCTACATAACAGTAATATTTTCATTTAACTAAAACCCAAAAACTACCATAAGAAACTCTATTTACATTAATTACACGTTCGAACATGGGTTCATTTCCAATCTTCCTTGATCAAATGCGCCGCCCTTTCTCCGACGACGATCGACGGTCCCACCAAATTTCCGGAAATCGTCACCGGCACGACGCTGGCGTCGGCCACTCGCAATCGATGAACTCCCATGACTTTGAGCCGGCCATCCACCACGGCCTCTTTGTCCTGATGCTCGCCGCCCATGCGAGCCGTACCGGCGACATTGCCCCTGTTCACGGCCGAATGGCGCACGGCGCACCTCCAATACTCATCGTCTTCGATGTGTTTACACGCCGGTAGTTTATCGTGGTCGAGACGGACGCCCAATTTCTGCAGAGAATGCGTTTCGGCTAGCTTCAAGGCGGCCTTTATGCCCGCCACCATGCTGTGCAGGTCCTCTTCGTCGGGGTCCGTGAGGGAGTTGGTGTCTATGAGAGGGTGGTGAAGGGGATCGGCGTCGTGGAGGCTCAATTTACCGGTGGACTTGGGGTGTAGCAGGGTGACTTCGATGGAGAAGCGGTCGTGTTCGTGGGTTTCCTTTTTAACTCGATCGCCTATAAATTATACAATTAATACTGCGTGTTATGAAGATGCTTAATTGTACCTCTTGTTACTAATAATTCGACGTCGGGTAGGTCTAGTTTTTCTTTGGAAGCCGATGTCTTTAAATAAGCTACGGCTTCGGCGCCCGGTGTGGTGAGAGGGCCGTTGTGATGGTGCAGCAATTCCTCCACCGATTCTCTGACGGTCGGGTGTTTTGCGGTGGAATTGGCGATGAAATTTAATCCGTAGAAAGTGAGTTGGTCTTTGAGGTGATGGCCCACTTTCAAGTCGCATACGGGTTCGATTTTGAGCGCTTCCAGCTCATCCTTCGGACCGATTCCTATAACGCGACAGTTATCAGATGCATCAAATCGGAGAACTATCGATTAGCTTACCGGAGAGCATCAGTAATTTAGGCGTGTTGACGGCGCCTGCGGATACGATGACTTCTTTGGTAGCTTTGGCGTTTATTAGTTTACCGTCTTGGAGGTACTGGACACCGTTGGCTTCTTTGGTGTGCGGCGATACGAGAATTTTGGTCGCCAAAGCGCCGGTTCTGATTTCCAGGTTGCGACGTTTGATGGCGTGTCCCAAGTAAGTTTGGGCCACGCTGTTTCGGCGACCGTCTTTCGTGGTGGCTTGCGGTATGGATACGCCGATTTGGTCTTTGCCGTTGTAATCCACGGTTTTGATGCCCAGCTCGTGACCGGCTTCTAGAACGTGTTTACCCAATGGCGTGGAATGTTGGAAGCGTTCTAAGTGGACGTGACCTCCTGTTGAATTTAGTATTTAATTTAATAAGGTTCGATTGGAGTTAGTTGGGTTGGTTACCGAGATTGTGTAATTTCCTGTCCAAATCCGGAATATGGGCGTCTTCGATTTTCATGAAATAAGGTAGCAGGTCGTCCCAACACCAGCCTTTGAGGTTGAGATCTGCCCATTTGTCGTAATCCTGTCGATTGCCTCTGGTGTATATCATTTGGTCGGTTGCAGTGGTACCGCCTAGTGCTTTGGCTTTTTTCAACGGGCATTTGCTATCTTCCATTGCTTAAATTCGAGTTGGTAGTTTATCGATTGAATTAACTCGCTTTAACTTACCTAAACACGAGTGCTTCTGGCTGGTTGTTCTGAAGCTCCAATCGTAAGGGGTGTGTTGTAGGTACTTTTCCATTGCCGGTATTTGAGAAACGGGTGATTCTATGTAACCGGCTTCCAAGAGGAGGATTTTCCATTCCGGCGTTTCAGATAATCTGTTAGCGATGGCTGAGCCAGAAGGGCCGGAACCGACGATGATAAAATCGTATTCGCTCGTTTCTGTAGAATAATTTGTACGTATTTCACACTTTAGTTGAAAGTTAGTTTCATTTTACAACATTACCTGAAGTATTGTAGTGTTCGGGTACGAAGTTTTCTTGTTTGTATTGGTAGGTTTCGGCGATTTTCTCCATTTCTTCGATGCCTTTGACGAAACTTTCGACGAATTCGTCGGTAGGAGCGCAAGTTGCCGCAGCAATCAGCGTTAGTAGGAAAATCGTAGACATTTTTTTCGGGCTGTAGTAATTCAAATGGTCATTAGGTATATTAACCGCAAGTCATAAAAATCTTCCATTATCCTATTAGCTAAGTAAAGATTTTTTTATTCCAAGTCATACTTCTGAGTAATTAATTTCTTGTGTAAAGTACTTTCTATTGAATAAGAATTTTTTATATGTAAAAGTGAATTGTGGTATTTTACGTTTCATTAATTTCTTTCAAGGTTGATTTTGAATAAAGGCATGTTTAAAAAATATATCGTGTTACCTCTACGTGCTAATTAATTAAAAAAAACATTTAAAAAATTAATATGCAATTTTTTTAATAAGCCCATAAGTACATACCTTTTTCTTTTAATGGTGTTTATAGTAGCTTCACTTATTGAATTAATGGTGTCACATTCAAAACGTCTTTGTTGTCGCCTTCAATGGCATCGAATAAGCGGGTGTGGAATGCAAAAATTTTATTTATAGGTTTATGCAAATAATTCAACCCAGACCCACCCATTCGCTATTAGATCGTTTATTAACTATTTTTTTGCATTGTAATAAGCATTGAATTACTAGGCTATTTATTATTACGCGGATTGTCTTCCGGTGAGTATAAAAAAACAATGGATATATTTTTTTGAGAATATTTAGGAATCTTAAGATTACTTAAAATACTTAGGAATTTGAGAAATCCGAATCCTTAAAAAACTTTGCGTTTTCGAAAAATTGCGCTAATAAATTTTACGTCAAATTTCATTAAATTTCTTAAATTTGTTAAATTTTAGAGTGCAGAAATTGGGTCCAGTCTGTATAAATTATAATACCATGCACCTTGCAAGTCACCTATCTAATCGATTTATATCGATTCGGAAGTAATTAAACAAATGGATCAAGTTCGCGTTATAATAAGCAGGAAATTAAATATGACAATAGATTCTAATAAATAAATAAATAATATGATGAATAAATAAATAAATATTCACAACCACATTAAATTAAACTACTATTCGAATGCACCCCGTACGTTTACATACGAGGGCGGTTCGTCGGTTCATCAATAAACGCCCTTCTTTCGCCACGTTCTCTTGATCAAATCCGCCGCCTTTTCGCCGATCATGTACGACACCGTCACCCCACGGCCCGATAACGGCGTCGGGACGACGCTGGCGTCCGCTACTCGGAGATTCTGGACGCCCTGGACGCGCAATTTCGTATCCACCACCGCCTCCTTGTCGGCGACGGCGCCCATCCGGCAGGTGGCTATTTGATCGCCCAAGGAAGAGGACAATTGTCGCAAGGAGCACAGCCAGTAATCGTCCGAATCGAACGGTGCATTTTCGCAACCTGGAAATCGAGAAATTTGATTAGTAGTTTGATTGATGAGGAACTTAGTACAGTGGGGGAACCACCAAGGAAAATTGGGGATTGGATTCTTCTTCGGGAAGTATAGGGATTTTTAAGTTAGTGAAATTTACCTGGAATGGGAGTTTGCACGAGTGTGGCGCCGTATTTTTGCAAAGAAGGACTGGCTGCGATTTTCTGAGCTTGTCTGATACCCTTCAGCAGCGCCTTGATATCGTGATCTGCAGGGTCGGTTAAGTAATTGGTAAATATCCGGGGCCAGTGATAGGGATTTTTGGATTTCAATTCGACGCTTCCGGATGATTTGGGTTGTAATAATACCGGTAGAATCTGCGAATAGATTATTGTATTGATCAGATGTTGGTAGATAAGTAATGTGTGATATTTACTTGTAGTATCGGTTTGTTTTCTAGCGGTTGCCAAAGAGTTTGGTATACAGTTTTGGATATTCCAAAAGCTTTTCTGTAAACTAAATTTTTATCACTGCTGATACCGCCGCTGAAGAACAGCAATTCGATGTCAGATCTTCTTGGATCAGCACTTAATGTTTCGTTTGTATTTAAATGTACAGTCGCTTCTAAACCACCTGAAAATAAAGAAGTTATTAAAAGCTAAATTAGTAGTAATACCAGCAAACCTATGGGTACTGTAAAGGCCCCTTTTCCTTCTTTGATGTCGACGTAATTATCCAATTTTCCGGTTTCCTTCTCCTGGTTCAGAACGACGGATTCGTTCAATAGGAAATTCAATCCGGGGAATAACACGTGATCGTACAATTTTTGACCAACAGGCAGATCCTTAACCGTCGGAATATCTGGAAATTCGAGCGTTTGATTTCGATCTCGTTGTTTTACAGTCGGTACAAGAAAATATTTTTTCTTACCCATGCTGTCCAAATGGGCTTTAGGCCCGATACCGGAGAGCATCAGCAATTGGGGCGAATTGAAAGGCCCCGCGCACACGATGACTTCCTTTTTGACCAGCACCTCGCGGTACTGCCTGTCCTTTATATACCTCACTCCATAAACTTGCTTAGTATCAGGACTGATGAGTAATTGCACGACTCTGGAGTTTTTCGAAATTTTCAAATTCGTCCTGCTGCGTACCGGTCGCAGGAACGTCTTCTCGGCGCTGAACCGCTTACCTTCCTTGGTGGTAGTTTGAACATAAGACACCTAAATTTATATTACTGCATTAAAGTGGTACCTGAGTATAGGCTAGTGAAATATCTTACGCCGATCTGTCGTTTACCATTGTAATCCACTCGAGGGTACCCGGCTTCTTGGGCGGCCCGGACGAAGGCGTGCGCCGATTCGGATTTGTACGGTACCTCGCTGACGGGCAACCTGCCGCCTCTCTGGTGGTACTCGTCGTCGCTGACGTCGAGGAAATCGTCTTCGGATTTCTTGAAGAACGGCAATACACTTTTGTAAGACCAGTGCGGCCATTGTTCGTAGTCGCCGGGGTTTCCTCTGGAGTACTGCATGTAGTCGATTACAGAGGTACCGCCTAGTACTCTGCCACGAGGTAATTTCAATTTACCATCGATGCAACCTATGTAAATGAGTTTTTTTAAGGGTACTCAAGTGATTTTTTAAGGGTGAGTGGTACCTCTGCAGGAAGTGTTTTGCTGTTCGGCGGAGTATCCCCAGCTGTAGTCGGTGAATTGGAAGAATTCCGCCATGTAGGGGATGTCGGTTAGGGAATTGGCTTCGTCGCCGATTTCAAGAAGAAGTACCTTCCATTCGGGTACTTCTGTTAACCTATTGGCCAATACAGAACCCGAAGCGCCCGCTCCGATTATTACGAAATCGAAACTGGTGTCGTTTATATGTTGATTTTCTGGAAATAGTTCGAGCGATATTAATTAGAGTAAAGCAGTAGAAAAAGTGTTATTGTTAACTTGCCGTATAATCCTTTGTTGGTGTGTTTGTAGTAGGAAGGCCATAGAAATCGGCCTTTTCTCGATGCACTACGAATGTTATTTGCTGGTCCGGTCGAATTTACGCCGTTTGTTAACGTTATTATTAGCAATAGCCATAAAATCCACAAATCGTCGGCCATTTTTGAACTCTGAAAGTGTTATGATTGTTTTTTAACACATTGAATGCAATTTGAATATACAGTACCTACTTAAAACAAAAAAATCTACTTATAAGAGAGTAGGAAATCGAAAGAAAGCTAAAGGTACTACTTACCAGCAGGAATACACTTTATTGCAAGTGCATATATTGAACTCACGGGAAATACTGAAATGCCCGTTACACCATCGCAAGTCTTAATTGCAGGCGAAAAGAAAACAAGTCAGGATTAACGGGATCTTCTTTAATGCATAAGTGTTACTCATCCAGTGCCGGTGGTTTTCGAATAATTTGAATGATTTCGAAGACATATAGAATCAAAATCATGTAGTTTGGAACACTAATGCTTATTGTCCGATTTATTTCCATAGAAATTTAATCGCAAGGCACATCCGGCATATTGAATTTTTCGTTGTTTTGATAAATTTTGAATAGTGCTAATTTTTTCTGTGTTACGCCACTGTAATGTATTAACCTTAATTATGGTGTACTGTGCCTGTTTGATGATTTGTTCGATATAAAATTCGTACAGTTATTCGCGCAATACCAACGTAAATGCCGGCATATTTTCTTAAATTCGCGACGTAAACTCGAATAGTTAATTAGATATAAGTATGTTAATATCTTAATTTTGTCAATAAAAATTTATTGAAAGTTTGATTTTTCAATCTAACTTTCTTCCTTCCCCTCGTAGTGATATTTACGGGTGTCGGTTGAAAAGTAGCATAGCTTTCAGCTAGCCAACATTTGGTAAAAAAATCTAACTGTATTTATTTCGAGTTCAACTGGTTGTAAAGTATAATTACATTTTTTCCAATCGAAATTCCTATGGAAATTTATGCAATGTTTTATGGTGCTTTTAAATGTTTAATGTGTTGCCTATAACACAACAAATATTTCTTGTGTATTTTATATAAGCTTAATTTCATGGTAAATATTGACAGGAGGAAGCAAACACTTTAATTTTTTTTAAGTAGTTTTATTCTGTTTATAAAAAACTTCCGTACAATTCGATTTCTAAATTTTCTAAACCATTTCTATGGCTTCTTAGTATATGGAAGCTTTTCCAACGGGAGTGTTCTTCTTGGTAAGATAATCCCTCTCAGTGATGTGATAATCGATCAAATTACCATCCATCAAAGTCTGAACGCTGGCCTCACCAGTCCTCTCGCTCATGTGGCTGGGTAGAGTTTCTTCCCTGCAATTCACACCAAATTATTAATACAAGAACCTATGAAGAAACCTACAAAATAAATTTACCTCGTAACTCTGAAGCCGTTGCCGTCGGCCTCGTAATAGACCGTCCTCCAGACGTAACCGTCATCGTAGGAGTATTTACCGTAGAGGACTCCGTTGCGTCTGACCTCGGCCTTCTGCTGGAAGTTGCCGTTGATGCGGTCGTCGATTTGCGTGGCGAATTGGAATTGGGCGTTCTTGGCCTGTTGGGCGAGCTCCTCGCTGCTCTCCACCCTCTTGGAAGGAGCCGGACGGACCTCGCTCCAGTCCTCTTTGACGACGCGGTGCGGGGCCACCGGCGGACGGACGATTTCCTCGCGGTGCACCGTCGTCTTGGCGTTGTTGTGGCGTCTCAGCTGCTGCAGGAGTTCCTCGGCGGTGGTGTCGTGGGCGATCTCGTCGCCGGAGTGGCGGTTCTCGTCGAGGTGGGTGATGGTGACGTGGGTGTCCTCGAATCTGTCTACTACAGCCGGAGTGGGGGCGGGAGTTGGGATTTCAAGGCGCTCCTCGTGAGTGATGTGGGTGAGAATTTCGTCGGGGGAGCGTTCGTCCAAAGAGGATTCGCTGCCGGTGGTTTCCATGTGGGTAATGGTAACGTGAGTTTCGGGCTCTACTTCAACGGGTCTGGAGTGCTCGTTGATGTGTTCTTCGGTGGTGACGGTGTGGACGCTGGTTGATGGGCGTTGGTTGCGGTTGAAGAGGTCGGAGAAGATTCCGTAGAGACCGCTCTGTTGGTTGGTCTAAAATATCGAATGGATTTATGATTGATGTTTGGTGGAATGTGTTAGTACTTACCGAAGATCCGCCGAAGATGTTGCTCAAAAAGTCGAAGAAAGCTGGGTTCTTCAGGACAGTTTGCAAGTCGACATCGTTTTCGTTGATCTAATAGAATTTACAAGCATTATTATTTGATGTATCTAATGATTTAATTATTAAAAATATTTACCATAGTCGAGGTGGTTGTTTTGGACGAGCCGGATTTGCGGCTTCCGTTGAGCGAGTTGAACAATTTGAGGAATTGCAACAAGAAGTCTTTGAGCTCACTGACGAAGGTGGGGTCTTTCATGAATTCTTTGAGTTGCGCGTCGTTGGCGAGAGTCGGTTCTTCATCTTCCACCGTCGTAATTACGGTTTTCTTGATGACTTTTTCGTGTTTCTGTAGATTGCACAAACATTTTTTTAATCCGACCAAAAAACCGCCAATTTGTTCTTATTAATCATATACACATCTAATTAATTACCATTCTACCATTAAAATTAATTAAAAATTTAATGATTTGTACCTTGACTAAATCCATTTACATACTTGTAAACAACTATTAAGTCGAATAGGTGTAACATATGTAAATTAGCGATGCACATTGATTAAATATTATGCACTTACGGTTTCTTTCGGAAGGCCTTGTCCTCCTAATTCATCGATCAGCTCCTTGACGTCTTGTCCTTCGGCGTTCTTCTCCTCTAGGGCGCTTGGTCTGGCCAGGACGAGGACCAATTGGCAAGCCAATAGAACAGCTACGGTTTTGTACATCATTTTGGTTGTATCGACAATCGAACAATCAGTTGTGACTGAAGAATCATTCGGATTTGCGGGCTTTATATTTCGAAAAATTAATGGCGATTTTATGGCTTCATTTTCGAAAGCTGGGCTTCGATTATTTTGTCGTTATCGGGCGGTAATCGGTAATTGCTCGGTTTTAGGAATGCGGAGATTTTGAGGAATTTTGCTATTGTAGCGAAATAATATTGGAATTTGGTGAATATAAAATGGTCTTTAGTTTTTTCGATATTAGGTACCTTACTTTTTTGGTAGATTTTTTCGTGAGGGATTTTTTTTATTTTTCATTTTTATTTAGGTATTTTTTTAATCTGACCGGTAAATTGGGCGCAGATTCCTGGAAGATATCTACATATAATTCTGTTGATTGAGTATTTTTACATACAGGGTGTTAATTAATTGAGTGCATATACTTCAGGATGTGAATATTTGGATGATTTTAAGAAGAGAAGATTATATCAATATATGTCCTAAACCTCTTAATTTTTGAGGTACAGGGTGTTATAGTTAAAAAAATAACTTTTCTATCGTAATTTTCTTATTATTATACTCCAGATATTTTTCTGAAATTTCGGACTTTGACGTCACCGGCAATAGCAGAAAATTAATTTTTGTCCCAAAAAAAGTATTTCCATGTATGTTGGGCGCCTACCAAATTTCAACAAAATATCCAAAGCAATCTCAATGAACTAGGGAAAAAATTGTTTTGGTTATTTTTTTACGCGAGAATGGTACGTCGTACGAAAGTAAGTCTTCAGACCGAATTTGCTCCAAAATAAATGAAGATTTTAAAAATAATTTTAATTTTTAGAAAAAAAAACAGTGGCGTACCATTTTTTTCTCAAATATAGTTCAGTTCAAACCCCGTGCGGACGTCACTGGTTAAAAATTAAAAAAAAATCTTTTGGCTCAAAAAGTACTCCTTAATAATTAAAAAGTGTGTACAAAATTACATAAAAATAGTAGGAGTAGGTAATAAGACAATTATGATAGACAAGTTATTTTTTTTTCTAAAATTTTTTTATAAAATTTTCTAAAACACCCTGTAGCTCTAAAACTAAAAGGTTTAGGACATATATTGATAAATACTTTTCTTCTTAAAATCATCCAAATATTCACATCCTGAAGTATCGGTACTCAATTAATTAAGACCCTGTATTTTCTTTCAATAAACTCTCTGTTCTACTCTATTCTATTCTACTTTAGCCTAGTGTAGATAATTTCAATGAGATGGTTTCATGCAAAGAAATCTTGTAAAGATAGTTCAATATTCATTTATTTATATTCACATCAATTCATCAATTAGATTTTCTATTATTAAATTGAAAATGCTAGACTAATGACCGTCTGAGATTTATTTTACCTATTTTTATTTAATCACAGTTTAAGTATTTACTAATTTCACCTAAATTATCCGGATACGATTTTCTCTATTCGTATATCGCATAAAATTCGCCGAAATTGTCTAATTTTATTTCAACTGCTTAGAAATTTTATTATAGGTAAATAAAATACTGCAGGACACTTGAATATTTATTCTATTTTCCATTTTTTTTAAATTACAACCATTCAGTTAATACCATTTAATCATTATTAAACCTTTGCAAACTTTTATAAACACACCTACAAATGATCGAATTTATTATGTATTTAATCGAATGCAAAGATTTATCCTACTTATCTAAACACACATCAAATAAATATAAAATTAAATCACAGATTAGATTTCCATTCCCCAGTCTTCTTTGATCATATCGGCTCCCTTTTCCGCTATCATATAAACGGGTGCATTGGTGTGAGCCGCCGGTATCTCGGGCATGATCGAAGCGTCTACGACCCTCAGATTGTTCACCCCGTACACCCTCAACCGGGGATCGACGACGGCCTTCTGGTCCCCGCCCGGTCCCATTTTGCACGTGCCGCTCTGGTGGTAGATGGTGAACGTGAAGTGCCTGGCCATGCATTCGTAGTACGCGTCCGAACCGAACGAGTGCCCGCTGCACTGCGGTATCGGTATATCGTGCAATTTGGTGCCGATAGCGCGAAGGGCCGGCTGCTCGGATATGTTCAAGGCCAGCCGAATGCCCTTCAGCATGACGTCCATGTCCTCCTTGTAGGCGTAGTAATTGGGATAAATGAGCGGCTTGGATTTGTAGTTGGCGTTCTTGAGCATGACCTTGCCCTTGCTCTTGGGCCGCATCAGCATCGGCAGCACCATGAAGGTGTCGCGGTGCTCGATGGGCCGGTAAACGACGTCGTAGATCTCGTCGGTGATGCCGAAGTTTTTCTGGAACGTTCTGTCCGATACTATGGAGCCGGCCTCGTAGAGCAGCTCGATCTCTGGATAGCCGTCCGGATCGTCGGGATTGGTGAAATCGTGGAATACAAGTACCTCGCAACCGCCGGCTATCGTTAACGGGCCTTGGTGGTGGTTCAAATAGGAGTCTAGATTCTTCTTGGAGAACATCCGTTCGACTAGAATAGAATAGGGTTTGTCTATCATAAAAGTTATCCCTCCGGTGGATACGTGGTCCATGAGATTGTAGCCCACTTTGAGGTTGCTGATGACTTTGATGCCCAACGAGGTGAGGTGCTTCTTGGGGCCGATGCCGCTCAGCATGAGCAATTGCGGGGAGTTTATCGCGCCCGCCGACGATATCACCTCCTTCTTAGCCCTGATTATTTGCTTCTTGCCGCCTCTGTAATACTCCACGCCGTAGGCTCGTTTAGTCGAAGGATCTATCAGTATTTTGGACGCCATGGCTTCCTTTATCACGTGCAAATTCGTTCTCTTTGAGGCCGGGTGTAAGTACGCCCTGCTGGAGCTGTCGCGCACTCCGTCTTTCATCGACGTCTGCAGCCTGGAAACGCCGATCTGGAAATCGTTAGATTATAGCGAGGATCCGTGAAATCTCTAAAGAGTTGTACCTGCGTAGCTGCGTTATAATCCACGTTGGGTATTCCGATTTGCATGCTGGCGTTTATGATTGCATCGGCAATTGGTGTTTTTCCCGGGGAGTAACTGACCGTTAATAAACCGTTTTGACTGTGCCAACGAGGGTCCATGTGCTCTTTTATGGTGAAAGTTTCCACTTTTTTGAAGTACGGAAGAACTTCATCCCAAGACCTACAATACAACGCTTATTAATTCACTATTATGTGTACAATAGTTGTCTATTACCATCCAGTATTTCCTAATTTGGCCCAGTGATCGTAGTCCCTTCGATTGCCCCTGGTGTATATCATGTAGTTCAACACGCTGGATCCTCCGATGACCTTGCCCCTGGGCCAATTGCACTGGTTGTTGTCCAGGCCCAAGCAGTACCTGTTGCTGGGCACCGTTTTGTACTTCCAATTCGCGTCGGTGAATTGCAGGTAGCTGGCCAATATCGGGAAGTCCATCATGAAGTTTTCGTTGCGACCTGAAACGGCACGAGCGTTGGTACTTCGCGAGGTGCTTAGTATTATGTTGTCTGCATACCTGCTTCGATGAGGAGCACCGTCCAGTCGGGATTCTCGCTGAGCCGATTGGCCAGGACGCAACCGGCCGTGCCGGCGCCGACGATCACGAAATCGTACTCCTTGAGCAGTTTGCTCTGCGGCATGTCCTTGGGCTCGCGCCGGAATTGGTCCTCGCCGTCGACGAGCACGCGGATGACGCCGTCCAAAAGGTTGGTTTGCTGCAGGCTGGCGGTGATGACGGTGAGCAGCAGGAACCAGATCGACGGTAGCGACGACATGGCTGGGAACGTGCAGGAGTTGTGTACGTTATTTTTTCTGCGAACACGGCGAATGGGCGTCCATTATAATATTGTCGTTTCGATGGATTTTAATTAACAAATAATTGGGAATTTGTAACTTTAAATAGCGCTTGTGTATTTACTTAAGCTTGAATATTAAGTAGGTATTCAAATGGTGGGTAACCTTTACGTGACGGTCGTTTGGAGTTTATAAATTAGGTAGGTAATTTTCCTGAAATGATTTAAATCGGTTTTTTACGTTTTTTTAATCCAACTTTAAAAATATGTTGTTACGTAACATTATAATGTGTCAAAAATAGATAGATACTATTAATTTTAAATCATCAGGAAATACGTTGGTTGTTGTTAAATTCTTGCAATTGATAATTATTGTGTTTGTACCACAATAAAAATTGTTTGAAATTATTGCCAAATATCGATAATTATTTTCTCAATCCGTTTATTGGCTATTGCCTTATTTTTTGTTAATAATATGTAATATTCGAAAAACCGCATTCTTATATGTAGGTAGGTAAGTCTGACTTATAAAAATATTTTATAATATTTTTGAAACAATTATAATTAAGCAATTTTTTACATCCCTTTAATTGGTTGTGTTTTTAATTTATACTAAAAAAAGTTATATAATTATCAGTAATAATTATAATCTATTAAATCCCAATCTATTAAAAATAATATGGGTAAAAAATGAGACATTTCACATATTTAAGGATATTTCCAAACATACTATTACATACAAGATACGCTTTTTTCAGAAATGTCTTTACGCGCACTTGCACTTTTCATTTAACTATTTGTAATACTGATATTAACTAATTAGAATGTTTTCGCAATAAGGCCAAAGTTACAAATTCAATATGTATATCATAAATAATTTAATAAAATATTTAACCTATTTTTATTTCGAATTTTTGGTGTTGCTGAATTATTAGAAATTAAAAAAGATAAAAGATAAAAAAGATAAATTATTAACTTTTAAAAATTGGCGTGAATATAGATAATAAAAACTAAATATTTTTAATAGAAATTAAAAAGAAATATTAAAGTAATATCCATAAAATTTATACTTACTTTTTAACCCCTTTTTGGGCAAAAAATTTATTAAATTTCGATTTTTCTCTTATATATTTTTCACATCACATCGGTACTAATGAACTAAAATCTCACATCCATCTAGGGCCCTTTTATTATATTTTTTTTGATATCAAGATGCGTTTTTTACTCGCTTGCAACCCGTCTCGGTTTTGTTTTTATTCAGAGGTTATATTCGCGGTCGAGAAGGTTTTTGTTCGGCGATTAATTTATATTAGCCCCCCACTCGAACCGGCATTCGTGTATTCTGATTGATGATTTACTGTCAATTACGATACCTGGCGTGTATATCGGGGGTTATTGGCGCTTTACATGGTCCGCAAGTTTATTGAGAATTACTAATGAGATGCTGGGCACTTTGACGGGCCCATTGAAATTTGATTTAGTATTTTTTTCGCCTAAATATCAAGGTAAACGAGATCGACAGAAATATGTGTGAATATTAAAAAATGAGTTTTGTATTCTAATTCTTTTTATACGATTAATAATTATATTCGTAGTGTGTTTATTTGACTGCACTAAGTAGGATTGTATTAGTTGCAGTTACAGTCTATTTTCGGGACAAATTAGATAACCATACGACATTAGTAAATACCTATCATTGACCCGAATATTCCAATTGTAACTCATTTTTAACGATCAACAATTAATCGTATTTTTTTAATTGCACTGTTGTCTCAAACAATTTTCGCAGTTCATAATTTGTACGTTAGAAAATTCCCAATCTTATTCACAGAATTTTAGTTTCCACAGCAATTACATCACTGCAATGTCGAGTGCGTAAGTAATACAAAGTTTAATCGATCAAAATTCATGAAGGATGAAGTGAACATTGTTTGTTCGAACATACTCTTAACAATTTTTGGAGATCATTTACCTTGACAATCGCCTCATTAAGGGGCCATTGCCGCATTAAAAATATATTAAATAAGAGTTGTATAGTATATTTTTTTACTAATTACATCTATTTGTTACGTTTAAACGCTTATTATCGGTTGTTGTTTCCAAGAATATATTGTGCGACCGAGGTTCCTTTCGAATTGGCACGGTAATTTTCGAAGTGGAAAATTAATATTGCAACTGATGTATACTAAAAAGTAGTTTAACTTGTTCCGTGAAGGGTATTTGCGTTGCCGCCAATAATTTATAATTTATCTAATTAGTAATTTGCATTATAATTTTCGCGTAAACTTGCGTAAAACGACTGGAGATGCCGGGCTAATTGATTGCTATTTCATCGATTATTCAAATTTTTCCTTCCTCCAAAAAAAATTCAAAACTAATTCCGTATGTACCGTCATTAATTCTTTGTCGTTTAAATGCGCATAGAAATTCTAGTCGCACAATAAACCGCCCGGCGAATCATCTCGCTTAACATTGACAATTGACAATAATATTACGGTCATTGTTGTGCACATACGACTGTAAAATTCAAATGGCACGTTTGCTCCGAAGGAGCGCGGCCTTGCGCGTTCGCTTTCTAAATACGAACTTACCTTACACATGTGCTTTTTTTAATTACAATCGCAATTATTGCAAGCGGTTCCGAGCTCGCGACAATCGAGCGCTTGGATATGCACGCATTGCGATAGAATTGTAATGATCACATCCGAAAAGCAGCGGCGTGCTCCGATTAGCCCAAGAAAAAATTGGAACGATTCTAAAGGAATGCCTTGTGATGAGCGAGAATAGTTTGCGTTTAAAATTACGATCTGAAAAGTTGTTGTTGAGGTCAAGATCGTAATTGATGAAAACATTTTTTTTAATTGTCCTGGAGTTTTTGTGATGTTTGTTGATTTTTTTTAAGAACCTGATGAGTTAGCGTGAAATATAAATTAATGATGCGATTAATTGTTGATCATTTGTTTCATTTGGCGTACCTACATCGCTGGTTATTTTACTAATATGTACGTATGAAATGTTTTCGATAAATATGCTGGATAATTTGCGTTATGGTTTCTTTGGAGTTTTAAAGGCCGACCGGACGTAACTGGGACAGACGATTGAACTATTACGAAATTATCAGCACCTGAACATTCACACGTATCGATCAGATTCTTTTTTTTTACCTTTTATCGCCATTGCGTGCGTTTTATTTATTCGTATTTACGCCTATTTTAACGATTTAATGGAAGCTATCAGGAACTTTATACTCAAACAAAACAATTTTATTTAAAACACAATAAAATTTATGTACAACCATTATACAAACTAAGCGATACCTAATCGTACCCGCCGCCCAGCCAATCCTCCTTGATCAAATCGGCGCCCTTTTCGCCCACCATAATGGCCGGGGCGTTGGTGTTGCCGCTGGGAATCGTTGGCATTATCGAAGCGTCCACCACCCTCAAACCCCCGACGCCGTACACCCTCAATCTCGGATCGACCACCGCTCGATCGTCCCAAGCCGGTCCCATTTTGCACGTACCCACCGGGTGGTACACCGTCATCGATATCGTCCTGATATGGCACTCCCAGTACGCGTCGCTGGCGAATTCGAATTCCCTGCAATTGGGAAACGGGATGCTGTGCAAGCGGCTGCCGAATTTCCTGAACGCCCGCGTTTTGCTGATGTTCATGGCTATTTTCGCACCTAAAAAAATTAATGTACGAATTAAATTCACCGTATACCCGCAGGATGTTAATTATACACAGTAATGCGGATTGGATTCTACGTAAATACCTTCGACTAAGGTTTTGATGTCGACGGGATCGTCGAAATAGTTGGCGTTGATTAAAGGGGGCGCGAACGGGTTGGCGTTCTTCAGCCTGACCCATCCCCGGGATTTCGGTCGTAGCAACAGGGGCATCAGCGTGTAGACGTCCTTGTTGGCGATGGGTTTGTAGACGGTGTTGTACAGATCGTCGGTGAGGCCGAGGACTTTCCGGACGCGCGCCCCGGCGTCGGAATTGATGCTGGCCGGCGCCATGTGGAACTGGATGTCCGGCCAGGAGCGGTTTCCTGCGGCGAAACGGATCGTTAGGCGTGATTGTGGCGTCGCAATGCAGGGTGCATTGTTCGTTATTATGCAGGGTGTCACGATGGACTATTAGATTTAGGTACGGGGAATTTGAGTAAACGTGAACTTCCCTTATTTTTTACCACTGATTGTAAGCATGTAGAATATTGTTTAGTTTCCAATATACACACTCAAAAATGTTTTGCATATTATTATATATGAAGTTGAAATGCCACTGGCTATTTATTATTTGAAATGTCTTTTGTTAAATTGGGGTTATCATATTATGATTTCTCATGCATTGAAACACCTGTCTTCAAATTTTCATTTCTGGACATCCAAAATCCTTCAAACTGCTGCAAAAAATCATTTTTTAACTTTAACACTCTGTATCTTTTTTATTTTCAATATTTTACTAAAGCAAGTTGGGTCGGATCGTAATATTTTGAGGCCCAGAATCTTCCTCTTCACTTTTGAACCATTACTTACGCACCACCCTGTATACACACTCTCAAAAATGTTTTGCATAAAAGAATAAACATATAATACAACGAATTATTTTTAAAATTTCTCATCAAAATTAGTTACCAAAAGGCATAAACATCATTTAAAAGTAACAATAAAAACAATTTAACAAAAGACATTTTAAATAATAAATTGTCAGTGGCATTTCAACTACATAATATGCAAAACATTTTTGAGTATCTGTACAAATGTAATAGTACCCTGTATAGGTGCTTCGTTTTATTTAGGGGTATTAGAAACTAAAAAAAATGTTCTGTATGCACGAATTTAAATAACGATCACATATATCAAGTTTTTTTATAGATGTTTACAAGCTCGGTTTGTTATTACCTGCACGCAAATGAATTGTTTTGAATTTGCGGTTTCCTCTACGGAAATGGAAAATTCTCCTTTAAAGCTAGCAAACTTTTAATTAATAAAATTATACTTGTGGATTACCGCATTTAGAAAAAACATATAATTATATTGAGCAAGGATTAGAAATTGGAGAGCTTCTCCATCGCCCAATGCATTCTAACAAATCCAGTTTGGGAACTTCCTATTTTACCTAGATATGTGCTGACGAAGGCGAGTCCCTCCACCCCTCCGAGGGTGGTCATGGGTCCGCGCTCGTGGGCCACGTACTGCATGGTCATGGGGAAGGCCTGGAGGCGATCTTGGACGATCGACACCGGCTTGTCGATCATGAAGGTGAGCCCGCCCATGGCGACGTGGTCTTGGAGGTTCTCTCCCACCGGCAGGTCCTTCAGCACCGGCAGATTGTGCTTGCGGAGCTCGCTTTTGGGTCCGATGCCGGAGAGCATCAGTATCTGGGGCGTGTTTATGGCGCCCGCCGAGAGGATGACTTCCCTTCTGGCGGTTACTATTTGTTTTCTGCCTGAAAAGGACGCGCGTTAGATTTCGTAGATGGCGCGGTTTGTTGGGGAATTACCGTTTCGAACGAATTCGACTCCGAAGGCTCGCATGTTGGTGGGGTTTATGAGCACTTTGGTGACGTGCGCGTTTAGAGCTACGTGCATGTTTTTTCGAAGTTTCACAGGCCGGAGGAAGGCTTTGGCCGTCGAGCAACGCGACCCTGTTGAACAATTGTATAATAAATTTGTGCCTAAAACTTTTGTAAAAAGGTTACCTCTTCTGATCGTCCCTTGGGCTACCATGAAACCCGCCTGTTCGGCGCCGTTGATGTCTCTCACCGGGTACCCCATTTCCAATCCGGCTTCCAAAAAGGCTATCACCAGGGGGGTTCTCCAAGGCGACTCTTGTATCGTCAGCAATCCACCTTGCGAGTGGTAAGGGGTCTTCGCTAAGTAGGGGTTTCTGTTGTCTTCGGACTTTTTGAAATAGTGGAGGGCGCTTTCGTAGTTCCAACCCGGATTACCTGCAACACGGTACTCGCATATTAGCACAGTTTCCCAGCCCAAAAATGCAGTTTTTGGCACTTTTTTATAGTATTTTCAGCCATTTTGATTAGGAAGGGGTGGTTTTTTTACCATGATCATGCATACTTTTTTAAACAAGATAGAATTTGCTAAATTTTAAAACTTTTTCCAACCCCTCATCTACACCGTTCTAAAATGGAAAATTTGGTGTACATATATTTTTCTGTATCGTTGGAAAATGATTTGGGATGATACTAGGGCGATTTTTTGAAATTAAACAAGGGAAATATGCTAAAAATTTGTAAATTTGGAAAATACACCGAATTTTGAATGACCATATCTCGGAAATTATTAGGTCTAGAGAGAGAAAACATATGCTTTTTTTGGCTAATTCTGATGCCTAAATATACTGCTCCACAAAAGTTAAGGAAGTTCAGAAATAATTTCGCATATTTAAAAATTTGGTGATCAAAAAGTGTGATCAAAACTTTTAAAATAATCGCAAAATTTGCGAACTTCCTTAACTTTTGTGGAGCAGTTTATCCATCATGGTAATTTGATCAAATCAAAACAATACACGAACTACCAACTTTTTTGTTAGTTATGACATTTGACGTTTACCATTGACCATTGACCGATATTACCTAATTGCTCCCACAAATCGTAATCGTGTCGATTTCCTCTCACGTACAACATGTAGTTGAGCACGCTCGAACCGCCCAGCACCTTTCCCCTGGGCCAATTGCACTGGCCGTTCTTCATCCCCAAGCAGGCCCTGCCAGTGTATTCCGTTTTATAGGCCCAATCCATTTTGGACAGTTGCAAATAGGCCGCCAGCGAGGGCACGTCGCTGATCTCGTTCTCGTCGAATCCGGCTTCCAGCAGAAGCACCTGCGAACGAGGCGAATGTATAGTAAAAGATACCGCGATGTGACGGGTTTTCGGTTACCTTCCATTTGTGGACTTCCGATAGCCTGGAGGCGACGACGGCGCCCGCCGATCCGCCGCCCACCACAATGAAATCGTAGTCCCTGTACAGGTTGCGGGCGTTGTTCACGTGCGCTTCGGGATCGTATCTGTTGTAATTGATGAACGACAATCCGGCCAGGATGAGCGGTATCAACCACAAAGTGGATCCCACTATGCCCACGGTCTTTAGGGCCGTTTGCACCAGGAGCGTTTCCAATACCATTGCGAATGTAATTAAGTGGAATTCGGATGGTAATGATTTATCACAGTTGGCTGGAAAACGTTAACGTTAGTGCGTGAGATATTAAACGTTCGTGACGTCATCGCCAGGTTAAAATGAACGTACTATACTCACGTTTTTGACTAGAAGTGCTATTTGCGATATTAGGTTTTTTTTTTATTTCGAATGCACTAATCCGGAGGACGAATTTTCATTTTTATCCTTCGACGTACGTGACCCTTCCTTATCTTGCTCGCAAGATGAAAAAGGAACATGGCTAAGACGTTGCGATTTGTAAATTCATTTTATCGACCTACAACAAACGGATAATAATTTCTAGTTGCTTAATCGTTACGAAAATATGCTAATTGATTTGATCAAAGTTGGCCGGGATCGAAATTTTTACATAACAATGCTCCGAGTTTATAATATGCTAATTACTTTATAATTTAATATAATTCGTGCGAAAATACATTAGAGTAGGAGTTTTTAGAGCGTAAAAATAATGCGTTTCTTTTTTTTTACTTCCAGGTAAGATGTCCTCCTCAATGGCGCCTCAAAATATTGAGAAAATTAGGTAATTATAATTTGTATGTATATCAAGGCAATCCGTTGTCATAGTAATTTGATCAAATCAAAAAACGAACTGTCACCTTTTTTTATTAATTTTGACAGTTGACATTTATCATTAACAATACGAGTTCGTGTCAAATTTGTCGTGCTGTATTCGGAATCGATTTTATCGGAAGTATCGATAATAATCGTCACCTATCACCTACTTCTTAAGCCCGAAAAAGGAAGTAGGCTTGTGTTATTAAAGCCGATGAAAGTGTTATGTAATGCGACTAATTCGAGGAATTTTAATTAGGCGGTAATTTCTGCATTTGAGCGTCTTTCAATGAGAATGCCGATCATCGGAAATCGACGATACTCGTTTTGGCCTCGTTTTTATTGCAATCGATGATCGAATGAACTGTCAATGTCATTCGGTGACAGCAACGCCTGCTTGATTGAAGCGATTTACATTTGAAACATATACAGGGCGTCTTAGTTGTTTATGTTGGAGCGAAAAATTCGATTTTAGAAAAAATGCGTGCTTTCGAATATCGTTAAGTGCACATAATCGATTTATTTCATCGCTATTAACATCTGGTATTTGAACGAAAGCGAATTACGCCTAAAATTATTCGCAATAAAAAAGTAATGGACCTTTAATTTCCGAAAAAACTTTCATCCGGGTATTAAGTTTTATTACAGTTTCATTCGAAACGAATTATTTTTTAATCGTAATTTCGGCAGTAAATTTTGCAATTTGTACTCGAGTTTAATTAAAATACGACGATTGCTTATAATAGGGTATTTTAGTGATTTATCGGTGTAAAATAAAAGTTAATAACAAGATGATTGTTGCATTGTGAAGATGCATTCACGTAATTACATTTCGTTGACACACTTTAATAGTCTTCGACGGCCAAACATATTATATAATTTACTTCTTTTTTTGTGTTAACGAGGTTACGAGAAAGAAATCGCCCGCTTAAATTATTTTTTACGTAATGTTATTTATAATTCGCCTCGTATGGTCTTCGAAAATCTCGAATAATATTGAATTATCAATTAGACGCTTCTTAAGAAATCACGTTTTTTGGGAAAATAATAGGAATTGTATTTATCTAACAATAATAGCGGAAAATAAAGTTTAAACGAATTTAAGTTTGAACGTAGGTATATAAATTAAAGAGTCTACCTAATGGAAAATGTAATGCTTTAGAAATTTCTTTGGGGTAGTATAGTTTTTGTTTAAATGGTTTTGGGGGTTGCAAAAGGTTGATAGTAGATTTAAATTTCGAAAAAACTAAGAGGTTTAGAAGTAAATAATTTTTCTACGAATTTTAAAATTTCCAAAAAGTTTAAGGATATATGAAAATTCTACTTATCGAATAAATATACTTAACTAAACATTCAGGTTGGTACTCACTTTTATCCCTCCGGTCGATATCCAAGTCCTTTGTAAAAACCAGATAAATTTTCCAAAATTTCCACTAATCAACAAAATTTACCACTTCACCTTTTTACACCACCAATTACGGCATAAAAACTAAAAAAAAAAAGAAACAAAAAACAAATTAAAAAAATATATACAATTTTTCTCCCCAGGACTTATCTACCTGTACAAAAGTATCGGTACGCAATATCGTGCTATAGAGAGTGAGAGTTTTTTAGTCGCTTGCAGACGGCAAACTGAACGTCACATTTCTTGAGCGGTGCGAATCCGACCGCTTCTTGTTTTGTATTCCTTTCCGGTATCTTTGGCGTTCGTGAAATATTCATCATAGGAAAGGGAATGGTCGCTTTTATGCGAGAAATTGCTACTCGAGCAGAGCAATATACACAAATACCTGCATCATTATTAGATAGACACAAACCTTCATTGATAAAAAACTTTTAGATACAAACCAATGATTGTATCAAATCAAGTGCATTAAAGAACTCCAAACAGTCGAAAAGTGGATGATAAAAATGAACTCGTGAAGTTTTAGGTCTTCGCGAAGAATTCGAATACTCGAAGGTCGACTTTCGATTCTTCGTTTCTTATTAATTTTTATCGCAAAACGCGATCCAGATCGGGTAGTATCGCTTTCTTCCTATCGAGCTCTCGCGTAATGAAGTAATACCGAGTGCCGTAAATTATCTCAGTCGAAGTAAAAGTGGACCAAGTCTAAGGTAGAATGCAAAGACTTCCTCATGGCACGAGGAGACGCCGTCACGCCGCTCTTAAATACAGGGTGTTCTTGTTCTGTTGGAGTTCTTCTGCCCGTTATGCAATGTCCCAATTTCAATGGTATTTTGTCTGTATCAACGAAGCGTTTTCTCCCTACTTTTATTGGTTTTATTTAAACTACAAACGGATTGAATATGTTACTTTAGGGGTTGTTATTGTTGTTAATTCTGGAATACATATTGATGTATGTTTTTATGACTTTAGGCGTATGTAAAGCATCGTATTAGAGATCGAATGATCATGTATACGTAGGTATTTACCACCTGTCGATGAAAACTCTTACTTTCATTATTGCCAGGGCATTGTGTATACGCACGAGTGCACGTCCTCGGCGAAAATTGCGCGATAACAATGCCTTCCGAGGAAGAAAATACGGCTGATGAGCGGTCGTTATTTCGATTTTTTTTTTGGTTGTTAGTTTTAACAATAACGAAATCGGATTCGACGACCTTCCGGTGTAAATGAGGGACGTTTTTTTCCGCGAGCAATTGCGGTAAACCCGACAATATTTGCGCTTTTAGATGAATGGGAATTCATTTTTTTATCTCTAAAAATTGTATTCAAAAAATCTATTTGAAGATTACGAAAAAATGCGCGCTTTCTAGTGAAACTCCAAGAACTCTCCGAAGATAACAAAACAATGTACGGATTGTCCCGTTTGCGAAAAAAAAAAACCCAAATATTTACATCGAGTCAAATTAAACACTCGAGAAAATCGATTTCGACGGTCACGCTCGAGCGACACGCCAAATATTTAATTTAATTTGGATTTCTGTGCGGCGGAACTTTCTTCTTCGGCCCTTCTTCTGCACGTACGGGCGATTAATAAGCGAATGAAAACCGTTTAGGCGAAATAACAACGCGTGATGTAACCCGGCGATATTTTTTTTCCTTAATTTTTCATTCAAGAATGCCGGCCCCAGAAGATTACATAAAAGCAAAACGGCATACGTGCCAACATCGGCGTCGTAAACCCAGAGCAATCGAACTGTTTTAAATACTTTCACCTGGAAATGGACGTTATGTGTGTACATAAACATGAGCGCAACCTTTTCGGCGTATGAATTTTTCGAATTACCTAACGCATATTGTTAAAATTCCTATTTCTTAATAGGTAATGAGATGACGAATTTTTCTCGACGTCCACGACTTTCACCCGATTGCAAAAAAAAGTATTGAAAACTCGTCAAATTTCGAAGTATCGGCAACGCCGCGCGACGAATTTGACAGGTAGGTTGACAAATACGTTGCCGCGTTTTTTTAATATTTCGGTAATATTCTAGAATATCGTTTTGGAAATATTAAATCGTACGCGCGTCTCAAGTGAAAGTATTAGATAAGTAATGCGTTTTGCATGTGAGGCATTAAATCGAAGAATAAAAACGAGATAATGAAGTGTAATTGGTATTAGGAAAGCGGAAGAATGGAGGTCGAAGGTGGAACGGTTTCAACTCACACGGACTCGGAAAAATCGAGTAATGCCATTCACATGAAGTTTATATTAAATTATTTTTTTGCTCGACAATTTATGTCTTTGCACAAACTTCCGGTTAATTCTTCTTTAAGCTGCATTCCTCGAGTATCTACATTTGGATTAGTTCCATTCGGTCGCGCCATTGATTTGGAATGTGTTAAAAAATTACGTAAGGCGTTTCCTTTCGATTTCTTATACACGAAATCGTGGTTATTAATCTGCAAAGAACAAAAGGAACGAGATCCGATCCGATTCCTGCGGAAATACGATTTAATTTCGTAGGCAGCGCGGACGCGAATATTCGGAGAAAGTAAGAATATTTTATTTTTGTTGTTATTGAATAATACCTGCGATTAAAACGCTTTTATATTCAAATTGGTCGTTTTTATTATAAAATGTATATTACAGTATCTACAAAAAAAAGTATAAAAAAAATAAATAGATACTTATTTAAAATGTACAATAAAATTTACAATGGTTTCGTATTAAAATTACTTATAAAATCGTTGTGCATTGACTAGTTTTATTGAAGTTGCGGCTTTAATAAAGCACCTATTTTGTACAACGGTTTTTTATAAAATACCATTAGGTACTCCAAATTAACAAGTATGTAATTCATTAGAGTCTTTTTATACCTCACCAATGTAGCTTGGCAATTCGAATATTTTAGCAGTTGATGCACTAATATAACAAATTTTAGTGAAGCGATGATAAGGTGGTAAGATTTCCATTGGAAATTTGTACCATCTGACATTTCTTAGGCATTAAAAGTCTCTTCCCTGTTTGCACTAATGCGACTTTCAATTGCAAAGCTACATTGGGTGAGATTTAAAAGGCCAGTTACAATCAAAGTACATTCGAGTACATCCTAAATCTTAGCATTCACACCTTCAACAAGTCCAAATCATCTATTATCCGCGTCACCACTGGCGCAAGTTCCGCCGCAAGAGCGCCCGATTTCGACGCCCCAATCCTCCTTGATCATATCGGCGCCCTTTTCGCCGATCATAATGGTGGGCGCGTTGGTGTTCCCGCTGACTATAGTGGGCATTATGGAGGCGTCGATGACGCGCAATCGTTCGACTCCGTACACCCTTAATCTGTGATCCACCACGGCGTCGGGGTCAGTCCTGGGCCCCATCTTACACGTGGAGGTCGGATGGTAGATCGTAAACGTGAAGTGCCGTATGGAGCATTCCCAAAACTCGTCCGTATCGAAGGCGTATTGCCTGCAACCTGTACATAAGAAGCGTTATGGTTGGTGTTTATTAAATGGGTTTGTATCGAGCTCACCGGGAAATGGTATCTTGTGCGGTCGGGAATTGAATCTCTGGAAGGCGCTGGACGCGGAAACGTTCAAGGCGATCCGGATGCCTTCCGTAAGCGTTCGCACGTCTTCTTTGTGCGTGAAATAATTGGGATTTATGTCCGGATAGACGTTGGGGTCTTTGGATTTCAGGCGCACCCAGCCGGTGCTCTTGGGCCGGAGCAACAGCGGCAGGATGGTCCAGGTTTCGGAGTTCTTCAACGGCTTGTAGACGGTGTTGTAGACGCTGTCGCGCAGGCCGCTGATCTTGCGTATTTGCTCCGGATCGGAGTTTATGCTGCTGGGGGCGAAGTGGAATTGGATGTCGGGCCACAGGCCGGATTTCGGGGCGTACTTGGTGTTGACGAACGCCAGGCCTGTGCGGGAAATCGCTAGAATATTAAGTGGTAACTAAAGGATGTGTTTGGTACCTTCGATTCCTCCTATGGACGACATCGGTCCTCTTTCGTTCATAATGTACTGCATGGCGACTTGCAGAGTTTGGTAACGTTTTTTGGTAAACGTAATCGGGTCGTCGATGATGAATGTTAGTCCTCCCAATCCCACGTGGTCCTGTAGGTTGTGACCGACTTTCAAATCGCTCAAAACCGGTATACCGAAGGATTCCAAATGCTCTTTCGGTCCTACAACAAGCGATATTTCAAATTCTCATTACTCGTTTTACGTTATTCTCTCACCTACTCCCGAGAGCATGAGCAATTGGGGCCCACCAATGGCCCCCGCGCTCACTATGACTTCTCTTTTCGCTCGCACCGTTTGCGCTCGATTGTTTCGCACGAATCTCACCCCGTAGGCTTGCTTAGTTTTAGGGTGGATTTTGATTTTCGTCACTTGCGAGTACATGGCTACGTGGAGGTTCTTTCTGTTGCGCACCGGCCGGAGAAACGCTTTGGCCGTCGAACATCTAGATCCTCTTCTGATCGTTCCTGCACAAAGTAATTATTATATTATCGTTAAATGTATGGAATGTTTTGAATAAATACCTTGGGTGAGCATAAAACCGGTCTGTATCTCCCCGTTGCAATCTCTGATTTGATAGCCGAGTTCCCTGCCGGCTTGGAGGAAGGCGATTGACAGGGGAGTTCTCCACGGGGATTCTTGCACGGTGAGGTATCCACCTTCTCGGTGGTAAGGAGTTTTCGCTAAATACGGGTTCCTGTTGTCCTCCGATTTAAGGAAATATGGCAACACGTTTTCGTAGGACCAACCCGGGTTTCCTTGTAGCTCCCAATAATCGTAGTCCCGTCGGTTTCCTCTGACGTAGACCATCGCGTTGAGTACGCTCGAACCGCCCAACACCTGTACATTTGAAGCATTCGATTAAACCGACGTCGCTTCGATGCCACATCGGACGCACCTTACCCCTGGGCCAGTTGCACCTGTCGCCGAGCATGGCCAGGCAGTAGGGCGAATCGCCGGGCGGCGACGTCTGGTACATCCAGTCCATTTGGGACATTTGGAGGTAGCCGCTCAGCGACGGTATGTCGGAGATTTCGTTCTCGTCGCCGCCGGCCTCCAGCAACAGCACCGTCCAGTTGGATATCTCCGACAGCCTGGAGGCCACCACCGCCCCCGCCGAGCCGCCCCCTATCACCACGAAGTCGTACTCCGGTCTAACCTTGGCGACAGAAAATCGAGTGTAATAGGAATTTAAACGTTTCAGATGGATCTAGGTTTAGGCGACGCTAATTACGCATTTTTAATCAAAACTTTTAGGGTTAGGGGATAAGTTTCTTCTCTACATAACAGAAGAATGTTTTTGTTCTTGCAAATTTTACCAGTAGGTCTTTCTAAGGCCACCAACTCGATGGTCATCCAGAACTCTCATCATATACTGATCTACTCATTCAACACAGGAATGTCTAGCTTGTTGTTGTTCAGTTGTTGTCCAGTCAGTGTCAATTCAGCTATCAATTTCTCGAACAATATGTGAAATTATGTATTATTAATGGAGTTTCATATACCTAGTGTCCTCAAAATAATGTTTGCGGTAATAACTCGCCTACACTTTCTAAGTCATCAATAGTTTTGTTAATTGTATTTCGAATATTGATCGTGAGGCTTCGGCGTACGTGCGTAATTCAATTTGTTTCGAACGAGGATTAGTGAAAGTGAGGATGCGTTGTATAATTTTAGTACTATTTACATGAATATCGTGTTGAATTTTATTTTCCCGTGTGATTCTTTTTTTGTGTGGGTAAATTGCGCACTTACATTTAGAATATTGACTGGGTGTTGTTCGGGATCGATGGAAATGTACCGCATGAAGGCTAATCCCGCCGCAAAAACGGGCACCAATCCGATGAAAGTCAATGGATTCGTGGACAATCCGATGGCGAAATTCGCCACTTGGCCCAATAACATCGCCATTTTACGCCGAAAATCTAAATGAACAAAAATCATCTAATCAACTAACAATTAACAATGGTAGAACAGTTTTTAGGAAACGAGGATAAAACTGATTTATAATATAATAGATTGAATGAATCATCATTAAACTGCTAATTAAATTAAAACTGTAACGACGAATCTAATTAGTTATTTTCCCATGCTACGAACTTTACGCATTAGTGGCTTACTAAACAAAACATTCCGATCCTTTCCAATTTAATAATTATCAACGATGACATTCACGCGAAGAATTACCTAATGAATAATTCAAATCAACTGATAACGTGTAATTATTCACTAGAAACAATTCAACCAGAAAGCATTCTAGGTAACCTCGATAATGGATCGTCTGGATGTTAAAATTCCACCACTTACTGTTATGGAAATTATGGTCAAATCCACATGCCCATGTTGATCTCCTGGTTGAGTATCTTGGGCGTGTAATTCCTGATGCTGACCTTCTTCATCTGAAACCTGAGCACCTCCCTGTCGCCGATGCAGGACTTGATGCACAGGTGGTTGTTGATGTAGTCGAATTGGCTCCTGGCGAAGCTCGTCCTGTCGGTCCTGCTGCGCTTCGCCGGGGCTTCGGGCGGTTTGCAGTAGAAGAAATTAGGATGGGGCGGTTTCTCTTCGATTGTATTCGACGGTTTGCCGGAGGATCTGTCTGCCGGGGTGGTGTTGTAGATGGGCAACTGGGCGAAGAGTTCCTTGAGCTTCGGCCTGACGATCACGTCTGTTTTGTATTTGATTCGACTGTCCGGGTGATGGAAATGTTTCAGCTTCTTTGGACCCTGTTCGGGTCTGTTCATTGCCTTTCACGGAAAGTCGGAGGGAGACTGTGAGAAATGTAGAAAAATAGATTATTATTGACTGCTTGGTATTTTATAGTATGTTATTCTGTTTCTTAATATAAAGAGTAGTTTATCGATTTTCACTTTAATTATTCTCGTTTATTCTACCGGCGCAAAAGAAATCTTAGTGGAAAGTTGTATTCGTACCGTGTATTAGTAATATCGTTATTACAATAAAATTGTTAAATAATCGCATATTATGATTTTGTAACGTTTAATAGCGGTTCGTTTTGAGAAAACAAGAGCGGTTCGAAATTAAAGTTAACGAGATTTATTTGTAATTTAGATTTGGTAAATAGTTTAATGATTAAATTAGGTGTACAGTAAAAACAGAAAACCTTCAAAATATACTGTGAAATTGATCAATTACGTTAAAATTACGTTCTTGCGTAAAATAGACGTTTTAGCGTCCTAAATTTCGAAATATTTCGCAAATTTTTATTGTAATTACGAGAGGAAAATTTCTAACGTACCTAATACTTTCCACGTGTACTACAAACGCTATACAGGAATGTATTGATAATTGATTTTTGTCTTTCTCTACCTTATTTTGGGCGCAGAGAAAGTTTATAAAAGATGTAGGACAGGACCGGATCTATTATCTTTCACAACAATCAATTCAAACTCTATATTTTACCGATTTAAATAGGTACTTCATTAATTCGTCTACAAATAACATTCGGTATAATTACAGGAATATTTCACCTTTAAATTCACGTTAAACAATCCGGATAAATAATCGATTAATTAATTAATAACAACCTTAAGCAGGAAGGCATAATCCTCGCAGAGCATCCTCGACTGTACCGCTTCAACTACGGTGGTTTGTGGTACGCGCGTTCACCGGGTTCACTCACACCGACTCCTGGTGCATCGCTTCGGCGATGCGCTCTCACTGGCGGGCGGGCGAAACACTGCGGGATTCCTCGGCGGATTCCTCGGCGTAGATGTCCGCGAAGCGAGGCGAAATTTCCGTAGGCGTCGCGGGAATAAAATTCACGAAATCCACGCGGCACCGGCGCGATATCGCAGACAAAAATGAAAGTTGATCTTGAGTCCGAGCGCTGAAGAATTCGGAATTGGAGAGGAGACCGGTGAAGATCGGTCGAAGTGGGGCGAATGGTTTTTCTATATTTTGTTAAAGTAGGGAGAAAGGCTTTTTTCCGGAATTGTTTATATCTTTTAAAGGGGGGAGATGGGTTTCTTGGAAAATTACGTAACTTCTAGGAGATGTACTATAATTAAAAAACCGAACAAAATCCATAAAAGCGGTAAGATAGTGAATAAATAGAAGTTGGGAGAAATCTGTTGGACATATTTGTAATGCTAACAGCATTAAAATTTCGAAATATTTTCTATTGTAATACGTGGTTTTGATTAGTCAAAGATAGTCCTATTTTTTTACGTAACTACTTTCCACTAATTAACATTACTCAAGCATAATTTTTAGCGATAAATATTTATCAAACGTTTCCTCGATCCTATATTGACACGATTTTGATACATTAAATATCGATTTATTTCTGTTCGTCTATAGGAAATCAAATTGGAATTTTATGCTACTTACCGATTAGTGCAGGTAGTTTAAATTCGATCCGGAGTTTCTTCTAGTTTTTCCGATTAGTTTTCCGTTTTTCAGATGGGCGATAATCACCGTATCTTATCCGAATCTTCACGCTAAACACGTATTAAGTGAAAGTGCAGGTTAAATCCCAACGCGAAGCGTTTCGAGTTTAATTGGTAAAAATCTTGTAAACCGATCATAATTCATTGCTAAGGTCAATGCGCCGATTTCCCGCTCTTAAATGGTATTTTTCATAACGCTCCTTTTCATTGTTATTGCTTATTTTATGTAACCAGCCATTAGTTCAAGTTGAACGAGATTAGTTAATATTTATATGCGTAGATATGCGTTTACTTTAATTGGTTTTAATTATTTATTGTTATTTTAGTGATATAGAAACTTTTAGAGATATCATTCAATTTCTGTTCACGTATTGGACTGGCCATAAATATCTCGTACAAAGGTACACTTGAAATGGGATTTCATCGATATTTTCAATAAAAAAGACTATTTTCGAAGAATTAGTAGCCTCAGAAGAGAAATTTTACGATCTTGACTTACTTTACAGCAGATATCTAACGTAGTGAGAAATTTCTAATGACCAAATTCGACAGTGATTCAATTTTTTTCTTAATTTATTTCGTTTTAGTTGGATTGTGCATTTTTGTGTTCTGATTATTTTAATGTCTGGACGCGGTCTATCAAACATTGTAAAACTAGGATTTATGGGAAAGTTTTGTTGAAACTCCATTAAATTTGTATATATTTTTGATTAATGCGAGCAAATTCTTTTTTTATACCCCACTGAATTAATTTATAGCTATAATTTAAGAAATAAAACATATTCTTTATTGTAATAAATTTATTAGATAACAAAGAATTCCCTTTATTTACAATATTATTATAATTTGTACAAAACTATTACTATTTAAGTTTATGTGAGCAATTATTCATTTAAAACATTTATTAACCCTGCATTTTTTTATATGAGCGATTGATTCAAAACACAATAATTTCTTCTAAAACGCGTTCTACACTTTGTTCATTTTTCAACACTCGTTCATTCGGAGAAAAATTAATTCATGCAATGAAACTAAACACAATTATCACCCATTGTTAAATTCACCACAAACTACGTTACACTAGCATTTCCATTTCTATCAACAGTTAATTTGGCGTTAAATTTAACATAAACGTCTCTTTTCCTGCGCCCTGCATGCTCGTTCAACCAATATTGCTTCACCATATCAGCGCCCTTTTCGCCAATCATTATAACGGGCGCGTTGATGTTACCATTAGTCACGAAGGGCATTATAGAAGCGTCGATAACTCGCAAACCAGCCACGCCATAAACCTGCAATAATCACCAAAAATTATTAGATACTCCAGCATCTCCAAAAATTCTATACTCACCCTCAATTGGGGATCCACCACGGCCCAAGGATCGCTAGCCGGCCCCATCTTAGCCGTGCAGGAATAGTGATAGATCGACAGGGTGTACTGTCTGATGTAGCACTCCCAGTACTCGTCGGTGAAGGGCACCAGGTGCTTGCAATTGGGCGGCGGGACGTTGTGCAACCGCGCCCCGAACCTCTTCAGAGCCTCCGTCTGTCCGAAGGCCACCGCCGCCTTGGTGCCCTCTCTCAACACGTTCACGTCGTGCCGGTTGTCGAGGTAGTTGTGGTACAACAGCGGGTACTCCAACGGGTCGTTGGACCTCAGCTTGATCTCGCCGCGGCTCTTCGGCCGCAGCATCATGGCGAAGATGCCGAACGTGTCTCTGTAGCTGATGTCTCCGAACACCTCCTTGTAGAACTCGTCGGTGAGGCCGTGCGCCCTCTTCACCTGCGTGCCGCCGTCCGCGGCGGTGGTGGTGCTGGTGAGCATGAACTCCATGTCGGGCCAGTCGTCCGATTGATTGGCGTATTTGGTCGATATGAAACCGACGGTTTCCAAGCCGACGGAGGACGTGAGAGGTCCGTCCTCTTTCACCGCGTATCTCAGAGCCGTGTTGCTGTTGACCAGCCGATTGATCACCAGGCTGATGGGGTGGTCGATTAGGAACGTCACCACCGAGGCTATGTGATCTTGCAGGTTTTGTCCTTAAAGAATTAGCATGTAGAAGCGAGTGGGTTAAATTTAGTGATTATTATGTACTTACCAACTCCTGGTGAATCGTGTACGACTCGGATTCCTTTCTCTTCTAAATGATTGCGAGGTCCTACTCCGCTGAGCATCAACAAATGAGGCGAATTGATAGCGCCCGCTGATAGTATGACCTCTTTTCGGGCCAGCACGGTTTGCTTCTGTCCGTTTTTGATGTACTCCACGCCGTAGGCTCTCCTCGTATCGGGATCGATGAGCACTTTGGTGACGTGCGTGTACATGGATATGTGCAGGTTCTTCCGCAGTCGAATGGGTCGCAAGAAGGCCTTGGCGGTGCTGCAACGGGCGCCGCGACGCATCGTAAACTGGTACAGAGCGAAGCCCGTTTGTTTGGCGCCGTTGATGTCGCGCACGTCGTAGCCCATCTCCTGGCCGGCTTCGAGGAAAGCGATGCCCAGCGGGGTGTTGTACGGATTGTCTTGCACCGTTTGATAACCGCCGGTGGCGTGGTGTCGTTTGTCGCGCGCTAGGTAGGGATTGCGCTGGTCCTGGCTCTTCTTGAAATAGGGCAGGATCTCCTCGTAGGACCAGCCGTCGTTGCCGTAGGCCGACCACCTGTCGAAATCCCTTCGGTTGCCTCTGATGTAGAGCATGGTGTTGAGAACGCTGGAGCCTCCTAGGACCTTTCCTCTGGTCCAACTGCATCGTTTCTCTATCATTGCCTGGCACGCGGTGTCTTGAGGTTCCGTCCTGGAAGTAAATAATTTAGTAATTCGTTTCGATTTATAATTTTAATACTAACTTGTATCCCCAATCGAGTTTGCTTTTGTGCAAGTACAAGCTCATGATGGGTACGTCTGTGATGTCGGTTTCCTGACCACCTGCTTCCATCAGGAGTACTTTCCAGTTGGATATTTCTGATAGCCTATTGGCCAGTACGGATCCTGCGGATCCGGCGCCTACTATTATGAAATCGTAGGTAGGGTCCAGGGTTTTTCTGTCGGGGTTTCTGTTCTCCGGGTCGTATTGATCGTAGTGGAAGTAAGTCATTGCCGCTATGAGGAAAGGTAGAATGGCTATTTTACCGGCTCCTATTATAGCCACTCCAGCTTTGATCGCCGCTGCTATCGAGCTGATAGCGATTACCGCCATGTTTGGTTTTAATGGCACTTTGTGAATATGTACATATTGACTAGTTTATTTATTTTGGTGTTCGATGGCGTGTTTGTTTGTTAACATAGTCTTATGATTAATTTGATTTCTTGTAGTTTCGTGTGCAAGTAGGATGTGATGAGCATTATCCTTTCGTTAGTCCTTGATACCATTGGTAGGGCTTGCTCGGGAATCATAATTAAAGTTGAAACTGTAAAAGAAATTTATTTGTATTTTGTATTATTTGCATTTATTTGAATATTTTCAACGATTTCAATTTTGCGAAATGTGAAATCAATCTCGATCGAGCATATAAAAGTAGTGCGAATGCGATTTTATCATGTTCCACTCGTGTAATAATTATAGATTATTGCAATAGATGTTAGAACATTTTTTTAAGTATTATTTTGTAGTTAAATTTGTATTGGTTTTGTGTTTTTTGTAGATATTACATAAAAATAAGACAGGTTATTTATTAATCGATATTCTTGTGTGTGCTAGATTTGATGGCATACATTCGCTTTCTGCTATTTGAATCTTATTCGTTATGTAATATGCATTTACTGTATTGAAAAATAATTTAAGATTAATTTTATAATACGCTGAATTTTCCCTGGTTAGTAATAGATAGAAAGTAGAATTTTCGCCATAACGGCCTTCATCCAATCCACCGGAGCATTTAACGGTAATAACAATAGTAATAATAATAAAAAAGAAGTGATAGTTTAAACGGAATCGAATGCGAACTTTTGCCAAGGTTGTTTACACGGTTTTCGGTCCATTGGATAAACAAAAATCGACGATTGGAAAAAATTATTGTCATACGAAACGAGCGAAATTTCGAGTTATCATTAGAGAATCGAGTGAATTAATGGAATGGAATTTGCACATTCTGATACAGACACAGAAAGTCCGAAACACTTTTGATAAAAGGTAAGAAATTTCGCAAACCGGCATTGCGAAATTTCCACTGGAATAATTATTTGTCGGCTTATATAACACCAAGAAACGATTAAAAAATGCGAGTGAATATGTATTGCATACACGCCAATTAAATTAACTATATTCGAAAATATATTTTATAAGCAAAAAATGATTTCACTCGAAGTTTATCTTCAACAAGAGAGTTTTCTCGAATGCCTAAACGTTATGTAAATACCTAATATTTCATAATTTCAAAAACATTAAGAAATCTTATACTAACATAGTTAAGCGAAATTTTTATGAAGTGTTTAATAACATGATTTTTTCTGCATATAAAAAATATATAAAGGCTGCCCTAATTAAATAAATCAATTTACTAAACAATTTTATTTTTTACAGGTAAGCCTACGCACTAAGACCCATTTAACGGTAAGATATTAAAATTATTTAGTCCATTTACCTGAACTGAATGCGACAATAAGGAAATATTCCACATGCACGTACACCCAACAAATAAACGACCAATAAGAAAAAAAAATCGCCTGTGAGATATTGCGTTCGGTGAAAGTAAAATACCGGACCGCTCGAGCACCGGCGGCTCTTAAGAAGTACGAACTGTTACTAAAACTTAAAGTCCATTCATTACCTAATAGAAGATCAATTTCGCGCCGACAATTCGGCAAAGTAGGATGGTCCAATTAATCCTGCCCAACTTACGCGAGCCTGGCAATTATTATTTCATACGTAAATTTCCAATTACCCTATTAATCATCATTAAAGTGTGGAAAAATACGGTTTAAATTGTACTAAACTACATACTAATCGATTAGTTGCAGTAAAAAAATTACGCGAAATTTGCCAATAAAATTAATCGTATAAAGATCCATTAAATATGTCAATAAAATTGTCACAATCCACGACTGACTCTAGCGACAAATCCGATAGAAACATTATCATAGAAAGGTGTCAAAATTTCTGTAAACCAAACGAAATATAATGCACGGGGTGGTAGAATACGACATGAGAGGGGTGCGTGGCCCTTTAGTCCACAATTTCGTACTGCTCATCAACGCCCTATTCTTCAACATGAAAATGATCGGCTTGCCCGACATTTATCCCGTCGATTACAGCGAGTGCCTTCGCAAAGTAAGTACCTCTACCGCCTCCCCGGGCGCCGGTTCACCCCTTGTCCCATCCTTAGGGCAAACAAGACACCTTCGATTTCATAATAGTGGGCGCAGGCGGATCGGGTTGCGTCCTAGCCAACAGGCTCACCGAAAACGGAAAGTGGTCGGTGCTGCTACTAGAAGCCGGTGAATACCCCAGCCCTTCAGCAGAAGTTAGTATATTCACCAAACATAGTGAAACCGTTGAGCGAATAAAGGCATTCTTCTTAGGTGCCGGAGTTGTTTCGATCGCTCACCGGCACCGACGAGGACTGGAAATTCGTCAACGAAAAAGACAAGCACGCGTGTAACGCCTACACCGACGGGTATTGCGAGCTGCCGAGAGGCAAGGTGTTAGGCGGTACCAGCAGCATCAACAACATGGTGTACGTGAGAGGTTTGACCGAAGACTACGACAGGCTGTCGTTCAGTTCGTGGGGCTCGAACGCCACCTACACCATTTTCGAGCAATTGGAAGACTATAGAGGCACCGAGGAGTTCAATATAGCCTACGGCATCGACGGGCCCATTCCGTTGGAGCACATGACCGGCTACGCCGACGTGAAAAGTACGTTCGTAAGGGTTTGAGTGACGCCAGACGTGAGACGGGAATGTTGCAGATTATTTGAAAAACGTTTACAAAAAGGTGGGTTTGCTGAGCATGTCGCACCGGCACGCGTTGGGCTTCTCCGATTTCCTGAGCACCACCAGGAACGGCGAGCGCCAGAACATGGCCAAGAACTTCCTCACGCCGATCAAGAACCGGCCGAATTTGTTTCTGTCGCTGAAAAGCGATGTGACGGGCATCGTCGTCAACGAGCTGGTCGATCTCCGAGTGGCCGGCGTCAACGTCACCATCGGCGGCCGGAACCTCTATCTCAAAGCCAGGAAGGAGGTCATCCTGACGGCGGGGCCCATCAACAACGTTAAATTGATGATGTTGAGCGGCCTCGGACCTCGCGGTTATTTGAACGAGAAGAAGATACGCGTGGTGGCCGATTTACCAGGTATCCTCGAACAGAAGGAGTCTCGGAGCATTCACCAAGCGTAGCGTTGTTATATTCCAGGTGTTGGTAAGAACCTCCAAATGCACCTGCTGATTCCGATGTTTGTGGCGTATCGCCCGCAAGGCAGCGTTTGTTCGCAAGATTTCTATACAGAAACGGATCGCATCAAGGATACTTACGATTATATTATCCACCGTACCGGTGCGTTGACAGATACGAATATTAACAATTTTTTCTCGTATATAACGACTAAATCGAAGAGCTACACGGTACCCGACATCGCCGTGAGCCATTTGTACTTCAAAATCGACGATAGAAGCTTGATCAATTGGATGGAACATTCGAAATACGAGAAAAGCATAAAGAACGTCATATTGAAGACGAACCAAGAGAGAGCCCTTTACATATTCTACCTGCGTTTGCTCTATCCCGAATCCAGAGGGGAGGTTTTCCTCAACGATACCTACCATCTAGGTGACGAATTCGAGTACACCGACGAGCTCGTCAGTTATCCTCCTCTTTCCGCAGGCAATCCGAAAATCATCCCGAACTTCATGTCCGACCGAGACAACGTCGATTTCGACAAGCTCCTCTCCGGCTTCGATTTCATCACCAACATGACCGATTCGATGAAGGACGAGCTGGAGTTCCTCGACTTGGACATACCGAATTGCCGCAATCACAAGTTCTGCACGCTCGGCTACGTCAGGTGCTACATCTACAACATGGCGTCGCCGAACTACGACGTGTCCAGCTCGACGCAGATGGGCGCCGAATGCGAGAAGATGGCCGTGGTGAAGGAGAACCTGGAGGTGAGGTCGGTGAGGTGTCTGCGCGTGGCCGATTCCAGCGTGCTGAATCTCATACCGATATCGAACACGATGGCCGCCGACGCCATGATCGGTTTCAGGATGGGGGAGATTTTGAAGACTAAATGGGATAGCGATTACATCTCGCAGCACACTTTGGAAGAGACCGGATCGACGACGACTATATTGTAATTGGGGTGATTTATTTATTATTTTTTTTTTGGTGTGTGAGACAAGAAGGATTTGGATTTAATTTGTGAAGGTTTTTTTGGGTGATTGGTTTTTTTTTGTTTGTTTTGTAAATTCAATAAAGTTTGACGACAACGTGTGAACGGTGCCTAAGGTTTTATTGCTACAATTTAATAGGTTTTATTTATTAAGTAAATATTGGAGTAATAAAATAATTGTTGCATTCTTCCATAACGATTTAACTTCCACTTAAAAAAAGGTTATCAGTGTTACATTAAGTTGAGCTATCAGTATACTTAAGTAATAGTCGACAATTAAATAATATTTTTGTAGTAGGAAATTTCGAAATCGCGAAACATATTACGTGTTTGTTGACATTAAAAGGTCTGTCGAATATTATAATTGCACCTTTTTCTCCTTTATGAGTCGAATTTATCAAAATTCTTATCGTGAGCCAAGTTGAACAAAGAAAAATAACGAAACCGATGAACAAAAAAAGATTAAAAATAACAGAAGTTAGAGCAAGAAAGATACAATCCCATATTATCACCCTTTCTATTTCCTTCATATGAGACTAATCGAAGTTGTCTTAGTTGATCCCATAGACCACATTGGGTACAAATTTGCACTTACGCGTACGTTTCATAATTATTCTTTTAATACAACAAATAATCCTAAAAAAATTGTAATTTTATGGTCGCATCCGAACGATACTTTCACTTCAACGCGACGGCGTATCTATATAAAATTACATAACGTTTCGTCACATCTCGCTCGCATTTACCTAATTTACCGAATTAACGCGGAACCGAAAATTTCTATTCTCCCTACTTTACAACTCATCGTGGGTTTTTCCACTGTTAAGACCCCAATCCTCGGCGATCATCGCCGCCGCCTTGCGCCCGACCATCATGGCGGCCGCCTGCGTATTGGCGCTCGGTATCTTCGGGAAAACGCTGGCGTCTACCACCCTCAAGTTCCTCACCCCGTGCACCCGCAACCTGGAGTCCACGACGGCCGTGCCGTCATCCACGGGGCCCATCCTGCAGGTACCGCTCAAGTGGTAAACGGTAGCGGCTTGGTGCCTGATGACGCACTTCCAGTACTCGTCTGAATCGTACTGGTACCCATCGCATGCCGGAAGGGTTAGTTTTAGTAGTTTCGGATCGAATTTCCTCATGGGATCCGTTTTGTAAATGGCTTCGGCGAATCTCACGCCTTCCACCATAGTTTCGATGTCGTCTTCGATTGTTAGGTAGCCGGAATGGATGATGGGCGGGTCGTGGGGATCGGTGGAGTTCAACAGTACTCTTCCTTTGGATTTGGGGTTGAGTAAAGTCACGGCGAGGCTGAAGAGCGCGTTGGTTTTGATCGCTTCTAGTCTATCCGCTATGATTCGATCGTCCACTTCGTATATTCTGCCTATTGTGGATATCATGTAAATATCGTTTTGAGGGTAGAGCACGTGGTGGAAACCTACGTTGGGGTATCGGGAATCGTTTTTGGTGTTTATGAACGTTAGGGTGTTGATGAGGTGAACAGTGGATAATATACCGGTGTTGTGTATGAAGTAATTGTAGATATTGTCTAAAGGATGCGGATATAGAGCGGCGTCGGGGTTGACTTTGGCTGTTATTTCTACGAGAATGTGGTCTTCTAAGTGTCGCCCGACCGGCAGGTTTTTGACGAGTTGGATTCCTAACGATTCCAGGTGGTCTTTCGGTCCGATTCCCGAAAGCATTAGCAGTTGGGGAGAGTTGATGGTACCGCCCGATAGTATGACTTCCTTTTTCGCTTTTAAATGCAACACTCTTTCGCCGATTTTTGCTTCGACGCCGTACGCGGTTTTGGTGTCGGCGTCGACGAGTATCTTTTGGACGAAGGAATTTATCGAGAGGACCAGGTTGGTTCTGTGGCGGATCTTGCCTAAGAAGGCTTTGGCCGCGTTCACTCGGATTCCGTTTTTGATGGTGTTGTACGTGTCGAGGATTCCGAGAGGCTTTTCCGGATTTTCTTCGCTCAAAATCGGGTAACCTAGCTCTCGGTAGGCTTCGTGTAGGGCGTATTTTATCGGCTCACCTTAAACGTTTGTCAATTTAATTACGTTAAAATTTGTTTGCGGTTCTTACCTGAGTCGTATTTTGTTAAATCCAACAGCCCATCTCGACCGAAATTCTCGCTTTGTATCGAAGGATCCAAGTTTTCAATTTCCTTGAAATAATCTTTAACGCCTTCCCAATCCCATCCATCGTTGCCCAATTCCGCCCAATGATCGTAATCGCGGTTGTTTCCCTTAATATACAACATGGCGTTGATGCTGCTACTTCCACCTAAGACTTTTCCTCTCGGCCATCTGCACATCCTACCTTTGTTACCCAAGCAGGATGTATTAGAAGGCTGAGTGTGGTACTGCCAATCTTCGTATGTTCTCTGCGTGCTGAACACCAATCCTGGTATCTGCATTAAAATGACCATACACGTATACTAATTATTATTATAAATGTTTATGTTACTTGCATCGCTAGTAGCCGACGGGTAATCACCGGCTTCTAGTACCAGAACCGTCGAGTTTTTGTTGTCGCTCAGTTTATTGGCCACCGCAGCTCCACCCGATCCTGATCCTATCACTATAAAATCGAACTCGTCTCCGTCGCTCAATTCCGGCGCGGAATTCTCCGGGTAAGCTTCTTTGACGTTCAGCTTGCATTTCGATAGCATCAAAGCGTTGAGCAGGGTCATGAACAAATTGGCATCGAGGGCCTGCAGGTTACCCGGACATTGGTCCGTTATACCGAAGCTTTCCATCGTTTAGAATCGAATGTATAGATGAAACGCGTACACACGAGTATACACTGCAAATGAATTGGTTTAAGATTGTGCTCGTAGTCGATTTATATTTTATTTTTGTTTAAACAGTTGATTAAATTTGGATTTATCTTATCTTTTAAAATGAGAGATTAATTTATTTTTAAAGCGGAATATACATTTGGTACAATATTTCTAAGTCTAATTTGTTTTTAGTAGTGTTTTTTCTTTCACAATTCCTCGTTTGGTCTCGCCCAATCCTCGGCTATCATCTCGCCGGCTTTGAGGCCGATCATCATGCAGGGCGCGTGCGTGTTGCCGCTCACGACGTCGGGCATCACGCTGGCATCGGCCACCCTCAAGTTCTTGACGCCGTGCACCCTCAGCCTGGCGTCCACCACGTAGCGCTGCTCGTCGGGGCCCATTCGACAGGTGCTGGCGGGATGGTACAAGGTGGTGCCGAAGTGCCTGGTGAAGCACTCCCAGTACTCGTCCGATCTGAACTCGAGTTTGTCGCACTCCGGCGAGTGGTAGCGGATGATTTCCGGGCGGTGTTTTCGGTACGATTCGGTTTCGAGTAATCTTTCGGTGAATCTGTAAATCATTCGTTAAAATCGTGTTTGTGAAAAAGGGATTTCTACCTGATGGCTTCCAGCATGGATTGCATGTCTTGGTCAGCCTCGTCTGTTAGGTAGCCGTTGTAGATTAGTGGAGGGTCCGTGGGGTTGGTGGTGTTTAGGAGTATTACTCCCGTGGATTCCGGCTGGAGGAGCGTCTGTACCATCGATACGCAGGGATTGTTTTGGCAGGATGCGCGTCGGATTTTCACCGTGTCGTCGTCGAAAGCGACGCCTTTGTCTATTGCGGGTCCTATGAATTGATCGTTGGCCATGGACGGTAGGAAGTGGTGCTGGAAATTGGGCCATTTCGAGTCGTTTTTCGTGTTGATGAACGAGACGAAATTTATGAAGGATACGCCGGCTGTGAATTGATAGAATTTTACGTTTGTTTGTACGAGAAGAAACGGTGTTGTTTACCTATTAAACCTTCTCGATGGAGGAAATACTCGTATAGAGGGTCGGCGGGGTGCTTTGGCGATATGATAGAATTTTCAGACAATTTCACATCGACTAGGGTTATTAGATGGTCCTGTAAATGCTTTCCTACCGGTAAATCTTTTATGACTTCGATGCCGAGGTTTTGTAGATGATCTTTAGGTCCTATACCGGATAGCATCAACAATTGTGGTGAGTTTATAGCTCCCGCGGATACTACGACTTCCTTTTTCGCTTTTAAATTTAATACCTTTCCGTTGATTTGAACTTGGACTCCTTCGGTCTTACGGTCGTTTATTATCAATTTTTCGACGAACGTATTCATGGCCACGTACAAATTCGTCCGGTTTTTAACGCTACCTAATATCTGCCGGCCGGTGTTGGCCCTTTCTCCTTTTCGAATGCACGTAGCGAGGTCTACGGTGCCAATGGGATCCTCCGGATCTTGTTCTATTTTGTACTTCACGCCCAATTCTTCGAAGGCCTGTTGAATCGACATCTTAACCGGTTCCTCTGGAAAACGAAACGTTCAATTAGGCATATGAATGATTACATTTCTTTTGTTCATTGTACTCGATTTTTTTTTCGTCAGCCACATCAATCCTTGCACTCCCAACGGCGTTTCGTCGAAATCGGACTCTTCCAAACGTTCCAATCGCTCGAAATACCCTCGCACGTTCTCCCAGTCCCAACCGGGATTGCCCAATTCGCTCCATTTATCGTAGTCCCTTTTGTTCCCTTTGACGTACAGCATGGCGTTTAAGCAACTGGAGCCGCCCAAGACTTTTCCCCTGGGCCAGCTGCATTGTTTGTTTTTTAAACCTAGGCAGGAATTTGGGTTCGGTTGGGTCCTGTACGCCCAATCGTCCTTGGTGTTTTGAACGCTGAACGCCAACGCCGGTATCTGGTTGGTGAAATGTTATAGTTATTTTTTACACGAGAAAAAATTAAAGAAGTAATATTTACATCGCTGGCTGCCGACGGTATTCCTCCAGCTTCTATCACAAGCACCTTCCAATCGGGATTTTCGGTGAGAGCGTGAGCCACGAGAGGTCCGGCGGAGCCGGAGCCTACTACAATGAAATCGAATTCGTCGTTGTCGCTCAATTGGGGCCCGTAGTCTTCCGGGTAGTTTCCGGGATTGCTGAGGCTGCATTTGGCCGCCATCAGGCTGTTAAGTAGCGTGAAAAAAAGCGCCGCCGGAAAGCCTTCGAGCTGTCCGGGACACGAATCGGTTAGGTTTAGGCCAGTCATGACCTAAAAAAAAATAGTTAGTTTAGAAGAGCTTGTTTCTTTTGGAATGAAATAGATTTGTTGAACTGAATTTAAGGATAATGGGGAGTAAAAATTATTGTAATCACAATGATAATTATGTAAAAAAAATGGTAGATAATAGTATAGTTTTGAAATGTCTCTATTTTATATTTGATAATCATCATTATAATTTATTTTTGTGCTTTGTCATTAACTTAAATCTGCATTAATTATAACAGAATCTTTCCAATCCTTAGGTTATCAGAAAAATATAGGATAACATATGTCTGGCCAAATTAAATGAGCAAATTAGGCAAAATTAATGGCAAAATGTCAAAACAATATTAAAATGATTTATTAACTGTTTACCGATTAAACTATTTGTATATTTATTATTTGATTGAAATATTCTCCCTTCTTTTTCGCCCTATTTTCACCCCTACATTCTTTCGTCCTCGAAAAACTTTTACAAAAAATAAGAATTAACGAATATTTTTTAGGATTCAGAAAATGGCTAAATTTCTACCCAATTTTATAAAAAAATCAATTATTGTGACCACTAATCCTCCTAAAATAACAATAATTTTACCAACTGAAAAATTCCTAATTTCCGAAATTGTCACTGAGTTTTATTTGTTAAATTAAGTTACTTACGTTTTATTGTTGATTTCAACTGGCAGAGACTGGCACAAAATGAACTGTATATATTTTAGAAGGACCGGTACAGAGTATTCTGTTTATGGGTATCTTGATCAACACAACACAATTCAGTCGACCTTCTTATCGAAACCTGAATGGAATAGAAGTTGTTTCATTGGTTTAGTTTTGAAAAAAAGACTTTAAAGTAAACTTAGTCCGCGTTGGATAAGATTTTATTATCACAGAAGATTCATTTTATATGATTGAAGTGTATGAACAAGCATTACATACCGAATAATTTTATATTGTCTGCAGTATTCTCTTACACCATGCAGTATAGATTATATACCGGGGTTTCTGTAGCTCATAAAAACCTATTTTTCCTACTCTTAAATCGTGAGAACTAAACTTTGTTGATCGTTGTAAAAAAAATGATTAGTTACGCCTAATTAATTACATTTAAATAAACACCGCCTTGTATTGTAAAAGGAATAAAAATAACTTCGTTATCTTAATCAGATTAGTAATCAAGGCTACTTAATTAATAGTTTTTTAATTTGTTTTTCAGCTATGTTCATAGTGCATAATTCAAATGAGTTATTTTTTTATTTGTATGACTTTTGAACTATTTTTTTATTTTCCCTCTACCAATAATCGAGATCCGGCTGTTTGATTTCGACCTTTCGCAAAATCGCTCGTTTCTCCTCGACTTCCTCAATAGCCTCCCGTAATTTACCTGAAAAAATTGTATTATAAAATATTCCAGACGCTAAAAACTCTTCTGCTTCCCCAGTAAATATCTTACTCTTATTCGTTTCCGATTCTGTGGTCCCCACGAATCCCCAATCTTCCTTGATCATGTCCGCCGCCTTTTCCGCAACCATTATAGTAGGCGCGTTCGTGTTCCCGGTGGGTATGTAAGGGAAAATCGAAGCGTCAACCACCCTCAAATTCTCCACACCTAACCAACAATCAAACCCAATCATTCGATCAAGTCTATATCGCTACACAGAAGTACCTTTAACTTTCAGTCTCGCGTCCACCACTGCTTTAGGATCGCTATCCGGCCCCATCTTCGCCGTACCCACGGGGTGGTAAATGGTCAGGGTGATTTGTTTCACGTGACACTCCCAGTACTCGTCGGTGAAGAGCTCCAGGTGTTTGCAGGCCGGTATCCTGAACGGATTGAATGTGACATTGAACGTTTGCATGGCTTTGGTCATCATTAATTTATGACCAATTTTCGCGCCTTCTATCTGTCACACAATATTTAATAAGTCGATGCTAACGTAGGTTTATAAAGTCAACATACTATAACCTTCAAATCGTCCTTATTGTCGAAGTAGTTCGGGTAAATGAGCACTTTGGACGAGGGGTCTTTGTCCTTGAGCATGATCCTGCCTCGGCTCTTGGGTCGCATCAGCAAAGCGTACACGTTGAAGGCCTCCTTGTAGATGAGGGGCTCGTAAACGGCGCTGAACAGCTCGTCGGTCAAGCCCTCGGCTCGTCTGCCGAACAATCCACCGTCCGAGCTGTCGGCGGCGGTGGAGAGGAACAGCTGCACGTCGGGCCAGTCGAACTTCGAGTTCTGGTACTTGGTCGAGACGAAGCCCATCACCTTGAAAATCGGTTAGTTTAAGCAGCTCGGGCTGCGGAGTTCGGTTTACCTCGCAGACGGGCAGCCAGTAGACGGGTCCTCGCTCGTTTTGCGTGAAATTGTTGACGGTTTCCGTGGAGAACATGTGCGGTAACTGGAACGTTAGAGGTTCGTCGGAGAAGCCGGATGGTCTTTCGAACACGTACGTGGCGCCTCCTACAGCGGCGTGGTCCTGCAGTATTAAGTACCAACTAGAGGTCTAACTTTTGCATCCGTTTAAAGGGTAAAAATTACCTGTAGATTGAAGCCCACTCCGGGAGAATCGACCAACACGTCGATGCCGATGTCTTTTAGGTGTTTCTCGGGGCCTATTCCGGCCAGCATGAGCAGTTGTGGGGAGACCAGCGAACCGGCGCTTAAGATAACTTCCCTTTCACAGTGCACTGTCACTGTGGTACCGAATTTCCTTAGTACCACTCCGTTGGCTTGCTTTCGATCTTTGTCGATTAAGATTTCTTTCACCTTAAAACGAATTATTAACTCACGGGTGATAATATTTCGATGGTGTTTACCGTGGAATGAAGAGTGATGTGCAGGTTTTCCCTCTTGAAAACGGGGCGTATGAAGGCCTTGGCGGTGCTGCATCTGAGACCGTCTCTGAGAGTGCCCTGGGGCACGTTGAATCCGGTTTGAAATCGTCCGTTCATGTCCCTAATTTCGTAACCCATTTCTTCGGCCGCGTCCAAAAAATACTTGGCTAGAGGCGAGTGATACCTGAGAGTTGAAAATTCGCATGGAAATAGCGAGTATTCGATGGAAATCGTGTATTACTGGTTGCCGAGATGTTGTAATCGAATCGAAATGGGGTTTTGCTATTGCATTATTTTGTTAATTTTTATGAAATGTAGTATTAAAAATGGCGTAAAAATTCAGTGTTGGTTAGGTAGGCTGTTTATTGATAAAAATAGGGGTTTTTATTGAGCGAATAGAGAGTTAACATCTCGCGGACGAACGCTTACGCTATAGAAGTATAAATAGCGATAATGTAGTGTACGCGTTGAGGAAGGTACGGGTCTCACAGGATGACGAATAAAGTTAATGTTGATGTGTATACATAATGCTAGAAACAGTCGGACTGATTTCAGTTGAAATAAAAAACTTGTTACCACCTGTTGGGGCCGATTTGACCTTCCTTTTTCCGATTTTTTTTTTCCCGCTAAATTTACCTGTAATTTTCCACGGTTAAATATCCACCCGTTCCGTGGAATTCGTCGTTTGTCAATTCCTTGATTCTTATATCCTCGGATTTTTTGAAATACGGCAACACATCCTCGTAACTCCAACCTGGATTACCGATTTCCTTCCACCTAAAAAAAACAGACCTTAATATTCCTCCTTGTGTTATCTATTTATAAATTAAACACCTGTCGTAATCCTTTCGGTTTCCTCTAACGTACATCATGGCGTTCAATACGGACGAGCCCCCGAGCACCCGGCCCCTCGGCCAGTTACATCGCCCCTCGTTCAACCCCAAGCAGTAGTTTTCTCCGGGCTCCGTCTTGTACTGCCAGTCCAACGGGCTCAGCTGGAGCGTGGGAAACATCAGAGGCATGTCTGTTAAGGTCGTCTCGTCCGGACCTGCCTCTATCAGAAGCACCTCCCAAGCGGGATTTTCGCTTAACCTACGAGGGATTTCCGTTGAAATTTAGCTTCCGGAAATCGCTACAAAAACGTATTGATAATTACCTATTGGCTAGAACGGCGCCGGCGCTGCCGCCCCCGACTATCACGAAATCGTACGTTCTGTTGATGTGGGTTACTGGAATGTCTCTGACGCGGTTATCCAGATCTAAAATGTCGGGTCTGGACGAAATGGTGCCGGAATGTAGGTAGAGGAGGAACGCCAGACCTGGACCGAGGGTTAGGGCCATCCTGGTCATGGACAGGAGGCGCATTTGCGGCGAAAGCGGATCCATTTTGTCGGGAATTCGTTGGCTGACTGAGTAATATTCGTTCGACTGAGTAAAGTTCGATAAGGTTTTGATCTCTGTCGGAAAAAAATTCGCTGAATTAGGCAGAAATGGATTGCATTGAAATTTATATCGGATATTTATTAGAATTTTATTGATCGTATAAAATAATGCATAATTGCTATTTACATAGTAAATGTGCGCTGTACTAACGCATACAATTGTGAACAAAACTACTTTGTATAGACAATAAATAAAATAAAAATTCTTTGGGATAAAGTATTTACAGTTCGGTTGTGGAGTCATCTAAGCACCGTGAAGGATTCTTCCGTATTTCGCCGCTTTCGTCCAAAATTCCTTGACCAAATCCGCTCCTTTTTCACCTATCATGATGGTGGGAGCGTTAGTGTTTCCGCTCACCATCGTCGGCATAATAGACGCGTCTATGACGCGTAGACCTTTCACACCGTAGACTCTCAGCTGCGGATCCACCACGGCGTTTTGGTCCCAGTACGGTCCCATTTTGCAAGTACCTTAAACACGCCAAACAATGAGTTTCAATTCAAACTTATCACACTCCAACTAACCTACTGGATGGTAAATCGTAACCGTATAGAGCCTGATCATACACTCCCAAAATTTATCGCTGTATTTCTTGAAATGCGCGCAATCCGGAAACTCCACCAATTTGCTCCCGTAAGACTGGAAGGCCGGCGTCAAACTCAACGCCATGCCGATCTTGGCGCCCTCTATGAGCGTCTTCATGTCATCTTCCACCATGAAATAGTTGGGGTAAATCAACGGGGCGTCGTAGGGGTTGTTGCTTCGCAATTTTATCACGCCTGCAATGACAATTAACGATAAGCGATAATTTTACTCAGCGAATCGATTCACCTCTGCTCTTGGGCCTCAACAGCATCGGTATGACGCTCCAGGCGTCCTTTTTGTCGATGGGTTTGAAGACCTTGTCGTAGAAGCTGTCGGTCAGACCGTGGGCTTTTTTGATCTGCGCCCCGCTGTCGGAGTGCGTCGAGCCGGACACGAAGTGGAATTCGATGTCGGGGAAGTCATCGGTGGCGTTGGCGTATTTCGTATTTACGAACGCCAAACCTTCCACGCCGCCCATTATCGTCAACGGCCCGCCTCCGAATATGACGTACTGCATTAGAGGACCTGGGAAATGTGTACATCAAGTTTAATAGTGTCAGAGTTTAATATTGGACAGAGGTTACCTGCTGAATAAATGCGGTCTAGCGTGATGGAGTCCTGTTTGTTGATGAGGAAGGTGAATCCTCCGAGACCGATGTGGTCCTGCAAGTTGTGACCGACCTGCAGGTCTTGGATGACGGGGATTTTGTGCTTGTTCAATTCCTGCTTGGGACCTATGCCGGAAAGCATCAATATTTGCGGCGAATTCACCGAGCCCGCGGACAGGATCACTTCCTTTTTGGCTCTTATCCTGGAAATATATTCTACTTATTTTGGAAGCGAGTTATGGAGATGATAAAGATGAAGAATATTACTGTAAAATCGAGTTTTGCGACTCTACCTGTATAATTTATCGTTTCGATGGAACTCGACGCCGAACGTGATTTTCGTCATTGGATCTATTAGGAGTTTGGTAACGTGCGAGTTCATGGCGACGTGTAAATTTTGCCGTAGCCTGATCGGTCGTAGAAACGCCTTGCCCGTGGAGCACCTGGTTCCTCTTCTCACCGTTCCCTGGGCCATCATGAAGCCCGTTTGGTGTTCTCCGTTGATGTCCCTGTTCTCGTAGCCCAATTGCTTGCCGCCCTCCAAGAAAGCGGCCACCAAAGGCGTGTGGTAGGCGGCCTCGGACACCGTCAGATAACCGCCGGTGGAGTGGTAGGCGGTTTTGGCCAAGTAGGGATTTTTGTTGTCCTCGGATTTTTTGAAGTAATGCAACGCGTCTTGGTAACCCCAGCCGGGGTTGCCCATCGACTCCCACTGGTCGTAGTCCTTTTTGTTGCCTCGCAGGTAGAGCATGTAGTTCAGTACCGAGGAACCGCCTATTACCTTCCCTCTGGGCCAGTTGCATCTGCCGTTGTTCATAGCTGGAATTTGTTGAGAATGTTTTTAGATTCTTCTGTGGTTTCGTGGTTAAGAGATACTTACCCAAGCAAGCTTGCCCTTGCGGTTCGCTTTTGTACTTCCAATCTAAAGCGGACAGTTGCAAATACGCCGCTAGTACTGGAATGTCCGATATTTCCGTTTCGTCTCCTCCTGCTTCCAGTAACAGGACTTTCCAGTCTTCCACTTCGCTCAATCGATTCGCCACTACAGCACCTTTAAAGTAATTAATATTGATTTGAAGACTCTTTATTGATACATCAACAGTTTCTACGAGAGTACTGACAAAGGTTGGCGCCCCTTGACCCCGTCACAGGGTTACATTTACCTGCTGATCCGGCTCCGACGACGATAAAGTCGTACTTGTCGAGGAGTTCCTCGTTGGGGACGTTGATGGGCCGGCTCTCGGGGTCTAATTGTTCGTATTGGAAGTAGGCCAGGGCGGCGACGAGCGTCGGCAGGAAAACGGCTAAGCTGTTGAACGCCTCGGCGCCCAAGCCGTACAAATTCCCGGCTAAAGCGCTCATCACTGAAATCAGGAGCGACATGGTTAGAATTTAGAAAAGGAATGGAGATTAATCGGCGGTTTTTTTTTGTGTGAATAGCGCGATTTAAAAGCGTCGGATAAAATTTTCGCGACAAAATCGATTTAATTTAATTTCGGTATCGCAATTAAATAAAAAAAATACTTACGGATTTGTCGTAATATCGACATTTTTTACGTGGGAATTAATTGGAAAAACTCGCGCTAATTTTTTTATGTCGCTTTCGAACTTGGCTGAGTATCGATTTGGGTATCGAGTGAAATTCATTTCTTAGAACAGAGTTAAATTAGTATGTGCTTGCGAAACGCCCGGTATATGCTCGATTTTTGCATATCCGAATCTTTACGAAACGAAACTATGTGCCAAGAATTCCTATTAGAAATTACTACGTGCAATATAAAGAAAAAATTACAAACCTTTATTTGTTGTATCGGGTCCTCTACTTCTGAATGTTTATCATTAAAAATCGCACAACTTCAACATAATGTAATAGGCGAGTTTTTTTAAATTAACACACATTTTACCAACGAAGAACTAACAGTATTCGTTGTCCTAGTTTAATCGGGCACTGAACGTATTTATCGAACGCTGTTTCTTATATCCGAGTACCGGAGTCAGCGAAGTTCAAGTATTGAAAATTCTCGTTCTTGAACTCGGTGGAATTCCTCGTTCTGTGTCGAGCACGAGAAGAATCTTTTTTATACAGCTCTCGACTCGATTCGTGCCATCTAAAACTCACATACAGGACGATGTGATTCGATGTCTAACGGTACTTATTTTGTATACTATTATATTCACGAAATTATCCTGTATTTGGAGTTTTCGTATACGTTACAATCGTCACGTATTCGAATGGTTTCCTTTAAGAAAGTACTACTCGATGTACTACTTTTGAAATAATTAAGCGAGCACATATCAATTAGTTGCTGTATGGAAATTCGTGAGCAATAAACTCAATTCTGGTCGTTTTAAAGACGTTTCCATTCGAAGCCATTTTGATTTTGACATTTATGTATGTCATATTAATATTTCGAAATCAAAGGAGGCATTAAGTTAAAAAAAACACGGTCGTATATGTAAGAAGTCAGGAAACTCCTGGAATTGGGGTTTTGCGGATCATGTGATTCTTGACAGAGGGCGCTAGTATCAGGTAGTGTTGTTTAAGCGTACGCACATAACGCCACTTTTCCTTCATTCCGCCATGTTGCCTTCCACATTTAATTTCCATTTAATTCACGACAATTTTAAATTCATTTGACAACAGTACCACATATTCGTGCATCGTATAGAAGTGATAGGCTACAAGAAATTTATAATTAACCCTACCCAACACTAGCGTTCCAAGCGGATTCCTCATGAACCACAAAATCTCAGAGTTTCCAGACCTGTATGCAAGACTGTGAAAAAACGTATTAAAAAAAACTCACAAAACGATAAATTTTTGACAAGGTGTCATAATTTTCAGGTGGTTGTTGCGGCTCGACGAAGCGCATCACGACGGTGGGAGGATGGTCGTGGGCCTGGTGGTGCGTCACCGACGTCCAGCGCCTGTCGCTGTCGGTGATGACGCTGAATCCGCACTGCATCAGCGTCGAGACGTCGCAGGGCGTACCGTTGTCGGTGTCCGGCGTCGCGCAATGCAAGATCATGAAGGCCGACGAGCTGTTGCACACCGCCTCCGAGCAGTTCCTCGGCAAGTCCGTCAAGGACATCAAGATGACCATTTTGCAAACGTTGGAAGGACACTTGAGGGCGATATTGGGTAGGTTTATGATTTTATTTTAAGGGTTTTGTTTATTTTTCAATGGTAATCTAGCGGTGTAGTTTTTTTTTTTATTCTGTCAAAGTCAGCTGTCAAAAAAATCGAAGGGTTGATTTTTATTGAATAATAATATTGAAACATAAATCAATTTATAATCATTATTTTACGTTATTTACGTGACTTTGTTTCGACTTTCATAAATTTATATTATTTTAGTTATTGTTATTGTTGGGCCATATTGGTTAGGTTCCGCTTTTATTTGCAGAATTTTTTTTATTTTTCAACGGTAATCTAGTGTTGCGGATTTGACTGTCACTCTTTCAATATTTTTTTTATCCTATCAATGTCAGCTGTCAAAAAAAATCGTTGACTTTCATGGAATTTCTCGTTGGAAAAACTTAATTTTTATAAGTAATTGTTTGAGAAATATTAATGTTTGTCAGAGATAATAGTTATACATAGCTACATACGTACATATGTAGTAGTTTTGATTATTTTGATCTTGGCTAAGACCTTACAAATTAGTCTAAATTAGCTAAATATACCAAACAATACTTTTACTGCCTACGAATGTGGACAATTATGAACGTGATAATGTTTACAATTTCATGTTTGATGTAATTACTTTTAAAAGTAAGTCGTTAAATCCTGACAATTAAACTTCAATTAAATTTATCATGTTTTAGATCTAGTACAAAATTCAATAATATTGACGTCAGAATATTTACGTCCTCTACTTGAGCTTATTAAAACAGGACAGGACTGAGAATTCGATTTGTTTATCAGATTTTATTACTTTTACGTTATCAAGAAACTACCAGATTTTTTCAAAGTTTTATCATTACCCAAATAAACGCTTTTAAGCAGTGTTTTTAATATTATTACCAGTAATTTCATTTAAATAGACGTGAGATTCATTCAGTCCGGACCTGTAGCAGTAGTAAGGAATTTTTTAAATGGTAGTTAATATTTTAATACCAAATAATGTATTAATACCCGGTATTGTGCGAGGCATCAGTGCAAAGGGGGAGACCGATACAAACACGTGCTCCGCTAAATAAATTAGAAGCACTTGAGAATCTAGTCGATCAGCATTTTTCATATCCACCACTCACGCGGAGCGGAAAAAAATCGTGCAAATGTTTATGTTGATACGAAATAGAAAAATCTGTGATTGCCGGAAAATTACAACGAAATGATTTGGATGTATTTTTTGAGTTCGGGGTTTACTCTAGGCGCTACCTATTTCGTAGTCAAAAGGTCGGTTTGTTTGCCGGTTATTTTTATTTAAACATATTTTCTGCGGCTTTCAGGAACGCTTACAGTCGAAGAAGTGTACCGCGACAGGGACCAATTCGCCGCGTTGGTGCGGGAAGTCGCCGCCCCGGACGTCGGCCGGATGGGCATCGAAATTCTCTCTTTCACCATTAAGGACGTCTACGACGAGGTGCAGTATCTCACGTCCCTGGGCAAGGCCCAGACGGCCATGGTGAAGAGAGACGCCGACGCCGGCGTCGCCGAGGCCAACAGAGACGCCGGCATACGGGTAAGCCCTTAGTTAAATTCCCCATTTTATGAGTTTTTAAACGATTTTCTTCGTAGGAATCTGAATGCCAGAAACAAGCCATGGACATCAAGTATTCGACTGATACGAAAATCGAAGATAACTCGAGAATGTTCAAACTGCAAAAAGCTAATTTCGATCAGGAAATCAACACTGCCGTAAGTTATATCGCGTTCAAAAAAAAAACAGTAAAAGTAGTAAGCTAGCCGAATAACTGACTAGCAAGAGTTACGGAAATAAAGAAGATTTACTGTGATTTTTTTTTTTTTAGAAAGCCCAAGCACAACTGGCCTACGAACTGCAGGCGGCGAAGATCCGCCAGCGCATCCGAAACGAAGAGATCCAAATCGAAGTGGTCGAAAGGAAAAAACAAATCGAAATCGAGGCGCAGGAGGTGATGAGAAAAGAGGGTGAATTGAACGCGACCGTTCGCCTGCCCGCCGAGGCCGAGAGTTACAAAGTCGAGGTGATCGCCGAAGGAAAACGGTAACGATTATGACTAATACATTTAAATTTACCCCATTAATAACTTCTGTCGTATAGAACGCAGAAAGTCAAAAACGCGCAGGCCGAAAGCGAGAAGGTGAAATTAATGGGTACCGCCGAAGCCTCTTCTATATCGTGCGTAGGTAAGGCTGAAGCCGAACGAATGAAATCCAAAGCCGCTGTTTACAAGCAGTACGGAGAAGCTGCCATTATGTCTCTCGTTCTCGAAGCATTACCAAAGGTACGTAAATACATACTTTATTACAGAGCGGAGTAGAGTAGAGTCAGAGTGGAGTAGAGTAGAGTAGATTCAGTGTAGAGTAAAGAAAATTCAGAGTAAAGTAGATTAGATTCAGAGGAGAGTAGATTCAGAGTAAAATTGGTAGAATCAATAGATTCGGAGTGCAATTAGAGTAGATTTAGTGTAGATTCAGAGTAGAGTATATTCAGTATATTTAGAGTATAATAGATTTAGAGTAGAGTAGATTCAGAGTAAATCAGAGTAGATTCAGAGTAAAATCGGTAGATTCATAGTAAATTCATAGTGGAATCAGAGTAGAATCGATAGATTCAGAGTAGATTCAGAGTATAGGAAATTCAGAGTAGATTAGATTCAAAGTAGAATAGAGAAGATTCGATAGATTCAGAGTGCAATCAGAGTAGATTCAGAGTAGATTCAGAGTATAGGAAATTCAGAGTAGATTAGATTCAAAGTAGAATAGAGAAGATTCGATAGATTCAGAGTGCAATCAGAGTAAATTTAGTGTTGATTCAGAGTAAATTTAGTGCAGATTCAGAGTAGCTTTAAAATAGTTTCAGAGTAGAGTCATTCATAACGGAATCCGAGTAGAGCGGAGTAGATCGCAATTTACAGGTTTAAATACTACTCTTCACTACACTACCCTTAAACTAACTAGAACAGTAATTCGCATTGTAAATAAAATATGAATCATTCATTATTATCCATTAATTAATCATAACTCGAACTTATTTTATTGTAATCGTTTCCAGATTGCTGCCGAAGTGGCTTCTCCTCTGGCGAAGACCGAGGAAATCGTCCTGATCGGGGGACCGGATAACACCACGTCGGATATCACCCGTTTGGTGGGGCAAATACCGCCCGCTCTCAACGCCTTGACGGGCGTCGATTTGTCGAAGACGCTCTCGAAAATTCCCGGAGCCTCTTACACGCCCAAACCGACGGCCGTTAAATAAATTCCGACAATACGCCGGCGGTCGATCGATGTAGAAATGCCGTTGGAATTTTTGTGGAATTCAACGAAGTTTCTATTTATACGGTAATAAAAGGCTTGCGCTTAATTGTGCTTTTTTCTTTCTGATATGATCGTGTTATATTCGTTTAGTTTTATTAAAAAATCTCAGGTTAAATGATTAGATCATTAAGTACACGTTCGTGAGACGCATTTAAAATAATCGATGGTTCGAATAATAAGGTAGTTATAAGGGCGCCTATTTTGTTTCAGTCGAGCAGATTTTACAAAAATTAATGCTCTAATTCTAACGCAAATTTGTAATCTTGTACTTATCTTATTATAATGTTTACCATAAGTAAACTGCGGAGCATTGTAATAACCCTAAAATTTGGTAATGTACTCAAATTAAAATTTTGTTGCCATTAATGTAAAAATTAATAAAATTTACCCCAAAAATTAGATGAATTTAAAGTAGCAAAAAAACGAAAACAAATTTAGAAATGGACCTACAAAATTGATGTATTTTTCTACTCCCTCTAAAAAATAATTTCCCCACCTCAAAACTATTTACCAAATAAATTACACCGAGAGCCTTTTAGGTAAAAATATAGTTAGAAAAGTATATTGAATGGTCTTTTCTGAATAGTTTATAAAATGGTAGGATTTGTAAATGAAAAACCATAAAAGATTTCCTAAAATTCAAGGTATTTTTTCATTATTTACAGGCATATAAAAATGTTTAAATCTCCCCAATATTTCTTTTTTTTTTAATTAAATTTTAATCAAAAATGTTGTTTTTATGGTTTTCCATTTAAATGAAACGTTCAATGTGTAATGTAAGAGTGTTTTACTATGATATATTCAAACGTTAGCACCTATTTGAATAAGAAATTATCTATTTTTATTTGTTGTTAATATGTTTTAGTTGTGTGTTGTTTTTATATTATTTTTAGTTTTCAGCACCTCACATCATATTTTATTAAATTTAGTTGATAAGCTTCAATAATTAATGTTAAAAGTCTTGGAATAGATGTCTCGATTTATTTTAGCATTTTTTTTAATTTCAAATTTTATTAAAAGTAAATTATTTTTGTTTCGTACTAGATTGGTATTATTCAAAGTACAAAAAAAAAGTCATTTTGCAACAATTGTGTTCAAATTTTAAGCATCTATAGTTATTTTAGCAGAACGTATTTAAATAATTTAATAGTTTACATTTTTGTACTTTTATAAAGATTTCTCAGTCGTTTCTTGCAACTCAACGTAAATAAGCGTTTCAATTTTAAATTTTACTGGAATTCCGCAATTTTCAGATCTGATATTTGTACAAGAAATGATTTTTCCAATGTATGTATTAGTTTTCTTCTATTTGCCCACTAGTGTGAATGAACAATATTTTAATAAACGGTATTGCAAATTTACTCTTGTTTTTTACGAACTCAAAAAAATATACAGTAGAAAAAACACATTGGTTTAAAACTTTGTATGGACCAGCAGGAAATAAAAATTAAGTGAGTAATGGCCTCTTACTTACATAACATCCAATTAATTAAACTCGATTAAAATTTCGTGATTGACATTGACGTACGTCATTAATTCTCGCTTCTTCCGTTTCCTTCCCATTCAACATTCAAATATCATTTTGAACTTTCAAAATGGAGGAAACTAACGAAGTAGTTTTAGAAGAGCAATTTATCCTGCGACTACCATCGGTAAGCAGTTTTCACTCAATAACCCGCCCTCAATAATCCCGTTCGCAGGAAGAAGCCCAAAAGGTCCGCGAAATCCTGCACACCAAACCCGAGAAACTGAAAAAGGTCATGAAAATCGACTTGGACTTGAACGACAACCAAGTAACGGTGAACTTCGGAAAGAACCGGCTTTCCGGTCGTTTGCGAAAACTACCGACCATTATCGAATCGTACAAAACGAACATTTGCAATAATAAATCCTTGTTGTTCAAAACGGCCGATATTTGTCACATAGCCGACTGCGGTTATGGCGATATCGACGATGAGACCGCCGAAAAAGCGGAAACCATTCACGGCCTTTGCCCCTCGTTGAAAAACGTAAAGAAAAAGCGATTCAGGAAGACCCTGTTCAATAAAGACTTCGCCGTGGAAGCGGAGAAAATTTCGAAAGAGCTTTATTACCTGCTCAGCACAGACCTTGAAGCTGTCAGCAGTAAATTCGAGATAATCTACGAAGAAGACCCCAACAAGAAGCAACATAAGCAATTTGGTAATTTGCCCTTAAATTTTATTATTTCATTTCCTACACATTGTTTCATTTCAGTTTGCAATATTGTATGGTCATATCTATGAGTTGAACAAAGAAAGATTATTAAAATGACAGTTGTCAGAGTGAAAAGTTGCAATGACACAATGTCACTCTTTCTTTTTCCTTTATAAGTGTCTAATGAAAGTTGTCTTTATCACACCCATAGCATACATTGCAAGCTAAAATGAATCAACCTGTTTACAAGTAACAGACAACTATCGTATGTTTCGTATAAAGGAAAAAGAAAGAATGATATTGCGTGATTGTGATTGCAATTGCAAATTTCTCACTCTAACCACTGTTATTTATTATTTATAGTGCAGAGGAGTAAATGTATTTTTAAATGGCCTCTTACTATTAAATAGTTCAGTCGTTTTAAAAATTTGTATTTTTACAGAAAATTCTCTGTTTGGGCAATTTTCGAGTGATTCGTCAGAGGTGAGTACAATTGCAATTTGTAATAAGCCTATCAAGGTTTACAACAAAATAGAAAATATTTATTTCCTTTGGTTTTTTTTAGAGCGAGAATTCAAACTACTGTTGATATGATTAATTCGTGTTATAAAAGGTATTTGATAGTAAAGTAGTTAATTTGTTAAAAAATACGATTTATTAATAGTTTAAACCCATTGTGCATATAGATATAACAGTTTTTAACGCTAATACTAAATTGTAATATCTATTATATGGTACAGTAAATTATTTTTCTCGGGGATTTATTATTATTATTGGTTATCACATTATATTAAAATTGCGTTTGTATATACAAAACGATTTTTAATCTTTAAAAATACCGAATAAACATTTATGAAATTCCCAACATTGGCACACCTTTCTATTTATTTTTTAAAATATACATCCATTTTGGGAAATAAAAGCTTTCAGCCACTTTCCATTTTCTGTGATAATCTTTTATGGCCATCTAAAAGTAATTGCCTAACTGCGTACATAAAAATCTAAAAACTTAACTAACCTACGTTATTATTGAATGCATTCATATGGCATAAACTTATGTATAAAAATGTGCACTATCTTAAAATTTTCGTATGATGGGTCTAATAGTTTTGAAAGTAATTGGGTCTAGGCGGAAGTGGCATTGGCATATTTAAGGGGCCGGTGGGGTAAGGTACCGATGGAGGTCCCACAGGATATGGCAGATTCGATGGTGGATTCGTTGGAATACCCGGGAAAAAGTTGGAATTGATGCTGACCGGAGGGGCGTTTATGTAATTAGGGATGTTATTCAGCGATGGATCTCTTTGAAGGATTTTCGATAGTTTTTCCGCTTTTACTAATCTCATGTGCATTATTCTACGTTTCTCCAGGAATTCGTCGAGGAAATCGTCTATTTCCACTTCTTTTTCTAACAACTTTTTCGCCGTCTTTTCGGATTCTTCTTCCATTTCGCTAGCAGCGGTTTGTAACAATGCTAAGGCTGTTTCTAGAGACATGTCACCCCCTTTTTCCTCTAAAAATTATTAATTTTTATTAACAATTAGTATTTATACCACATATCAGTTACTTACTTAATTCCTTCAACTTATCTTCAATACTTTTGGTCAATTGTTCGCCCATTTCGGATAATTCTTTAATTTTTTCACGACCTTCGACTAGTTCGGGTTCTTTTGATAAATTGTATTCCGCCATAGAGGTGTTACTTACAATGACATTTTCTTTTTCGTTTTCAATTTCTTTTAGATATGACTGAAAGTAAAGATATAAACTAATCGTTTTATCCTATTTATAACTACGTTTTTATCCGTGTAATTCCTACCTGATCTAACTGAGTGATGATATCTTGTATTTTCTCATCATTATTCATAATGTCATCTAACTCGCTATTAGTTAACGAGCTCAATTTCGATACGGCTCTTTTACAATCCGATTGCAAAATTTCGATCGACATTTTATCCAATTATTTCTATTTTCAATTATTAAATATTAAATACACAAATGACTAATTGACAGTGTCAAAGTTTTTACTTGACAGTATTGACAAATGTCATTTTTAGTAAAACAATATTAGGCCGAATAGCTGTAACAGCTGAGGCCTTAAAAATGAGAAGATAATTAATTAAAACGTTGAATTCATACAGAATCGTAAGGCTCAAAATCAACTGGCTATGTTCTAACAAGAAAACGATAGCAATAATTTATGTAATTTTCTTTTTTAACTTATGTGAATCTGTCAATTTTATCATCACCGTTCGGTTTTTTTAGCGATAAATGTAAACATAGACAATACCTTTCTTTCTTTCTCTATAACGTGTTTAATTTGTACATAACTCTTTGAACCAGACGATATTGTATTGAATTTAAACAAATATTTTAATTTTTGAAAATATCAATTGTCCCTCTATTACGAACGTCACTGCAATAAGTTCTAATTAGACAAGGACAATTAGATAAGAATCATTTTATTGTTTTTTTTAATTTATAACGGTTGCGTGCCTGCTCGTCATTTCTCTTGTCAGTCAATGTCAAACGTCAATTGTCTTCCCATCTTTCCACCTTCGTTGAAAAAGTTTCCAGTGAATTCGTTAATAAAATAAACTACATGGAGTTTTAACCGAATACAGAGTAAAAACGATAAAAATTAGTTGATGGATAACAGTTAAATCGTGACTAGGATTGGTTTTAACATCGAACACACATGTAGGTAAACTACGTACCCCTAATATCTAATACGCGACCTACCTATTTGGCGAATATGTCGATTGCAAATTTTTGATTCGATTTTCGCATTTCAGGAATACAGAGGAAGATGACAATTTTAGATGATGATGTGATTATTCCTTTGCGCAACCCAATAGCACAAGGTAAGGCTAAATATAAAGGCAACAAAATCTTGGCGAGCGGCGGTGGCGAGCAGCACAAGAGGAAATTCGAAGAGGAATCTGTCCCCGTTACACCCGTCAAAAGAATAGCCCTGAACGAAATGTTGAACGGCTACAGGAGCGACGCCAAGAACAACGTTGATGGATCTCAGAACGCCCCCGTCGCCACATTATCAAACATGGGAAACACCTGCTTCCTCAACAGCGTATTGTACACGCTGAGGTTCGCCCCGACGTTCTTGCACAATCTGCACCATCTCATCGGCGATTTGGCTCTAGTCAGTTCGAAATTGAACCAGAACAAAGCGAAAACATCGTCTTTAGGTAGGAATATCGGCTCGATAACCAGTCCCAGTTCGAGGAGCACAAGCAGCAAGGATTTACTGTCGTTGGGTAGTTCCAACGATTTAATTCCCAAATCGAAAGTCCAGATAGTCACCGAGAAATTACACGAGTTATTTATGACTATGCATAACCTTGAAATTAAGGAATCGAACGAAGCAGATAAGCCCGTAGCGTTATTACAAGCTATCAGAGACGCGAATTCCATATTCGAAGGAAATAACCAGCAGGTAAATCTTACTTTTTTTTTTTTCTTCGATTTATTAATTAACATGGATATACTGATGAAGAGATTGTAATTTTAGGATGCCCACGAACTTCTGGTGTATTTACTCGACAACATTAGGGAAACCTGTGATATTTTAACCCAACAAGTCCAACAAAATCCCGAGATACTTCACGAAACGGAAACCCTGCCGACGGTGAACAGCAACAAAGTGTGGAGCGTGCGGAACTCGTGGAAGAAAAGCCTGAAAAAGAAGGACAAAACGAAAGAATCGATATCGGAAGAACAAGTGAACGGCGCCCACCAATCCAACGGCGAAGTACCATTAACCAGCCCCAATGTGTCTTCGACCAAACAGAAATTGAACTACAATTTCGTGACGGAAGACTTCGAAGGGATCACCTTGAGGCGGACGAAATGCCTCGAATGCGAGTGCGTGACGGAGCGCAAGGAACCCTTCTACGACATACCCGTGCCCATATCGCCGGGCTACGACGACGGCCACGACGCCGACGACGCCGTCAACATATTCCGGCGGGCGTGCGTCACCACCGAGAAACTGTGCGACTCGAACAAATACCTGTGCTCGAACTGTTGCCGATACAACGAGGCCAGCCGCGAGGTGTTGTTCGAGAAGTTGCCCAACATCATGGTGTTGCAATTGAAGAGATTCACGTCGTCGACGTCCGGCGTGCAGAAGGTCAATACGTACTTGCCCACGCCCTTGGAGCACGAGTGTTTCTGCGAAAGTTGTTGTAAAGTAAGCGCTAATTCGGTTTGATTTTGAGATACGATTTTCGGGTTCTTGCACCAATGGGATTTAAATGTGTAAACGTGGTTCAATGCTAAACTCAAGTTATATTCAATTTTTATGTTGCACCACTTATACAGGGTGTTTCATAACTTATCAGACAAATTTCAACCACGTATGCACTGTTACGAGAGAAGTTGATTTACTTTACGTTGATTTACTTTTGATTTAATTTAAAATAGACTTTACTGTATTATGCAACCAGTTAATTAGACGGAAAATTAGCAATAAAATATCTTTTTGTAATATGGTCGGGGGTAGATTTTTTCATAAGGTTGTTTCTTTATGGAATTTGACCATCATAAATTATACTTTTGCGTCACTATAGGGCTATTTGAAATAATTTTCGAAATTTTAGCTTTTTTTCTTGATAAATTTGAAAAAGTTTCGAACAAAACTTGCTAATTTTGATGCCAGGATTCCGAATTTTCAATAAAAATTAGGGGTTTCTATTTAAATTTTTAAAGTTACCCGCCACTCCTCCTTTGAGGGGTGGGTTGGCGGTTTAATTCTGGATCTCTAAAATTTCCAAATCATCATCAAAAATATCTTCATAATCAATGTTTATTTGTTCAATTTCCATCACAACTAAATAATATCTGATGATTGATAATATACAATAAATACAAATAAACCTCGATAACATATAACATTAAAAATGTCTTTTTCACAGAATGTAGAACTTAGAACCTAAATTCTGTGTTCTGTGGTCTCTTTTCTCTCAAATGACAACTAAGTGTAACCAACATTAAATAGTCCAAATAAAAACCCCAAAAACTTATAGATTAACTAAACTCTTTACTTTAGTTCGCGTTTGGTGCAAGACCGCGTTAATCACTTAAATTTTAATACATTTTAGATTGAAGAACGCCAACTTCGACCGCACCGATACGCCCTATGCTGCGTGATAATGCACCTGGGCGGCACGATGGCTTCGGGCCACTACATAGCCTACGTAAGAGCCTCGGATCACCTCGAAGACTACTCGGACTGCACGAGAGACCTGCCCAAAGGCAGCCTGTCGGCGAGCAGCAGCGAGAAATCCCTGAACATCCTGAAGTACCTCAAGCCGCGCAGTTTGCTCATAGAATCGCGGAACGGTTTGTCGTCGAGGAGCGTCGTGAACGGCATCAGGATGTGCAAGAGCGTCGATTGTTGCGGCGTGAAAATCAACAAGAACGTAGAGAACGTTATAAATAGTTGTACGAGGAAGAGTACCCGTTTGAGCGATTATCCGTCGCACGATACGTGGTTAGAGTGCGACGACGAGAATATCAAGTCTATAACGAGTCAGGAATTTGTGAAAATATTGGGGAATAATCCGAACTCAGCGTCGACGCCGTACTTGCTGTTCTATGCCAAAATGTCAGACCCGCTCGGTGACTAATGGTAAGGTTTTTTTTTTATTTTATAATAAAATGTGGAATATGAGATTGGTATAAAAATTTCCCTTTACTAAATTTATACTTATTTAACGTGCTGGTTTATTGTTTATACACAGAAATTTTCATTTACTCAAATTTTGTAATTGTCCGGATTGAAATTTTTATACCTGAATTGTGTTGGCGCTTAATGCGAAATACTAGGGTACATTGTTTAACGTTTTTTTAGCTAGTACAAAAAGTCTATTTAAAGTGATTTAATGTGATATCACAGAATATTTATATTGACAATTAATGATGAAAAAAATTTAAATGAATGTACCTAATTAGATAGTTAGTTCGAAACGAATAAAATACTAATAATACTGTGCTTGTTTTTCTAAATAAAAACTGCAAAGTGAGCTTTGAAAATAATTTTTTTGTGATGCCTGTTTGGCACTGCGTTATACATTTTGTATTATATTTCTAATTTTTGTCTTCTCTTTTATATATCATTTTTAATTGTATGTAATTGTTTTTTTTTTCTTGTTTATGAATAAGTATACAGTTTATTGTAGTTTTTTTGACTGCCTGTATAGTTACTGTATAATATTAAAAATTCTAATTTTCGTACTATACATTTCCATCCACTTTTAGGATGGAAAATAATTTCTGTGATCAAATTTATTTATGCGTTTTTTTAATTGAATTCTATGGAATTTGCAGTAACTATATTAGCATTCGTAATATGTTTTCTCATCATCAAAAGGGATGTGATCAAAATATTATATTGACCACAAAATACTTATTATATAGGGAAAATTAAACATATAACGAAGAAACGGCGCTTAAATTAAGTTCATAAAAATTGTGATAGACCTAAGTTTCTATTGTAAATAATTCCGAATGTTTCCTTTTTTTTGTTTGATAAATAACATCGATTTTACTCAAATGCAGCGCTCAAAACGTTTCTTAAATGAATTGTTAGAAATTTTTCCTATTAGCCAGTGTATATTATTTTTTTATGTAGATATAAAAAAAAACAATTTTGACCATAGTGGTCGTAAAATTCGCTTAACATGTATATGTTAAATGTTAGTAAATTTCGAATTAGCTTGTTAATGAAAAATCAGTGTTGCACCAAATTTCCTATTTTTTCGAAACGTTAGAAATCACACTGAAATTAATACTACGAAAATGTCAAATATTTTGGATATTATAACGTTACTGTTTTGATTAACGAAAAAAAAACACTAAACTAATTGGCGTTTATGCACAGAATTTACTGTAAAATAAAATATGTTACATATGTATTGATCCTGTATATCGGCTATTAATTCGACCGGAAATTGTAAATTTTATTATAATATAATCATTCCAATTATTCGTGCCATCAAAACTCTCATATTGAATCGCTGCAAAGCTTGTAGCTTTTTCAGGATCGTACAATGTAATTAGTATTTTTTTAATGGAGCTAAATATTTAGTCAAGTTATAGTCTTGACTGGGTGTTTTGGAAGGTATTAATTTTTGTCCCCTCACATTCCTTGAACTCGATTAATTGTACAGTTTTGTTTAATTTTTAATTACAACGTGTAAATACATTTACTTTCAATGTTTATAAATTATATAAATATAAAAATTACAGAATTAAGTACATTATAATTTAATACAGTGTGACAACAATAAATTGAACAAAACTTTCGACAGCTGGTTTGTAAATATTTTGATGAAATTTGCCAATTTGAAATAATGTTCCGGTATTATAAACGATTGCTAGGAAAATAAAATTTACTTTTGAAGTAACTTATGAGATTTTTCCCACACTTTTGTTGCAGTATTTCTTGAGTAAATTTTATTGGGCAAGTGAATAGTTTATAATTAAAATTAATTTTTGTTTATTAGAATGTTTTTGTTTTTTATATTTGTATTTGTACTAAATCGAGTGAAGAAAACATACCAAATTATCTTCAGAAAGCCAAAAGCTATTTTGTAAATTAAAATTTACAAACTTTCAGCTGCGATTTTTAAAAACTTTCAGCAAAATATAACGCTAGAAATTTTAAATATATTCTAAATCTAATTACATCATTCGATGACTATTTTAACGATAAAATGGTACTATTTAATCGATCTTCACTTGCATATTGTACTGTTTTTTTCATGCGATTTCTTTTGAATATCTTCTAAGAATATCACCTATTTCATCGGCGTGCGTGTGTTGCCATTGAACGTTTATTTTCACAGTTTCCAACGATTGTTGTACTCCCTGTTTGACATCGGCGAAGTTCTTTTGATTTGCCTCTATGAAGTGTTCAAACTGAAAAAAGAAACAAACATTTCAAAAATTTTATTACGTTTCTATAAAAGATATTACCTCTTCCTGGTCCTTGTGATCCGTCATTTGATTCGCCAGAGACGACAAAAATCTCGTAATCCTCCTCTTATGCGGTTGCACGCTAAAATCATTATCAATGAAGAAACCAATAATTTCTCAACTAAAACGCTTACTGTTTGAAAATTTTATCGACGTTCTCATAGAAGAAGTTCTTCGCTATGAAATATCCAACGTCGTTAGTTGCCACAGATCCGAAAACGCTTCCGGTGTCCTGTCTTCTGATCGTCGTATCGTTCAACGACCATTCCAAATACCTGCTCAGCAACCAAATTTCCTGCGTGCAACCGAGGTAATTCAAAATGGACGTCTTCTCCGTGGCCACGTTCGAATTTTGGTATTTCTGCCACAGGAAGTCCCATTCCAATTCTCCGCCGTCTTTTAATGTTGTACAGTATACCGTACCGCGTAAATCCTTCGGAATGCTACAAAAAAAAACATTCAAATTGCGTCTCTTCATTATTTATAAATGTAATCTTACACGTTTTGATTGGGATTATCCTGCAGCATCCTGAAGTAGTTTTTGGCGTGCATAATGCAATTAGATACTCCGAACAAACAAGCCCTGCTGACGATAAGTTGTTGCAGTTTTATCGAATCGAGTTTCTCGGGATTGGTAACTGTAGCTTCTAAACCTCCAATTTTCTCGTAAATCGGCGTCAACAGATGTTTCATGTACTCCTAAAATAAAACGACATTCAACGACAAATCGCATTTAAAAAAACCCACCGCGATTTGATCACCTTGTATTGACCGTACGTCGACGATTTCTTCAAATGATTCGTAATGACGTTGGTCTTCTCCAAAGCGGCCTTCCACGGCATGTATTCGGTCTCCTGTTTCAAGTACTTGAGCATCTCGAAGAACACTTCGTACTTCAAATTACCGACGAACGCCAAATCGGCGGCGTCGCTGAGCAATTGCACCCTGTTCAACGTGGGGATCTTCTTGAAATCGGGACCCTGCAGGAACTCGGTGATGAGCTTCCAGTTCCTCTCGTCGTAGTTCACCTTGTAGATGCCGGCCATTTGATTGTTGAAAATCACCCACTCGGTTTCGCCCGGTAGATTTTCGATGATTTGACTGTGCCTGGGACAGGACAACCAGTGCTCGGGTGTGGTCACGTTGAAATGCGGCTTCGACTGCGTCGAGTAGCTCAGCGGCACCCACCAGCAAGGATTGGCGTCGTCCTTGGTGTGGATGATGTCTCTCAAGTAACGTTCCTGCAAAATTTCTATTAGGAACTGGATGCCTACACAGGCGAGAATATTACCTGGCTAACTTCGGCGGTTTCTATAGCGTAATCGCGCGTTACTGTGATAACTGGATAACCGGTTTGAACGGTCCACGTGTCCATGATGCGTTTGACCGTCAAATTGCTGGGTAAAACGTTCCTCTTGTGCGCCTCTTCGGTGAGGGATTCCCACAAATCGTCCTGTTCCGCGTTGCCGAACTTGTGTTTCTTCAAATAGTTACTGACGCCCGTCCTCACCACCTCCTCGCCCAGGAACAGATTCATCATTCGCAGTATCGACGACCCCTTTTTGTACGAAATCGTATCGAATATCTCGTCGATTTCTTTGGGATTACCGATCGGCACCGAAACCTAAAACATTAATCATTAGAAATCGTAAGTGTTCGTTAATTAAATCGCTTACCGGATGAGAGGTCCTCAAGGAATCGAACGAGAACACTCCCAGCATATTATCAGCCGCTTCTTCCTCCAAGGAATTCCATTGGGGAAATAGATGGTCGACGGCAAGGCTGGCCATGTATGTAGCGAAACCTTCGTTCAACCAAAGGTCCGTCCACCATTTCATCGTTACCAAATTACCGAACCATTGGTGAGCCAATTCGTGCGCTGCAAAAATTCTCAATAAAGCATAATTGATTAGTGTACTATTCGAATTCGATTTACCAATAACGCTCGCCACGTGATGCTGGCTGGTCTTTGTCGAAATTTTGGGATCGTACAAAAGGTAAGCTTCCCTATAAGTGATCAACCCCCAATTCTCCATCGCTCCGGCGCTGAAATCCGGTATGGCCACCATATCCTGCTTGGGCAACGGGTAATCGATGTTGAAGAATTTCTCGTAGTAAGCCAGACATTTGGGGCCAACTTCCGCGGCGAAATCTACCTAAAACATTAACGTACGCGTAAATAGGGTTGCCTAGTTTCAAGGCGCGCGCTTTACCTGATCCAAAGCGTCTTTCCTGGCCCAAATTCTGAACGTTACGTTGTTATTATCAACGGGATGGCCGATTTTAAAGTCGAAATCTGATATTACGAAAGCTACTAGATAAGTCGACATCGGCACGGAGGTATCAAAGCGATCCCAAAACCAACCTTCCTTTTCTTTCCTGCGAAAAACGACAACAACAAAAAATAGAAAAATGGTGGTAAATTATGTACTTACAGCGGTTCGGTTTTGAACAAAGGCATGTTACTAATAGCCCTGTAGCCCTCCTTTCTTCCGATGCTTATGTCGAAAGTGGCCTTCATTTCGGGCTCGTCGAAACAGGGAAAAGCCAAGCGGGCGCTGGTCGATTCGAACTGCGTGACGCCCAGCCATTTCTTCTCTCTGGACTTTTTGTCGAAGTAGCTACTCCTGAAACATTAGGAAATCGATTAATCGATTCCTCCGCGCAATCGATTTGCACCGACCTGTAAAACCCGGCCAGGCCGTCGTCGAGACGCCCCTTGAAATCGATGAACACCTCGTACCGGCGGAGCTCCTTGAGCGGCTCGTCGACGTGTATCACCAAGAAATCGTTCTCGTTTTGGAATTCGACGGCGCCGATCGGCATCGGTTTGGAACCGTTGTGCCCTGACACATCTTTCAACGTAATCTCTTCTTTGCGAACGTCGAGGTTCTTCGAATGCAGCGTTATGTTTCGCGTCGGCCGAAGGCAGGTCACCTGCGACAAATTCGTAATGCAATTCGCCTTTAGTAGGTGAAGGCGACTTTTTTCACTCGCCCATCGCCGGTCAATGTCTCTTTAGAAATTGCATTAAAAAAATATTCATGCACCGGCGATCGGCGTCGCGTGCAAGGCCGATAAACACATTTCGCGCGAATGTGGCTACGATTAATATTCAGATGGTAGTCTGATGTTTGTATTTACCAGTATCCAGACTTTCCCGTCGAAATCGAAGTTGTTCTTCTCGCCCAGGTGGGAAATTATTTCCAATTTGTAATGCTCCGGTTTCACGTCGTCGGGTAATCGATAGGCGCTGGCGAGGCAAGCGCTCAGCAGAAGAAGGCACCCAGATCGCAGCATTTTCTGCGCACAGGAATTAAGTCCGTAAAAAGTCAAAGCAATCTTTAAAAGTTATGTTCACATAATTTGACAGACCTGTCAAGTCAGATAAAACGTCAAAATGAGCTTTAAGCTATGTTCAGATAATTTGACAAGTCATAAAACGTCAAAATGATCAAGTATGCACGAGTGTTTCTATTGGTTGATAATTGACAGTTTGAGAGAATGAGCTTAAATTATTTCTAAATATTTCTGTATAAACTGAATTATATTTGAGAGATCCAAACGATTTTCTAGTAAAAAAAATAAAAGTCTATGACATAAACGGAAAATTTATAGTTATGGATTTTATGCCCCCTAATGTTAATCAGGAAAGTAATAATGTAGCGAGTTTGTGTATTTTAGGTCTTATTTATGGGATTTTTCAGAATTTTAATTAAATAACCCATACGGAGGATACGTAAAAAAATCGTTAAAAATAAAATTAACTTGAAATGTATCTCTAAAAATCTCGAATAAAACCTGTTTATATTTTGTAATGGCATAAAATATCGTAACAATAATAACTTCTATATCGATTAGTCCGTAAAAAAGCCACTTATAATTTTTCCCAACAACGCATCAATACGATTAATTCACATATTGTATAATTAACCGATAAATATCGTGCGGCTGGGATAAAAATTTCCATAAGCGTATAAATTAATTCCATGGGGAATTTTTAATAGACATGCGTTATTTCTGTAAAGCTTTCCCAGCATCAACAAAAAAATCTGTGAGTAACAAAACAATGAAAAGCCACTGTATAAAGCTCCAAAGGAATGTGACGTGTGCTTCAACGTATTTGTTGCCCATGAAAATGACTTAGATTAAATAATATAATAACTGTTATAAATTGGCCGACAAATAATTTAACATTATGTAATAACTTAACAGCACTGTTATGCACACGTACGCGTTAATATACACATGTCTTGTCTGCTCTTGTGATTTATCAAGACGATATTCGGGGAAGCAGGAAGACATAAATAAATCACTTTTCTTCACCAGTAATTAGTAATAATTAATAATCATTCCATGATGTTTGCTATTTCTTTGTGTCCCGCAAACGGAGAGGCTAAAGAAGTAGGAATTATCGAGGAATGATTGATTGTGGTTTTGTTTCAAACCGCACTTGCATCATCAGGAATACCAAAGGATTTTTACACTAGATAAAAATTCTACATACCCAAATGGTATATTGTAATTGAACAAATAAAATAAATAAATCGAGTAACTATGTGGAAATGCGATTTATTTCGCCATCGTAAGTCCGGCGCGCGCGGTCTGACCGACTTAATTTCAACGACTAAGCGCAATTGCTTTTTTTCCTACAACTTATAAATATTCGAGAGACAACTGCGTTTGCATTTCCAACGAATTTTTCGGTGCTAACCACAACTCAAACAAGAACGGTTAATAATACTGGGTCTAATTCGACGCATAAATACCCACCATTTCCTTACCGACCGCGAATTTTTTTACACGATTTTCGGCGCGCACGTCTCTGGAGCAGTTTATTAAACCCTTTCCTACGATCGAGGAATCAAAAAAAAAACACAAACACACCGTGTTTTTCTCTCCTCTCATTCCGGGCGATACATAGTAGCGAGCAAGTGCTAACTGATCGCCAGGTTTTGTTATTTAAATCATTCAATTAGACCGCATGAGAAAAAAATAACATCGAAATTCACTCACCCGCGAAGTGTATCCAATGGTACTATCTCCGATCGGCAGAAGTCGAAGCACTAAAGCGCTCCCGACGCGCGGGCCGAGTCTTATTGAAGGTCCCCTTCTAGGAGGCGCCGCCGGCTCGGCCAATTAAGCACCAACGTCGGCGGTTATCGGCGCTCTTTGCCACCTTCGGCGATGCGGAGAAAAAGGCCGAAACGCGCCCGCAAACTTGTGGTAATTTCGCTGCAAAAAACTCCAACTACTCACCTGGTTACGGTGGTTGAAACGCGCGCTTTGCGAGACACCGTGTAATATACTGCTCCACGAAAGTTAAGGAAGTTCACAAAAATTGAGATTAATTTAAAAGTTGCAGAAGTTATGAGTTGTAGAAGTAGGGGCAAAAAATCCACTCAGATATGAGAGAAAACATTTAATTTCGCATATTTGAAAATTTGGTGATCAAAAAGTCTGCAACTTTTAGAATAATCGCAAAATTTGCAACTTCCTTAACTTTTGTGGAGCAGTTTATTAATTAATGCGTAAACAAAAGTAGGCACGCTCTGTATCGATTTCAATAATGAAATTATCTTTGCGATAAACGCGTTAATGAAATATCGTCAACGTACGAAAATTAGAAATGGATTTATTTTTTTTATGTAAACGGATATTTCCCAACTAGAAATTGTAAAAGCGAAACCATTTCTACCCACCCTGCGTGCCCGGCAATTTATTAGAAATTGCGAACCCGCCCGAGCGTGTTATGATAAATTCGGAAGGACAAAACATGTTCGATAAACTCTTATTTTTTTTTATTTATTTATGCACAATATACGCGTCGAAATAATTATAAATATTCTTAGAAAAGCTCGACTCTGCTGTAAAATAAACTTTTGTTAGCGTCTTAAAATTATCAAGTCTTTTTTCATTAAACAAAAAAATAAATTGAACACTTAGAAAACCACGGTAAGAACAAAGCAATTTTTTTTGGCAAAGATTACGAATAAATGGAAGTCGATTCGTCTACCTATAAAAAACTTAACTAATCGCATAGCATTGATAATAAATAAAAAAGGAATGTTTCTTTTTTTCGATAGAAATACTATTCAGAAAATATCCATCCTAGGTTTGAAACTTTATAATCTCTGCCAACGTGTTATCCAAATTTAACAACAACGTTTATTTCACTAAAGGTTCCAAATCCGCCAATCCTCTAGTTAAATACCCGTCGCCGGATTCATAGAAGTATCTCAAGAAAAAATAAACTCCATATGTTTTTTTTTGGTTTGCCGAATAACAAGAGGCCGCCCGTACGATCGACCGCTGTAATACTGAAATTAAACGTAGGTTTCGATGATGGCGCATCATGTGGGCGAAACGTTGCTTCGCTGCGTCCTCTGCTGTTGCTCCTTCTTGCATTCCTCCACGGTGTGCTCCAACTGCCCTTTCAACATCAACAATTCCCTTATTCTCTGATAGACGGGGTCCTGTTAAAAGACAATCGCATCAGTTTCGAAAGAGCTAAATTGTAAATTTACTCACTTGTGTCCTCATGCTGGGATTCCACCTGCAATAATAGGCCTTCCACAGTTTGATATGTCGAATACTCGCGATCGGTATCAACACTCTCTGCTGCAAATTATTCGCCCAGTACAAAGGGTTTCTGCAGAAGTTCAAATTGCTGTTCGTGTACGACCACAACGATACCGTTTGCTCTTTAACCTCTACAAAAATAGTTAATTTGCTGTATTATTAAGGATAATGTGCATTGCGAATGAAGACCTACTTTCTTGAACCCTCTCCCGTTCGCTGTTGAACAGGAACGTACCGAACCTACACGAGTACAAATGGTCCAAAATGGTGATCAGGAAATAATCGTTGAATTCGAAGGCGTTGGGAAACTGCTGGGTTATTTGCCATACGCAATCCACGAATTGCAGGAACACCGGAGATCGATCCGCGTCGGAATGATGATCGTCACCGTGGCCTATCCTCTATACATTTAATTACATTAAATAAAGCACGTTAAAGGATTCGTTTATTACCTGTTGAAATTTATGCCCAAACGATAACCATTCCTTTTCTATCAACACTTCGAAACCTTTGATCGTTCTGTAGTAAGGATCGAGCAACAGCATCGATAGAGCTGTTAATTGAGCCGTACGATCCCAACCGTCCGAACAATGAACCAAAACCGACGTTTTATGACTCTCCACCTACATAAAATTATACAATAATAAACTCATCTAATACAATTAAAGAGTAATATACTTTATCGACTATTCTCAAAGCTCCCGCTAAGATGCACTTGATGTGCTTCAACCAATAGGTGGATTCCAGCCCAAACAGCCACTTCTCCTCGTGTATGTTCGGATAACACAATTCCTTGAGCTTCCGCAGCGACTCTCTCATCACGTGTATGTTGTGTATATCCAAAAACACCAGCTCGGCGTTCTGATAGGCGTCTTCTGATTCGTATCCGCCGCCTTTTGCCTTGTTCGCCATGGCGTTCGCGCTCGGCCTGGCGTCCATTATGAACAATTTGTGCGATTGAGCGTTCGCGTCCATTATTAGCTGCACGTACCGTTCGTCCTCCTTGCACCGCTTCCCGCTAACCTGGAATTCAAGCTGGAGTATACAAGGTGTTCTATAATAGTCTGTATTTATAAACATGAAGCGTTTACTTTGAAATAAAAGGTAGAGGCAAAAAAAATCAGAGGTTCTAAAACCTTATACAAAGAGTTTAAAAGCATAAAACCTTTGGGTTTAAAGCAACGGCAGGGTCCTTGAAGCAAAACCTCTCTTCATTCTCTTCTTTTTACGCATATACCTTGAAGCAATTCCTTCGTTTTTTGAAGCAAAAACATGTGCTTCTTTTTATAAATATGGCCTAATGACATGCTAATATTTTTGCGGGTGATTCTTGGACCCATTTTAAGAATAAAACTTCATATGAACATATGTCCTAAACCTAAAATTTATTATTTTTTTAATTTTAGCACAGCGGCTAATGTAGCGGAAGCGTACAAATGAATGCATTTATTATTTTTAATGCGAAACGATAAGTCGTACGTAAAAAGTCAGGAAATCAAATTTGTTCTAAATTGACTGAGGATTCTGAAAATAATTTTTATTTCAATATTAGGCAGTGGCGTACCATCTTTTTATCCAAAAATATACAATGCAAAACCCGTACGGACGCCACTGCTAAAAATAATAAAACTATTCGTGCAAAAAAAAATCCATCTTGATTCATAGATTGTTGTGATTCATAGAAGACGTGTGCCAAATTTCATAAAGATATCTACAATAGTATCACAGTTATTACAAAAAATTGATTTTTTTTCTCAAAACTTTAACACCATGTATCTCAAAAGTTAAGATCTTTAGTACATAGATTCATATGAAGTTTTTTCCTTAAAATAGATCCACGAATCATCCCCTTAAATATTAGCATGTCATTTTGGAACACCTTGTATAAAATCTTCGAACGTGCAACTTACGCCTACGAGGGGCTGCGAACACCTGGTGATGGTGGCCTGCGATTCGGGATGTATCCAGCTCAAGACGGGTATCCGGCCTCTACTTCTAAAATTGGCCACAGCCTTGATATCGTCGTCAGTCACTTGTGAGGGAATGGCCCATACGGTGGGGTAACTATCGCAGATTTCGTAGTGTTCGTTTATCTTCGATATCTTCCACATGTCGTTATTAACACCCTAAAAATGTATACATATTAGTTAAACATTACTGTATAATAGAAACTGTTTTGTTACCATTCGTTTTAATTCAGCTATTGGTTCGTAAACGGCCCAACCGTTCTCCGGGAAGGTCTCGGAGTACTCGAACGAAAACAAGTTCATCTTGTGCGATAGAGGGAAAGCGTAGGTTTGCAATTTCTCGAATACATTTCTCCTCGAATGGTTCTCTTGCTTGTGGGCGAACCTCAGATTGCGCATATCTTTACAGAATACTTCTATACCATAAGCATTTTCCCCTCTAGACGAAGCACCGCCTACCTTCTCGATCCTCGACACCTAAACGAGAGGATTATAGAATCGTACGATTTAAACAATCAATAAATTTACCACTCCGAGAGGTACTTCGATGATATTGGGGGTATCTTTGTCAGCGGACTTGAAGAATAATTTGTAGTTAGTGACGGTGAGTATTCCTCTCGCAGGCCCGTGATAGGGGCACAAGTAGGTAACATCTCGAGCTTGGCCTGTTACTTTTTCGCCGGGCAGTAAAGGGGGATCATCTGGTCGACTAGGAATTCCACTTTCGTTTGAAACCTACGAAAGATATCTCGAGAGTCGAGCGAAGGTATTTGGGGTAATAAATAACGCACCTTTTTACGTTCTAAAGTGGACACTACGTTTTCAGTCGATGTCGAACTAGATGAACAATAACTCTTGCTGGGCGATGTTTTGCCCCAACTCGTCTAAAAATAGATGCGGTGGTTTTTAATTGAACGGAATTAGTCACTGGGTACTTACAGCATCTTGTTTGTTCAACAGATTCGATTTGGAGTCGGTCCTGAAGCCGTCCAACGGCAGGGATTTGTTGAACGTGTTGTTGTCCAAGTCCAGCAGTTCGATGCTGCCGCTTTTCCTGTTCATTTCGCCGGAAAATTAGAAAAATCGAGACTCGCTAAAAACAAAATAACCTAGGTGACATTTTCTAATGAACAATGACAGGTGACATTGACGAGACGAGTTGACGTGCTATTTACAGGTTTCTGTAACCGCTTCTAGTGACATCTGTTGTGTCTTTTTGGAACTAGAAATTTAAATTTGTATTTTAAGTTTACAAAATGTTTAAAAGATTCTATAATAAAATTTTTTTTGCTTAGAAAAATTTCAAATTAACAATGAAATCGAAAAATACACTATTCTAATAACATTTTTTTAAATATGATTTATTATCGACTCATTTTTCAACCTAATTAATAATTTATATGGAATAAAACTGATAAAACAAACGGGAAAATAATGGTGATTATTTCATCGCCGAATAGAAACCGCACCTGAAAATATGATAAAACCTTATCTCACATTACTTTTATCAGTTGGAAACTTTTACGATGCTTTAATTTGTTACAAATTAGACAATATTTATTTTTCAGTGAGTGTATACGCTTTATTGTGTAATAAAACAATGTCTAACGCCTCGAATATAGCGAAAATTTCGGTCCTGAAATTCGACAGTACCGAGCAGTTCCTGTACGATTTGGACAAAAACAAGGACCTCCAGGACATAATAATCGAATTGTGCGATATCAGCGGCGTGGTAAGCTCGAAAAACGAGAAAATCAAGCAATTATAATCGATCGAAACTCCCGATTTCCAGCCAATATCTAAAGCTTACGGTCTCAAAATCATCGACATACACAATTCATTGATAGAAACATACCTGACGGAGAAGAACTTCCAAACCATCAAGCACAACGATTGTTTAAAAATCGTATTTTCCATTGAGCATTTATTGAATAACATTGTAAATTGCATCAATGATCCTCAGCCCGAAACGAGGTCTTTTGGGTTCGATACCCTAGCAAAATTAGCCTTCGATCCGGCTTTTATAGACGAACTAGGTAATTAAAATCCACCAAAATTCAGCCCAATAATTAACAATAATCGCCGTTTACAGTAAGAAGCGGAAAACACCACGTTTTATTGAACGTATACGAAAAAAACGACGACCTAAAAGACAAGGAACTCGTACCACTATTAGCAACAATATGCCATTTATTCCAAAAAGGTTTAACCGAAAACATGTCGGTGGAATTACTCCAAAAAACCATCCGAATAGTCAAAAACCACGACAAACACACCACAGTCGACCACGTCCTGTACGCCCTATCGATTCTACAGAAAATCCTAACCAGCAAAAACCAGGATTTCCTCCCTTGGAAAGAAACCGCAAGTACAACATCCACCCCATTTCTCTCTACTTTAACACACCATTACAGGTCATCAAAGACATCCCCATAACCTGCTTGATCCCGTACATACGGCTGGAAGACGGCAAGAAACTCCACTACGGCGTCCTCCTCCTCATCAACACCATCATCAAAAGCTGCAAAGGCGAGCAGAAGAAGATCCTCATCAAGGAAATGAACCTCGCCCAAAACCGAGAGGACATTTACAAATTCGTAATCGCCCCCGGCAACTTGGACAAGAAGACAGAGCACGAGCTGTACGTCGTACAAACTTACATATTAAGGTAGGGCGTAGATAACACATATACAGGGTGTCCCTGCATTATAATTATAATGTATTATAATTTCGCTAGTTTGTACGAAGAGGCCTTGAACACCGCGATGAATTTGAACGACAACAGCACGTTTAAGCGGGAGGAATTCGAGTTGCCCGAAAACGATGTGAGACGGTTAACAGTGCTGTTGGATTTCGATGAAATCGGCAACGAAACGAGGACGAGTTCCTTCGAGAATTTGCTCACCTTCCAGCAGGCCGAAAGGTGAGGGAATTTAATAATTTAACGCGAATTAATCGAGGATTTCAGATTGTCCCTGGCGTCGGTCGCGAGCGACAGAAGCCAGAACTCGAGGAAATCTTCCACCGTGTGCAGCCCCAGGTCTCAGCTATCCAATTTCAATTACGACATCGACAGCGGTAGTATTAGTTACCTAACGTTAGAAGCATTAAGTAAGCGAATGGAATGTTACAAGTGAATGTGTAAATATAGATTAATTGTAGGACACTACAAAAGCAACCACAAAAAGAACTTTTGCCAATCGCAAATCGAGGAAAGAGTGTACGAGCCCGGTATATTCGTAACAAGCGAGAGGTAAATACATGAATCACTGATAAGATATAAAGTACTCTAAAACTAGGAATGTAGATAAATAATTAAAGTTAATTACGTTTGTGTATACAGGATGCGCTTAAGTGTAAATGGTAAGAGGTTTTTATTTTATTGGGACAAACTGTATACACCTTGGCGCATTTCAGTTTGGAATATGGTCATTTCTATGAGTTGAACAAAGAAAGATTACTAAAATAACAGTTGTTAGAGTGAATTGTCGCAATGAGACAATATCACTTTCTTTTTCCTTCAGAAGTGTCCAATGGAAGATGTCTTTGTTGCACCCATAGCCTATACACATTGGTTCATTTCAGTCTGCAATTGGTCATTTCTATAAGTTGGACAAAGAAAGATTACTAAAATGACAGTTGTTAGAGCGAAAAGTTGCAATGACACAAATATCACCCTTTCTTTTTCCTTTATAAGTGTCTAATGGAAGTTGTCTTTGTTGCACCCATAGCCTATACACATAATTGGTTCATATCAGTTTGCAAAATGGTCATTTCTGTGAGTTGAACAAAGAAAGATTATAAATAACAGTTTTTAGAGTGAAAAGTTGCAGTGACACAATAGTACTCTTCCTCTTTCCTTCATAAGTGTCTAATGGAAGTTGTCTTTATCGCACCCATAGCCTATATTGCAAACTAAAATGAATCAATCTGTAGTGACCATACATTTACATACATTAAAAATCTCTTACTTGCTTACGATCTCCTTCCCGTTGAGCGTGACTCGCTCTGTATAAAAAAATCTATTTTAAGGGTGGTGAAAATGCTGGGTGAGATCCTGCACATCGGCGTGGACCCGCCGGACGGGAAGAGCGTCTCCTACCAGCCGATAGTGTTCCAAACGTCGCCGAAAATGCCCTTCTTCCTGGAGCTGTTCTCGCGGTGCATGTGGCTGTTGTCGCGGACGCGGCGCGAAATGAAAGTCTCCACGATCGAGGATTACCCGAAAGTAATTCGTCGAATGTCAGACCGGCAAAAACGGATGAGTGTACTGATAGCGAAACATTCCTTTGCAGCTGATGCGCGCATTGAGGAAGCAAATTAAAATGGTTCTGATTAGGAGGCCGGTGAATTTCAAAAGCCTGACGAACGACATGAGCGAGGTGACGTTCGATGCTGTGCTGAGGCAGTGGCAGGTGCGGTGCCGGTTTAAAATTTTAATCGATTAGGATTAATTGTTGTTTGGATTTTTTTGCAGATGGAGAAAGACGAGGAAATGAGGCAACTCATCAACAACCATCCTTGTATTCAACAGTTGAAGGAGACCTATCAAAGGCAAAACGAGCCTTTTCTTAGAGAGAATAGGATGAATGTGTTGAAGAAAGGGGAGTATTTTCCTAAAATCGTTGATAAGGTGGGTAGAATTTTTTAACAACTTTTGCATCTTGTATAATGCACTGTTTTCAGAAACGTAACGGGACGATATTCGTTCAATTGAGCAAAAACGAAAGGGAATTGTACATATCGAATATAATAACAAACGGTAAAACCAAAACGACGATATTGATGGATACAATTAAAACAGCCGATATTACTCACATATCCACAGGAATTAATTGTAAACACGCCAATTTGTGAGTACTGATACGCTTTATCTTAAAGCTTCCTTTTGTGAAAGGATACTTTAACGCTTTATTATGAAATCAGGCCTTAAAGCACACTGTATCTTAAAGCTTCCTTTTGTGAAAGGATACTTTAACGCTTTATTATGAAATCTGCACTTAAAGCACGCTTTATCTTAAAGCTTCCTTTTGTGAACGGATACTTTAACGCTTTATTATGAAATCAGGCCTTAAAGCACACTGTATCTTAAAGATTCCTTTTGTTAAAGGACACTTTAATGCTTTATTATGGAATATAGTCTTAAAGCACACTTTACCTTAAAGCTTCCTTTTGTTAAAAGATATGTTAACGCTTCATTAAGAAATCAGCCCTTATTCACAATTATTATAAAATTCGCAGATGTAAAGACATTTCGTTGGTATTTTCAATCATCATAAACAACGAAAACCAGATCAATTTCATCGCAGAAGACGAAAAAACCGCTTCGTTTTGGATAGACGCCTTCAACATAATCACAGGTTCGTTTACTAATCGACATATTATCATTAAAAAAAAACGTTATTATACTCTTCAGGAAACTCGAAAAGAAGCTCGCGCTACACCAACGAACTCGACGCTCTGGTGGAAATGGACCTAAAATTACAGCTGATAGAACTCCAAAACATCACCATACCGAAAAATCCGCCGCCGGTGCCGCCCGTTCCGAAGCCCGTCGTACCGCCCAAGCCGGCACCGGCCAACAGAAGAGGACAATCCGGGCCCTATTAAATCACAAAAAAAAAAACCAACGCAGTGCATAAAGATATATTTAAGTCTTCATGTACAAGCAAATATTACATAATGTTTCCGTATAGTTAATAGTCCTACATATCTCGGGGCTGGAGGAGACGGGGAGCGTCGCGGCCTCCTCGCGCCCTCGTGAGCGCGGTGCTCGGTCGTGCGCCAGGCGCAACAAATCCATCGATCGGCGTGTACGCGAGCACCGCCTCGAAAACCGCGTAGGAAAAAGAAAATATATATTCGATAAGAGAACAAAGAATCACAAGTATATAGTTGTCCCTTAATCGCCAATCCCTCATAACCATTTTTTTTTATTTTGCGCAACTACTACATTTTACATATGAATTATAATTTTTTTTTATAATTAATGTCTATGTTTACCGGCCGCGGAACGGCGAACGGCTCTCCCGTCGCGGTCCGCGCGGCTTTTTTTTCCACAATTTCGAATAAACTTCTCCTGCTACAAATAGTATTCCAAACTATAAGCGATTATAAAAGAAAAAAAAAATAATTAAAACATGCAAGTAGCTACAAATAACTGGGTTTTTCAGTTAATTATGTTTTTTTTATATACATCAAATGCGTCGAAACGACAGACGTGAAGACTATTATTAAATAAAAAATACATTCTTGCTCTAAGGATTCGACCTGTATAAAGGGTCAACGCCATCCCATTGTACCAAAAACAAAAAGAAAAACAAAAATATAAAGAGAAAACTAGGTCTAGATTCTACAGCAAAAACTCGGTATTCCAAAAATCACAAATAGAGAAGCTAAATTTCGCACGTTTTTTGGACTTTATTAAAATAACGCTTATAGTTCACGTGTTTAGGTATGGTTACTGATTCCACTTGTTCCACCCCTTAAACAAAAACAAAAAAATTCATAAAATATTAGTACAATCCTCTATATAGGATGTTAAATAATTGAGTGCCGATACTTCAGGATGGGAATATTTGGATGATTTCAAGAAGAAAAAAGCTTTTATCATAATTTTCTTGTTATTCCAGAAATTTTTATTAATTATTATAGAGCTTTTTTGAGGCAAAAGATTTTTTTAAATTTTAACCAGTGACGTCCGCACGGGGTTTGAACTGAATATGTTTGAAAAAAAAAAGGTACGCCACTACTTTTTCTAAAAACCAAAATTATTTTTGAAATCTTCATTTATTTTGGAGTAAATTCGGTCTGAAGACTTACTTTCGTACGATGCTCCATTTTCGCGTAAAATAATTAAAACCAAAACAATTCTTTCCCAAGTTCATTGAGACTGCTTTTGATATTTCATTGAAATTTGGTTGGCGCACACTATGCATGGAAACACTTTTTTTTTGACAAAAATTAATTTTCTACCATTACCAGTGACGTCCACGTCTTAAATTTAATAAAAAGTTATTTTCTAAAACGGTAATACCTTGTAGCTCGAAAACTAAGAGGTTTAGGACATAGATTGATATAAACTTTTCTTCTTAAAATCATCCAAATATTTACATCCTGAAGTATCGGAGCTCAATTAATTAACACTCTGTATAAACAGTGTATCCCTGAATGGTGTTCAGAACAAGAAAAACAGTCGAAAAATTGCTCGTCGAAACAATAAGTTTGTTGTAGTATAATCTTGAATCTGATACACAGGGTGTCTTTGAAATAAAGACATGTTAAATTGTGTCAAAAGAGGACAAAATTTCGAATCAAAATTCTAATATCCAATAATACAAATTTCTTTATAACATAAGTAATAATACTTCTTGCTTGAAGCAACTTCACGTTTTCTTAATTTATTAACACCCTGTACATCAGATACCAGATTTAACACTTCACAAACTTACTTCTTCGACAAGCCGGACTTTTTATATAGAACAACTTTTCTCCATAAAATTAAATCTAACGTTTTTTTCCCTCTCTTCAACACCACCTAGGGACGCAAAATGCTAAAAACGACTTACATGCTGTTTATCTTGAAGTTCGGGTATCGGCCTCGGAGCGTTGTCCCAAGAGGAAAGATCCAACTTCGGGATATCTTGCATAAAATCGTTGCGAACCGCGTTCAACGGCGGCTGATTGAAATATTGCGGACCGTTCATGAAATGATGCGGACCCTCCAACGTGGACATTTGACGCTGTACAAACACACATCATCATCATCATTTACATACATAAGAAATCTCAAACACTCACCGTGTAATCCATCGATGGTAAATCGTCGGCGTACGCTTGCGGATTCCTCAAGGAATAATCGGCGTTGCCGCCCAACGTCCATTTCTCCGCCTTCTCGTTGGACCTCCAATTCTCCATGGGGTTGCTGTACGCCTTGCGGCCGGTACCGATCGGTTGCGGCGGCTTTCTATCCTCGATTCCGTACATATTCTCGTGGTGATACATGTGCGCCACTGGAGGCATGTTCGGCGACATATTCGGCGAATTATTCACGATGCCTGCGATGTTTTAAACGTAAACAAATTAATCGCGCATTCATCAAACGCTTTACCAGTTACTGTACAAGCACCGTGTTAATGATGCCATACATTTACAATCATTGATATGTAGAATTTGTTAAATTTTACAGGGTAGTTATTTTAAGGTTGGATGACTGTTTAAATAGTGAATTTGATCCAAATTGCTTTAATAAGTAGTTGTTTAATGCCTTTACTTCTAGCGTTATATTTTACCATTTTGTAGATCTCAACGAGAGGAACCTGGTGGTACTGATAACTCAATTATAGTTATCTAGCCACAAGTTTTAGTAACATCATTAATGCTCAATGAGAAATAAAAAGTTCAGTTCATCATTACCCAAGAACCAGGTAAAATTTGGAAGTACCAAATATTGAAATCGAGCGTAATTTCGTAACCCGAACCCCGCGCAAGTTCAGTGGTGAATAGCGAATGGATCATAGGGGGGTACTTACCGAGTTCGGCGCCGTTTTCGAGCGCCTCGTTACCGGCCGCCGTGAACTTGGCGATGCTGTGCAACGTCATGCCGGCTATGCCGCTGATCAGCTGTTCGCTCTGTTGCGGCGTAAACGGCGGCTGCATTTGCATCCACAAGTTTCGATTCTGCGCCGGCGAATTCAAACCGACGCCCGACGAACGATGGTAGGCGTCCATGTTCGGTTGCTGCTGTTGCTGCTGTTGCTGCGGCGGCTGATTGGGTTGCTGTTGCTTCGGCGGCATGTACATGTTGTTCTGGTAGCCGTTGAACATGTGCGGCGTCGGTTTGTTCTGCTGCATGCTGTAGCTCGAATATTCCGGCGCTTTCGGATTGAGTCTCGACATGCTGGCCGTTTGCTGTTGGTGCTACAATCCAAATAAACGTTACAATCTCTTAACGTTAACTGTTAACACGTTTTTTTTTATATACCTGTTGCGGTTGCGAGAAGTTCAAATTGGGCATGGCGTTGAAATTAGACTGCAACAGATGAGCGTCGTTCAGCATATTTGGAATGTTGTTGCCGCCGTGTTTGAACAATTCGCTGAATATATCCTGGTTAGTTTGCGATACCGGCGGTGGCGGTCTGCTGTGCGTCACGCTGCTACCGATGGGCGGTAGAGCGTTCGGTCCGGGTTTGTTTTGCTCTTGATAGCTCTACGAAATGCCATCTATTAGTAACCAACGATCGAAAAAACAACGCGATTTACTTACGGTTTGATACGAATTCCCGGCCGATATGTTCGGCGGCGTGGTGCTGTTGCTGCTCGTCTTCGAAGAGACCGGACTACAAACGGCCGTGCCCCTGTAACCGGGCGCCTTCGAGGCGTCCACCTGCGGCGGCGGTTCCTGATCGATGAACTTGTGCTGGTTGGCCGATTGCACGTTACCGCCGCCGGTGACGGCGGCGAAATTCACAGGCTTCTGAGATTCCTGTTCCTTTCGGTTCCAGTGATCGCCGCCGGCGTAGAACAGCGAGTACTCGGGAGGCGCTTGAATGCTCGGCGTTTCCTCTTGTTGCACCAGAGGCGGCTGTACCACAGCGCTCTGCAATTTAATAAACGGTACAGTGCGATTAAATAAAGGCGTTTTTAATGTTTAGTTACAATTAAATGTAAGGCTCCGTTAGGCGTTGAACTTCTCATGGCATTCGCGATCGGTTCGATGTTCGAGGCGGCGTTGACGTTCGGTGGATTGTTGCTGGCGAACAATTGAGTCACCTTGCCGGGACTCTGAAAATGTTGCATGTTGGGCGGCGCCGAGGCGGTCGGCGTCGGTCTCGCGTTCCTGTTCGGCGACGACATCACGTTGCCGTTGTTATTCGAAGCGGCGGCCGGCAATTGCGGCGACACCGGCCCGACGGCGCTCTGCGGCACCGGCAACGCCCTCGGCTTGCCGGCTTGGTTCGTGTTGATCATCAATTGACCGGTCGACGAGGTCTCCGTCAATTTGGCGGCGAACGTCTGGTTCGCCGACGACGACGCGACGACCTTCGACGACGCCGTCGGCCGGTTCGAAGCGTGCGAAACGGCGCGGACGTTCTGGTTCTGCGCCTGGGCGGCGTTGTTCTTCTCGGCTTGGGCGACGAGGCGCGGCGCCGTCGTGCGCACCAGCGACGTGTAGGCGACGGTGCTGCGCGGCTTGGCCGTCGTCGTCGTCGAGAATCGGCTCGTCGATACGGCGGACGACGCCGCGGCGGCGGCCGCCGTGGCGGCGGCTGTTTGGGTCACCTTCGGCGCGTGCGCCACGCTCGAACTCGAACTCACCACTGCTATTTTACCGGCGTTTTTCTTCGTCTGCAATGAAACGGAAATTTCAATCGAACCCGTGGAGAATATAGAGCGGGATAGGCGTGTATTCGTAGATGGCACAAATTGAATTTTACTGTCACTTGTCATTTAAGGCAGATACCAGTGTTGCCAGAAATAACGGAAGTCCACTACTTAGGGTATTAATCAAACTTAATGAACTTTTTTATCACTAATGGTATCAAAAATGTTAAATCATAATTAATATAATTCCGAGAATTTAGTGCCTACTATTTTGGAATTAGAGTATACGCTCTTACTACTTTATTTTTCAAATTTTCTTGGAAAAAATATCATTATTCGTCATTTATGACATGAAAACACAATAATATAAAAGAAAAGTAAGTAATAAAGATTCAAATAATGGAAAAAAAGCTAAAAACGAATAAAACGACAAATGTTGCTTTTTGACTACCTTAAATGACATGACAAAATGTCAAATCTGTCAAATTCAATTTGTTCCATTATTTTCACGCGCATCCGTATGCTTTTGCAACTCTATATTTTATTTCTCTATGATCGAACCCCTTCGTGGAATCGTACTTACGCCTATTTGGGTTTTATCCCATAGAGTCGTCGTGGTGCTGACGGTTTTGTTGGTTTTAGGCAGCATAGACAGTATATCAACGTCCGGATCTTTAATTAACGTAGCGATGAGATTATGAGCTTGCTTCGTAGCCTCCGGTGAACCCCTACAAAAAAGAATTACAACGTATAATAATAATAAAACAAACTCTATTATCTATCAGAAAAAAAATGTACATACTTAATGGTGATAATTCTCTCCCCTTGGCCTTTGCTTTGTTTCTCGACTTCGATGTGCGCCCCGGTGGCGCCTCTGATGGCGTTGATGTTGCTGCCGCCGCGGCCGATAACGCGAGATATCGCATTGAGCGGCACCGAGACTTTCTTGACGCCCGATTCGGACGACGTGAGAGTTTGCACCGACGATTTTCTCACCACCTCCTTCCAGCCCTCCTCGCGCTTGTTGTTCTGCTTGGGACTGATGGAATTCTTGGGCGGCAGATCGTCGTTGAGCGACTTGCTCTTCCTCGTCGACACGTACACCTCGTTGCCGGTGGCCTCGAAATCGTCCCGTTCGGCCGGCGATTTCGTTTGCGTGAAATTCATGGTTTTCCGCACCGACAGGTACTGCTTGGTTTTGTTGTCGGGCGTCTTGTCGCCCTTCTCCGGCGATTCGTGTTCGGCCGCTTTGCTCGAACCGGCCTTCGAACGATTGTGGGACTCGTTCTTCAACGTGCTGCTCTTTTTCTTCTTCTTTTCCTTGCGTTTATCCTTCGATTTCAGATCGGCGCTGGAACAACTGCCTTGGCTATTGGCGTCTATGCCGCTGTCGCCTTCTTCTTTGTCGTTCGAATCGGCGTTACGGATGGCGGGATTGACTTCCGGAACGTTCTCTTCCTCTTCGGGTTTCTCCTCTTCGATACCCTTCTCTTTTTGCTCCTCCTTATCGTCGTAGTTCTCGTTCTTTTTGTTCTCTTCCAACAGTTTCCTCCTCTCTTCTTTCTTCTCCAACTTCTTCTTCTTCTTGCGCTCTCTCCTGCGGGCGGCCGCCAGTCGTTTGGTCTCCTCGCGGGTCTTCTCCGTTTCCAATTCCTCCAATAGGATCGAAGCGTTCTTGTTGGCCTTCGCCGCTTGCGTTTCTTTGGCGGCCCGTATGATCTTGACGCACTCGTGGCACTTCTCCAACAGCTCCTTATCGCTGACGGTCGCGTTGTACCTGAGCATCTCCTGGTCGCTGGGAAACTGCGTCACGTGGTGCACCATCCACTTCACCACTTTGACGTGGCCCTTCCGGAACGCCGCCATCAGGCACGACACCTTGCGGTTGTCCTGCGAATCGATGTCGGCCTTGACGTTGTAGAGCAGCTCGACGACGGGCAGATGGCCGCCGTTGGCGGCCAGCCACAGCGGCGAGTTGCCCTTCTTGTTCTTGACCTCGACCTGGGCGCCGCGGCACAGCAGCAACTCGACGAAGCGCACGTGCCCCTTGTCGGCGGCGATCGTGAGGGCGGTGTCGCGCGACGACGGCACCGGCGTGGCGTTCACGTCGGCCCCCTTGTCCAGCAGGACTCTACCCACGTCGACGTAACCGCCGCTGGCGGCTTCCATGAGCGGTGTGAGTCCAGTCTACGAAAACGAATTTCCACAATAAAACAGCTAGTACTAAAAAAACTAGGTAGATGATACGTTACCTTTGCTCTGTGTTCGACGTTGGCCTTTCTGTCGAGTAGTAGACTGACGACCTCGTGCCTCCCTTGGAAACAGGCCAACGTCAGAGCGGTGTTTCGGTTGGTTTCGATTTGCGCGTTGATGTCGCTGCCCATGTCGAGTAGTAGCTTGACGGCGGCCGTGTGACCGTTCATGGCGGCCAACATCAGCGGAGAAATGCCCAATTTCGAGCCGGTGCGCGAATTGATCTCGGCCCCGTGGCTCAACAGCAATTTGATGATGTTCACGTAACCGCCCGAAGCGGCCAGACTGAGAGGAGTATAATCGGAAACGTTTCTGTGCTCCTAAAAAAAAAAACACCATAATTAGATAAGACAATGTGTTGTTATAATCCGCGCTTACTTTGTTAGCGTTCCTGTTGAGGAGCAATTCGACCACCTCGTATCGGCCGCCGGAACAGGCCAGGCTCAACGGCGTGTCTTTAGTTCTCTCCGATTGCGCTTCGATGTCGGCGTTGTGATTCAACAGGATCTCGACGACCTTCTCGTGGCCGGCGGTGGCGGCGAGTATGAGCGGCGTGAAACCCTTCTTGTCGCGGTGCTCGATGTCGGCGCCGCGGCTAATCAACAGCTCGACGAGCTCCTCGTGGCCGCCGGCGCAGGCGAGCGTCAGCGCCGTATCGTGGTTGCTCTCCGTCTCCGAGTCGACGTCCATGCAGGGCGGCACGACGACGTTGTTGGGACATTGCTGTTGGCCGGCGCTGTACTGGGTGATCGCCGAATTGTGATCGATCTGGTAGTTCTGACTAGGCGGGAACGTGCCCGAACTCTGCACCTGGTTCTGGTGCCTCAGCACGCGGCTCTTCTTGATCTTGATGCCGTCGCCGACGCCCGCGTTGCCCTTCGCCGCCTTCTTGGCGTCGCCTTGGACGGCTTGCGCCGTTTGCGTGGCGGCCTGCACTTGGTTCGATTGCTGCTGCGCCTGGTGTTGGCTGCAAGGCATCTGGCAGTGGTGGGCTTGTTGCAGAGCAACGGTGGCGTTGGTTATGTGGCTGCAAGGTCCCTGCGGCGGAGTACACACCGGCTGTTGTTGTTGCTGTTGCTGTTGAGACGTCATGAATTGTTGATTAGACGTTCCGGGTACCGGGCCTACGGACGTCGAAACGATATTCGTGGTTGTTAATGTTTCAGTTCCGCTGGCATTCGGACATGCTAAAAACAACGCAATATTATTGTTACAATAAATTCTAACAGCGCGACGATATAGCGTACCGAGTTGCTGCTGCATAAGGCTGTAACCGGCCTGGAAGCCGGCTTGAAATAGTTGATCCTTGGGCAAACCGGCGCCGAGGTAATGCTCGTAAGGATACAAGGCGTGTACGGGGACTTGGGCGCCGTTCGTGGGTACCGCGAAGTATTCCACCCGCGTCAGATCCGTGGGCGTCGGCAGGTCTTGTTGCGCCGCTAACGATGCTATCATGGATTCGTCGAGAGCACTGGGATAGGGTTGAACCTAACGCGAGAAAATTTACATAAATATATGAATAATTCGATTGATACGAAACAATTTACTTGAAGGTTGTGTTGCGAAAGGCTCTGTTCGTTGACTTCCGTCGTATTAAAAGATTCCAATTGCTGGACGACTTCTTCTACCGAAGGAAGACTCGTATCGGTCAATTCCAACTTGGTGACTTTGTTACCTTCGTCGGGTTGATCGTACAGTTCGAGGCGAGTCTTTTGCTAAAAAAAAATTAACAATTTACCTTCTGAAAAAGATTAATTGTACGATTAACATACCGGTGAACCGACAAACGTAGCTCTCAGCGCCGGTATAGAAGTGTTATGAAACTGTTGTAAAATAGAAGCAGTCAGTATATTCTCGTGGTTGTCGTTCTTTAATATTACCGTATCTTCGTCGCCGAACGACGCCAAATCCAAACATTGCACGCTCATCAGCTCCTGGCCCTTGCCGTCCGGCTGCTGTTGCTGCTGCTGCTGCTGTTGGAACTGTTGCGTTTGCACTTGCAATTGCTGCGGCGCCTGCAATTGCAACTGCCCGAATATCTGGTTCGGCTGTTGCGCGTACACGTTCGGCTGGAACGGTTGCTGTTGCCCCAACGCCTGTTGCTGTTGTTGTTGTTGGTGCTTCCGCAGATTCTTGCCTTCCTTCTTCGAGACCGGTTTCGCTTTGGGTCGATCGATTATCGCGGTATTCTGCCAATACGGAATCGACCGTTAGTTAGTTATAATTACAACGTAAAATCGCTATACTGACTTGACTGACGTCGGCGTGCGAGGTGACGCTTTGGAATTTCACCTGAGCGGGCGACGTGGCGGCGCTGTTGGTCGTCGCCGGATTCGACGGAGCGGCGGCGACGCGCGGCGATTCGTGGCCGCCGGTGAAATACGACGGTTGGTTCTTCGCCAGCACGTTTTGATTCTGCTGTATGAAGGCGGCGGCGGCGGCCGTGAACGATTCCGCCGCCGACGACGACGACGACGACGGCTCGGCGGCCGCTGTCGCCGCCGCTTGCGGCTTGGCGGTGGCAGTGTTGCTTTGGAGGCACGACGACGCTCCGGCGACGGCGATTTGAGTGCTGCATCCTGCGTAGAAAGCATTGTGGACTTGTAGATTTTGCCCGGGAAAGAGCGTACCCGACAGCATGCCAGTACCCGGCCCTGATAATACACATACGCAGCCCGTCAGAGATACCACTTACGCCGAGAAATCGCCTCATCGAAAATATAAACGAACACATTTTTTATTGCTCTTCTTATAGGAAATTATCGCAATCGATCGCTTATCTTCACGATGAAGTGATTATTAGGTACATGCATAAATAAATGTACAATAAGCTTTGGATTAAAACTTAAAAAAAAACATGCAATATACTAATGTATTAGTACTAAAAGCTGACAGTCCTTCCTCTCTGAACATCTAACTATCTGAATAACTTCTACTACTACTACTACTACATTAAAATTACCACGCAAAACGTACGAAATAAGATCTCCTTAAACCTTTGTTAACCTCTTAACAAAAATCCACTTTTAAGACATGCATTTTATTACGACAAAATCATAAAACATCGTACGGTACATTATGGCTCCTCAGCAAATCGCACAAGTACTCGATCCTCTGCTCGTCCGATCGCTTGGCCTCCCTGGCCTGTTGCTCGTGGAACTCCATCATCTTCACGTACTTGACCTCCAGATTGTCCAGCATCTGGTCGACCTGCTTCTGGTGATCGACGCTGCTCCTCGCCAATATTTCGGCGCGTTGCGTCAGCATTTGCATGCGATGGAAGCGCTCCTTCAGCCCCATTTCGCGCTCGAGCGCGGCGATTTTCTTGGCGTACGCGACCTCCGACTTGCGAAACAGCCCGTCCATCTTCGCCAGGCATTTCTTCAGCACGGCCATTTTGTCGCCGTCGCTTCGGGCGCCGAGGAACCGTTCGATTTCGGCTTTGAGCGAGGCGATTTCGCTCGACATCGTTTCGCATTGCGAGCGAATGACGCCGTTCAAGCGGGCGATTTCGCTCCGTTTTTCGGCCAGCTCGCTGTCGCTTTTCAATTGGATTTGGTGCAACGATTGTTCGAAGCGGGCTTTGAGCTCGTCGTAATCGCTACCTTTCTGCACGTTCGTCTTGGTCTCCAATTGCAACCTGAGCTCCTTTTCGTACGCCAAATTGGCGTTGAGGTTCGCGATTAGATTTTTGAAATCGTTGTTTTGGCTCAACGTTTCGGTGAGCCTCAATTGCAACGATTCGATGGTCACCTTCCAATCGGCCGGTATGAAGTTGGTTTCTTTTAGCGGTTGCTTCTTATCCTCCCTGTCGTTGTTTCTGCCAAAATCGTCGGTATTAAACCCGTCCATGATCGGTTTGCGTTGGAGGTATTTGATTTTAGCATCACCGGCGCCGGTGGAACGTATTATAGACGTGCTGCTGTCGTCGGTGAGATCGCACCAGGACGTGTTGCTGTCGTCCGAGAACTTCTTTTCAGATTCCTCCCGGTTCGAATGGTAAATGTAATCGCCGTTGTCTTCGATGGCTTCGTAGTAATCTTCGGGGAAGGATCGCAAATCGCCCGGACGGGGTTCCTGGTCGAAAGGCGGCGATAGTTTGTTCTCTTTGATCTGCTTGGCCAGTTCTATCAGATAGCGGTTTCTCGTCGACTTGTCGCCGGCGTCGGCGCTCAATTTCTCCAACCAGCGACGGCACAACGCCAGGCTGCGGGGGCAATTTACGTTCAAAACGAGCCGCTTGATCGCGCAAAGGATTTCCCGAAACTCCACGTCTGCTCTTAGGTCGTCGGAATGCGATGTAGCTAGACAGTTAACTTCCATTCCAAACTGTTTAACTGGTCTTTCTTTTTGTCGTGCAACTATTACGTTGTTTCGTAAATATTCTTGATTAAACTGGAGTTTTTTCACGTGACATTTTTTGCAAATTATATGATTGATGATTCGAAAACCGTCAAGTTTCGGTTAATTTTAGGTTAATTAGCTTTAAGGAGTTCCGTTTCGCATGCGACATAAATAAGCGTGCATTTGTTACGGCGAATAGAAACACACCGATACTAATTGTTTCAATGACACTAGAGTGTAAAATACTTATCCTAATAGTAAAGCTACATTATGCTCGGTGGAAAAAAATAAATAAATATGCAATTACGTACCTTGCTGCTTTTGTTGTTGCATCGCTATGTCAAAGTTTAATACGTGAGGCAGTGCATTGTTGGTAGACGAAGGGCATTGTTCTTGCGCTAGTCCGTATTGAAATATTTTACCATGAAAATCTCTCTCCACTCGCTGCATTCAAATATCGATCGATTAATTTCGAATTCCTTTCGAAACGATGCTCAATACTCACGTGTAAATCTTCGAGAATCTGTTGTTTCTGGCTCGAACCCTCCTCTCCGTTCCCGTTGAATTGCGGATTCTTCCTATTCTTTATGAAATCTATCAGCGTGGCGTTCGGATCGTCTTTGTTAAGAAAGTCTACGGTAGCCGCGTTCGCCATAATAACGTCGTCTTCGAGTTCGAGGGGTTGTGTTCTCACCTAAAAATAAATCAAAAACGTAACAGTAAGAAACGGTTTTTAACTAGATATGAGTTTCGTACCTGTTGGGCTTCGGCCGAAGTGAGATTACTGTCGAAAACAGCGCCCGTCGATCTACTTTTCGGCAACAACTTTCGACCGATGGATACCTTCTGCTGATCCGTATTCCTATTGGACTGCTGCTGGACTTGTTGCTTATTCACGTCTATAGAGGGACTCGTGCCGTCTTCTTGTTGGACTATACGCACCGCGTCGGGAACCTCTTGCAAAACGGCTACAAATTAATCAAATTACACAATCACATCAGTCGATTTCATCGTTCGTTCGACTAACCCGTGGGCGATTGGAAGAAATTAATAGGCTGGGCGGGCAAACTCGACGCCATCGTGCCGGACGGCAGTGGCGATTCCCTGCTGCCCACCTGGCCCGGTAACATCGACAGATTCGTGGCCGCCGTGGCGCCTTGCTGGTGCTGGTTCAACATCATCGGTTGCATCGAATGCGGATAGTCCAACAGCAGCTGCACGACGTTCGTGTGACCGCCCTTCGCCGCTTCGATCAACATCGTCGAGTTGTCCTTCAGCTTGTGATTCGGATCGGCGTTGTGGCTGAGCAGCAGCTCGACCACCGGCAGGTGACCGCCGGCGCAGGCCAACGACAGCGGCGTGTGATCGTTGTTGGTGGTTTGGCGTCTACAAATCGATTTGTTCTTAGTATTCAGGGAGGAATAGAAGAGGAAAGATACCTGTATGGATTAAGGGATTAATGGGAAAGCGTAGGAAGAAACAGGTAATCCGATAGGTACGCATGTAAGGTATATTACCTGACGTTGGCTCCTTTGGAGATGAGAAATTGCACGGTGCATAGATGGCCGGCGCGACAGGACTTCATCAATGGCGTTCTGCCGCCTTCGGATTCGTGTTCGAGATCGGCGCCGTATTGCAACAGCAAATCGGCCACGTCCGTGTGACCGTTCTCGCAGGCGTACGTCAAAGCCGTGTCTCCCGTTTGGGTTTGAGCGTGGACGTTCGCCCCGTTTTCGAGCAGGAACCTACAAAGCGTCGATGTAGAATCGCGGATTTATTATCGCGTTTTTTTTTAGTACGCACCTAACTAAATCAAGATGACCCTCTTGGGCGGCTTCCATCAGAGGCGTAGAGGCACCCAGTTCGATGTCGGCTCCTCCTTTCAGGAGGATATCGGCTACTTCTGTGAATCCTCCGCAACAGGCCAACGTTAGAGCGGTTTCTTGAGTTTCGTCAGTTTGAGCGTTTATATTCGCACCTGGAAATGCCACCGGATCTTCAAAATCAATCAATTAAATAGCTGTTTTTTTTTAAATCGTATCATTATAAATAGCACCAAAATCAAAAATTCCAACGCTAGAACGTTAACAACGTTGAGTCCTACAACGATGTAAAAATTCTCCCGAAACCCACCTATAATATGGCGTTTATAAAACAATTTTTTTAATAATTAAGATTATTTGGGAGCTTCTTTTTAAACGAAAAACTGACATATGACATTTAACGTAAATTCGAATCGAGAGTTGCACCAGAGTGCACCGAAAGAATGCTACTAACAAACCCAAGGTTTACAAATTAATAAACCATACAGGACAGATCGAAAAATACAACACCTGCACGATACATGACGTATCATTAGTCAGTAAATTGAAATAAAAAAATCATTCAAAACTATATTTATTTGTATACAAATAGCAAGTCTTGTTCCGTGGCGTATTTATCGATTATATTTTAGGTTATCCGGCGATCTCGATTAAAAATAAACCAACACACAATCGGATACATTGGACAACCGCCAATTTTTAATTCGAGATTTTACAAGACGCAGCGTCGAAAAAAAAAAACGCGAAATTGTGCGCAGCCAGTTCGTCTATCTAGAAATTCAAACGATGCGCGTGATTCATCCACGTACGATTAAAAATATTTCGATTGTCGAAACACGTCTACTGGCCGATATAGTACACCTGTACAAAAGGCATTTCGCGGGACGATAGATACGCAAAATAATCGAATATTATTTATGCTATTTACCTTGCCCGAGCAGCAAATGCACCATCTCTTCGTGCCCTTCGCGCGCCGCCTCCATCAACGGCGTGTAACCCTCGTCGTTGACCTCTTCGATGTTGGCTCCACGTTCGATCAGCAACATGGCCAGATCCACGTGACCGCCGCAAGCGGCCAACGTCAACGGCGATTCGAAGCTGTCGGTCGGCATGTTCACCTGAGCGCCCGAGTCCAGCAGCAACCTCGCCACCTGCATAGAAAACAACACCAATAAAAACCGAATCCTAGCGAATAGATCGGGATAGAAACGAACCTCGACGTGTCCGTCCATCGAGGCCTCCATCAGAGCGGTGTGCATCTCGTCGGTTTTGTGTTCTTGATCGGCGCCGGCCTCCAGCAGGAACCTCACCATGTCCAGGTGGCCCTTGTAGCAGGCCAACGTCAGCGCGGACTCTTTGAACTCGTTCGAGTGCGTGTTGATGCCGGCGCCGTGGCTGAGCAGGATCTTGGCCAGGCCGACGTGGCCGGCGCTCGCCGCCTCCATCAGCGGCGTGTGCCCGTTTTCGTTGTGATCCTCGACGTTGGCGTCGTGCTCGAGGAGGAATTTCACCACCTCCGTGTGACCGCCGGCGCAACCGTACATCAGCGGGGTGTTGCCTGAAACGGTGGCGGTTTAGAGAAAATTCCGATATAAAGGGCGTTCTAATAATAGTTTTACCTGATGTCGATTGGGCGTTGACGTCCGCCCCGTGGGCGACTAGCAGCCTTACGATGTCCAGGTGGCCGGCAGAAGCTGCTTCCATCAATGGCGTACATTCGCCCTTCATACCTCTGTCTTCGACGTTCGCGTGCATGGCTAACAGTACCTGCAAAACGAATTTCGATGGTGAGAAGTTAATAGGATGAAATGTTTGGTAGTAGCTCAATCTACCTGGGCAAGCTCGAAGTAACCGGCGCTGCAAGCCAATGAAAGCAAACTTTCGCCTTCCTCTGATGTTTCGTGCACCGATCGACCTTCGGTTAGGAGTTTCCTCACCGTACCGACATCACCGTCCGTACAAGCCTCCACTAGGGAAGTCTTCTCCGGCGCCTGGGCTTGTTGCTGAAATTATTCGTACTATCAATCAATTTGCACTTCGCGTTAATCGCAAATCACGAACGTTGGGTGCTTTAATACCCTCATTCATTATTATAAAGTAACGATTCGTTGTTTTCATAATAAAATAGTTGTTTTTTAAAAGAATTGTGTGCATTAGTTGAAAATTTACACTTTTTTTACTCGAATATGTCACCTGTCAAGCACACACCAATTTATCAGATTGACATTGACACTTGCGAAAAATTTATTGACATTTAAATGCATACACTGGGAAAACAATCAACATTTCTAACTGCACGAAGAAAAAAGGTATCGTTACGAGAATTGTCGCGCGGTATGCGTTTAAAACGTTCGAATAGAAGTTTACCTGTTGTTGTTGCTGTGCCGGTCCCGCGGAACCGCCGGTGGCGGTGGAGGAGGCGCCGCCGTTGCCGCCACCGTTGCTCGATCGATTGGGCGGATTATCGGAGCGCATGCGCGTCAAAGCGGCCGCTGCTTCGTCTAATGCGCAACTGACACTCGACGTGAGACGGCGAAGTACTTCGGGATCGCCTAGGTGTTTACCATCTTTGGCTGCTAGTTGTCCTATACCTAAAAAAAAAGACGCAGTTTTTACGATTATTCGACATAGACGAATGAGAAGGGAATTTTAAACGGATTACAAATTACCCCGGCGTTTCGGCGAGGCCTCGTTTTAGCTTTGCAAATTAACCGACCGCACGCTGAATAGTTTCGATTTGTTTTCGACATTGTCGCGTTCGAAAAATCGAAAACAACGTTATCGTATGCAAGTCGGAAAAAGTAACCGAATCGTGAAAATTAGTTGTAAATAAATTTTTCGAATTTCCCGTTGCGAAACGACGGCAGCGAAATGAGTTTTTAATCTCGCGATGCAAACAATTAGGTGTAATTTTTCGTGGATTACTCACAATTTTTTCGCTACCTTCGCGATTTTCGCAAAAATTAATCCGCTTCACCGCCGGCACTATTCGGCGACAACTATCAGAATCTAACAATTAAATGATTCAGAATTAATCGTAAAAATTTAATCGATGATGAACAATAACGAAATAAAAAATATTTTTTTACCTAAGATATCTCCTTATTTGCCACATCGAATTGTTTTCACCTTGCCTTTTTTTTTGTAACAATTCAATCGCCTTCGCGGTGTGGCAGAAACGAGAAATCTCTACCGCTTTAAAAGGTCATTACTACAATGTATAATTTATGCAAAAAAATATGCCTAGGAATTGAATATTCCAGGTTTACCTGGAAATCATTCCTTGAACATATCGGTGCTAAATATAAAGGTGTTGCTAAATTTAAAAATCAGCTATTTTTAGATTACAAACTACGAGGTGTGGCAAAAAGAAAATAAACAATGTTCAAAATCGTGTCTAGCGTTAAATTCGGAAATTTACCAGAATAACATAATCCGAAAAGTTTTGATCAATTATTCCAACACAAACTAAGCAGAGGATATTCTTCAGTTACAACAAATTACTCGCAGGACCACTTAAAGTGCATTTACAAAATTAGTTCCATCAAACTCGTGCGTAATCTTAAAAATCCCATTAGCGAATTACGTTATAATTAACCCTGTTTACAACTTACATAAGTTTCTCAGAAATTAATTTACTAATGTGTTTAATTCCATTCGATATTTAATATCCGAAAGTACCACTATCGAGCAAAAAAAACAGACAGTAGAATTAGCCCATCATCAAGGCATCTAAACTACCAAGGATAGCTCAATCTGTTCCTGACGTCAGCAAACTGCTACAGTCTTGTCAACCATTCTACTGTCTCTTTGTTTAAACGGTGGTGATAAATCGATCCAGATACGGTTCTGATCGATCGATGAATCGATTGATGAAGCTTAGGGCATTTGGAAAAAACGAAGATTTACCAGCTGCTTGTAAGAGCTGCTCGAGACGCGCCTGCGTTTCGGGATCGACGGCTCGGTCTTCGTCCGGATTGAGCAGGAACTTGGCCGCCTCCACCTGGGGATCGTCCTCGAATTCCTGGTCGATCATAAATGACTCCACCTAAAAGAAAATACCGACGAATTAATTAACTTTGCTAAGCATTTTGGAAACATTGTTACAAGCGATCCCTTAGTTACATCGTGGATAGCGGGCATTTCGAATTTTCATGGTGCACCAACCGCAAATGTGATTTATTTAGTGCATAAAAGGGGGGCGAATCGAGTCGCATTAGCGGTAGAAAAGAAACTCGATTCGAAATAGAAATCCGCCGAGGATCTGACCGACTTTTTGGTCAATATTATTACTTCTAATAATAACAATAAACGCGACGCGGCAACGATTCGAAATCGGTAACTCGTTACGATCTATAACATCTACAAGAAGAACTTATTTTTTTATGTATTTATTATTTTCCTCCGATTGTCTCGTCCGCGGAAAGGTCAGTGTTGTTTTTCGCCTTTACGACATCGCGTAGGCGCCTAGGTACGAGTCATTTAAAAATAAGCCGGGGAATTTTCGAAAAACGCTCGGAAGACGAGCGGGAAAAATTCTATTTATATTTGGTCGTATTAAAAAAAACCGAAAATTTCAATTGCTAATATTGTTTTCGTAGACGAATCGAACGTCGCCCGGGCGCATTTGAATGTTTTTACAATTCATTTGGCATAAAACAAATTACATCGAAAAAACGAGTTATTTTTTTTTTTTCGGAAATTGCACATGTAGGAGAGCGCGAGCGCGCGTCCCGCAAAAGGCGCTAATTGCGCTGTCAAACGTTCATTTCCGCCAGCGCTTTTATCGCGTCCGAATAGAAAAAGAGAAAAGCAACCGGGCTAGATAACATTCCGAATTAATGGCGCTCTTCTAGAACCGATTAGCGCTTATTAAAAAATGTTTATTATCATTTTATACCTTCGATTTATTGTCTTTCCGAGGCCGATAAAAATTTTTGCTGGTTATTAATTGATACGCTCGACTGTTTCTGTTGCAACTCCCCAACTGGTTCAATATTGAGTATTTATGAATATATAACCTTTATGAATTTTTATTTACTGCATTTTTATTGAATCAAATTAAGCGGGCATTTTGGAAGTTAATATTTCCGCTGCGACATTAATTAAATTAGAGCTAATTTAATCCAAAAAAATCATCTAAAATCTAGAAATTCCAGTAAATAGTGTATATCGATAAGTAATTTTTAATCGAGTACGGTGAGAATGAAAATTGGGGCCGTTAATGCGAAATTAACATTTTATCTACTTAAACTTTAGGTAACCCACATGGAGAATAACAAAATAAGGAAGTGCACAAGGTCGTTGACATTGAGATGTGGGCTTTTTTCATTCTTCTTGTGTCAACTAAAGGACAAAGTCGGTTAAAGTTCGTCGGAGATTTACGTTAAAAATACGAATGTAACTCCCGATTTTCCACTACCGAGCGATTTCAAACAAACATTCGTATTAGCATTGAATTATGCTGTTATTAATTTTATTTTCTTGGGAATAATATGTAGCAATAAATTTAGTATACTTTCACTATTGTTTACTGAATAGTTATTTTAATCGAATCGGTTTTACATTATTCATTCCACGTCAATTTTCTCGATGATAATGGTTTGACATAAATTAATTATTACTAATATTAGAGTATTGTCTTTTAAAATGTAATGGAAAATGCACATAATACAAAGTGCATTTACTCCAAATTCGATAAACATCAACTCATATGCAGTTAGGGATTTCGAAGTCACTATTGCATCGAATATGCCATCGATTAAGTAGGGGGTGGCTGTATAAACGAAGTGGCCTTTTAATCGTAACCTCTCGATTTCGGAAATGTTATTTATATTTCGTCGTCTTTGTTGATTACACTAGTTCATTTACTTTATTTACTGGCGATTGAAGGTCAGAATCGAGTTAAAAAACTTGCCACTTCACGAGCTACTTCGAAATGCGAAATTGTACAGGAGCTTTCGGGACGAGCAACAATAAATGCGCCTCTAATCAACCGAAAACGAATTAGAAATAAATAAAAACGAAAAGAGGAAGTGAATGTAGATCAAGTGGAGTAACTACAACAGCGAGTAAGGCGGCGTGTGTACGTTACAATTAAAAAAAAAAATGAAATATATGAAGGAAAGAAAAAAATGTATATTATGTTGCAACAAAAAAGGATCAAGTCGACGTGTACACGACGGTCAGCTAACTAGATTTTTACGACGGTCTAACTAAACGAAAGCTATTAGTCATTTGAAAATGGATTGGAACGATAGAAACGGAATGGAAATGGAATCATCACCGTTTGCATAGCGATGCGGCGCACTCGATTTTCGAAACGCAATTCACCCGATACTTACATAATGAAAATTAGGCGATTTTTCCGCTGGAAAATCCGAGGAAATTCACGTAAAATTCGATATTCTAGGGCGAGCAATGTAGAAACTCGAAAATTCCTGCCGCGAGATGTCTCTGGCAAATGGAAGTTCATTGATACTTGGGCCTCGAGGCGGAATTTTAACGCGAAAAACAACAGAGAAATTAATGAAATTATAATCGTACCTCCGATACGCTGTCTTCCTCTTCTTCCGACGTTTCCGACATGTATCTGCGATGCTCCGAATACGTTTCCGTTTCCGATTTAGCCGGACTTGAATTGGACGTAGTCGATTGGGGAGTAGACGACGAGTTCCCTAGTTCGTGGAGAACACTGACTTTATCTATTTTAGGATTATCCGTTGGCGATTCTTGCGACACATTCTGCATGTTGGCATTTCAATAGAACTATCGACGTTGAAATTGTCTCGATTTTACCGATGAAAATTCACTGTACACGCACTAATTGCAAGCACATTCGTTCACACGAAAATCCTCGGGTTCGCCATTTTCTGCTATGGCCGAATGAAAAATCAAGTTCCGTATTTTAGATTCCCACACTGCTACGACATCTGCGCCGGCATCGCCGAATCCGCGCGATTTTCGTTCGATTCCTACGAGAGACACTTTCGACGGGCTACTTTACCTACTCGACAACAGGTGGCTAATACTAACTAGTTTTTGTTACTTACGCTTTACCTACGAAAAAACACTTTAAACTAATTACATTGTCATCGAATCAACACTTTTTTCCACCTAAAAATCTTTTAAATTACAAACTACAAAAAATAATTCCTTCCTTAGAAATTACTAGAAATTCAATCTGAAATTCAACGTCACTAGATGTCAGTTAAGTCACTTTTTTGAATTTATATCTTTATCCACTTTAATTTTTCTTTGAATTATCATTTATTGTTAAATTAACAATAATTAAACAAAATTAAAAACGCCTTTATTTTATTTCACTGACATTTCACTGACACAACGTCACCTGTCATACAATAAATCCTAAAAAGACGATCCTCTCACGAATAACCACCTAGAAAAAGACCAAAATAAAACGAAGTAATCCTTAAAAGTCACCTGTCGATGTCACTTGTCATATTTGGCGCGAGTTTTTCCATTTATTGTTTCGCTTTTATTTTGTTTTTAATTATAATAATTTCCTAAATTAATATCGACTAACAAACAGCGTATTATCGCGTTTTCTATAACACAATGAGGTGCACTATTCCCGAAATATCCTGGCACAATAGGGAACCGGTGCTCAGCGTCGATATACACCCGGTGTCCGATAATAATTACAAACTCGCTTCCAGCGGCGGAGATAGCCATATTTTGGTAAATTAAATCATTATCATTCGTGTAATTGTGTTATCGAATCGGTGTTTCAGATATGGCAAATGGTCCTGTTGGAAAACGGTTCGGTGAAACAAGAAGTTGTATCGGATTTAAAGAGACACCAAAAATCAGTGAATTCAGTCAGGTGGTCGTATTCGGGGCAATACCTAGCATCTGCAGATGACGATGCGAACATAATCATATGGCAGTTAAAAACCGACAATATTCCTCTATTGGAAGACGATAGCGATGATAAAGAAACATGGATCGTGTTTAAAGTACCTCGAATACATAAATTAATCGTGTAAGAACTGTATTATTATTATTTCAGATTTTAAGAGGTCATAAAGAAGATATTTACGATTTGTGCTGGTCTGTAGACAATTCCAAGCTGTTGACAGGCTCTGTTGATAATACAGCAATCATTTGGGACTTAACGAAAGGCAGATCTGATATTATATTAAGCGATCACAAAGGATTCGTTCAGGTATACCTATTCGATTATACAATGCTATACATAAAGTGTATTTTTGTTCGTTATAGGGAGTAGCTTGGGACCCGAAAGATCAACTTTTGGCGACAATAAGCACCGACCGGATCTGCAGAATCTTCGATAAATCGGGCAAGCAGGTGAAGAAGAGAATTTACAAGGGTTTCGTGCCCGTGCCAGACGAGCATTTCCTGCACGAGAAAGAATGCAAATATTTCCACGACGACACCTTCAAATCGTTCTTCAGGCGACTGCAGTTCACGCCTGACGGGTCACTTCTCATCGTCCCTTCGGGGCACTTGCAAGCGGACAATTGCAAAAACTATTTGAACTGTACTCTCCTTTTCACCTTAGATAATCTAACAGAGTACGTTAGTACGTTAAACATCGAACATCGGTATTAAAGTTAGATTTTTTTTAGGCCTGTTGCTGTTCTCCCGCTCGATAAACAAAGCAGCACGGTGGTGAGGTGTTGCCCGTTGCTGTTTCATCTCCACGAAAAAGGCCCCGAACCGGTGATAAAGCTTCCGTATAGAATGATATTCGCCATCAGCACCGACCACGATATAATCCTCTACGATACTCAACAAGTGAAACCGTTCGCTAAACTGAGCAACATTCATTACACTCGTATAACGGATCTGTCTTGGTCGAGCGATGGATTGTTGCTCATCGCTTCTTCTACTGACGGGTTTTGCTCTTTGATATCGTTTAGTCCCGAGGAATTGGGACGGGAATACGTGAAACCGATTAGCGAAGAGGAAACTAGTGTTACGATAGCGAGTGACAACGATGAAAATATCGATGAAAGTTATAAATCTAGTGTAGAGGTGGCTGTACAAAAGGATTCTAAAGAGAAAGAGGCGAAGAAGCGGCCCAGTTTTCTTTTGCAATGGGCGCAGAATACTAAGCAAGCGAAAAAAGAGGAAACGGATGAAGTCGTAGAAATTCAAGATGATGATGATAGTAATAAATCTAATGTAGAATCCACGGAGACGATTAAAGTAGATAAAGAAAAATTACAAAAGACTCCTAAAAAAGGTATCAACGTGCTCACACCTAGGCGTATAAAACCAACAAAAATAGGCAATAGTGAAGATAAAAATGATGCAATAATAGATACACAGAAAGAAACACAAAAACCAGTAAATATTTTAATACCGAGGCGTATTAAACCGATCAAAATTGATGGTGACAACAAAAACGAGTCGAAAGATCCCAAAATTTCGCCTAGCGATCGAATTGATGATGATAAATCGAAAGACGAAACTCTCAAAATAACCCCTAGAAAAGGTATTAACGTTCTCACGCCTAAACGAATAAAACCGACACAAATTGACGAGGATAAAGATAAAAATAAAGCTGTAATAGAAACAAATTCATCACAGAAACCGGCAGTAAACGTTCTAACGCCCAGGCGAATTAAACCTACTAGAGTTGATGATAAAGATACTAATTTTACATTAAAATTAAACGAATCTAAAGAACTAAAAAATTCTCCTACCGCAGTCAACGTAACACCTACAGCATCACCGGTAATAACTAAAGAACCTCTCGAAGCAACCCCTAGAAAAGACATCAACGTTTTAACACCCAAACGGATAAAACCTACAACAATTAATACAAACAACAAAGCTACAACAGAAACGAATCGCCTATCACCTGCAGCAGCTACATTAACACGGGAAGAAACTAAGCCTATTGAAGAAAAGGAAGAATCTCCAGCAAAAGACGAAACGCCCAAGACTAAAACTCGCAAAGAACTGAAATTTACTCCCCCGAAAGATAACAAAATTGTGACGAAAAGCGCGAAAAAGGATAAGGAAAAAGATGCCAAAAAACGGTCCAGTTTCATATTGCAATGGGCGCGAAATACCCCAAAAAAACCCAAGAACACCAACGAAGTAATCGTCATCGATGATGATGAGGAAAGGCTGATGAAAGGACAATCGAAGACCGATGGAATTTAAAGTCTGGTAAAATTAACAAACCTTTATTATTATTGATTTGTTTTTATTAATGATCGTTTCAGATTGTACATAGTATTATTTATTGTTTATTGCTTTTAAGTAAATTTTTAATATTTTTTTTCTTACTCGACTAAATCGTTAATAAAGTAATAATATTTGATTGTTATAATTTAATTAGTTTTTCCAATTATTTTTTATTCAAGGATGAAGTTGTAGGGGAGTTCAGAAATTCGAAATGAAAGAAATTATTTAATAAATTTGCCTATTTTATTGACTGACATATAACACTTTCTAATTACATAATAACATATAACAAATGATATGCGTATGAAGAAATACACATAACCAGTCAATAGTAAAAATAAATAAAAAATCTTGCAACTACCAGTAAAGCATCTTATTTACAAAATAAAAAAAATCGTAATGGACTAGTTGCAGTTTTGATAAGGGTTTCGTTTATTTACAACATTTACAGTTGCTTTATTCGAATCTATTTACATATATATTTTTTTTCTAAATACAATGAGAATGAACAAAATTTACTTTCGTTAAATTTTGCTATCACGTTTAGAAGTAACATTTAGTAGACGATATATTTATGTATTAAAAAATTGCTTTTATTACAACAGTCCATAAGATGTATTATCTAAATCTCGATTCTCTAGATTAAAAAACGTATCAAAGTATGAAAGCAGTTGAAAGAAAAGACCACCGAGGCCTTTTTTTATTGAAAATCATCACTAAAGCTAATTAAAAATGCGTTTTGATTGGCAGTTTTTAAAGTGATTGTTGGCACAGAAATTCCCAAAAAAAAATCGGTGCAAAACGAAAAATTTCACCGGAGCAGAGGAGAGAACATCGAGTAAAAGTTTTAGTAAAAAATAATTTCATCGATTTCACATTTGATATTATTGCTCGAGTTTCTTACAACGATTCGATAATTGAAAAGTTCGTTCGCCAAACCAAATCAAACGGACGTCATAATTCACAATAAAACCGGCCCGCTATTTCTTGAACAGGGTCTGGTAGAGCGGCCTCCGGTGGGGCTACATCTTCTTAAAGCTACCGTGGGCGGCGGCGTTGTCGATGAAATGCTGCTGGGCGCTATTCACAAGGACGGGTCGCGTTTCTTTGGTATTCGCCGACGATATCGAGCTGCTGCTCACGCCGGAATCGCTCGACTTCTCGCTCAGGCAGCTCCTGCCCAGCACGTTCGCGCTACCTGCTTCTAGGCCTAAATCGTTGCTCGTCGTTCCACCTAAAACACCACAAAAAAAATCGTCTAGCAACAAGTCCAGCAGAAGAATGAGTGAACGTACTTTGTATGTACTTCTCATCGGCGGCGTCGTCGAGGTTCTTGCGCGCGCATCCGCCGCTCAGCGGCCGGCCGGCGCTCTTCCTGCAAGGATCGATCAGCGACGTCTGCCCGTGCACGCCGACGTACGAGTCCTTCGGCTTCTTCTGCTGCAACAGCTGCAGCTCGACGCTCGCCGAGTTCGGTATGTTCGGCTGGTAGGCGAGCTCCTCCTTCAGATTGATGAGGTTCTTCTGCGCCTGCTTGACGCGCGCCATGATCTCGTTGTTGCACTGCTCGACCACCGAGTCGAGGTTGTTCTTGTCGCCGTCGCTCGCGTACGATTCGCGCTGGCGCTGCCGCTGCCTGGCCGGCTTGGCGCCGGCCTCGTAGCAGCCGGAGTCGCGCGGGAACTGCCGCCGGCCGAACGGCGAGCCGCCGCCGCCGCCAGGGCCGGCGTCGAGGCGCCGGTGTTCGTCGCATTCGCTGCTCGAACCGGCCACGTCGCCTTCGCTACCCGCTGCAAATACAAACAGTAACGAAAACCGCGCTCATTAGATACCATATCGAACTCGAGGATACCTCCAATGGTCGACCAGAAGAGGAGATTATTACTGCTGGTTCTAGTAGAGGAAAAAATTGATACTTACAATCCAATTCGTGCAGCATTTGCACGGCGGTGAGCAATTTAGCCCTGTGATCCGTATTGACGATGCCCAAATAGTCCAAATCGCTGGGCTCCAGTTCCTTGAACAGCTCCAAGTCCTCGTAGCCGTTCAGTATGAAAACCGATATGTAATCGTGCAGGCCGATCTTCATCAGGAGATCCTCCACGGACATCGGCTTGCCCTTGATGTTCCTGTGCCACTTGCCGTCCCTTTTCGACTTCACCGACCGCTCCGACAGCAATTCGACGTTGATGAACTTGAACGTGCCCTTCCTGCCCCTGCAGACGCCCCTCCATTGGCCGCTCGGATTCATCGACACTACATCTATAATATCACCAGCCTACAAATCCAAACGGTACATTCCGAATCTCCCGCGCAACGAATCCGCCTCAACGCACCTTAAATTTCAACGCGTCCGCGTCGTAGGGACTCGGCACGTGGTCGACCAGCGCCCTGGCCCTGCCGACGATCTGCTCCGTCGGGCTGGCGTCCGGCTCGTCGCCGTTCGATATCGAGCTGTGGTTGCTGCCGGCCCGCACCAGCGCCTGCGTGCTCGATCCCGAGCCGCTCGGCAGGCTCTCCACCGAGCTGGCCGAGCACTGGAACGGCTGCTCCATCGACCGCTGCTGCTCGTCGAGCTTCAGGCGCGATATCTTCCGTTGCACGTCCTCCCGCAGCCCGCGGACCTTCCCCGCCAGGCCGGACGCTCCGGCCGATCGGCCGTCGCTCGACTGCAACAGATCATTCTTCTTAGTATCATTAGCATGGATTTCGGGAAGAATTGGTATACATTTAGGAATTAAGGCATTCTAGGGGATAGAAGAGGTGTCCGAACGAAAAGAAACTCAGTATTTACCACGTGTACGGTGGCGATTTGTTGGCTGCAGTTGCTGTAATCGTCTTGCTCTTCGTAGTCGGAGCTTTGGCCCGGCGACAGGCCGTCCTCGCTCCTGGCGTAGCCGCCGATCTTCCTGAAATGGCGGATCTTGCCCTCCAGCTGCGCGTAGTACTGCGTAGTACTGTAGTGCTCGGACCGGCCGGCGTCCATCGAGAGCGCCGACAGGCGCGAGCCGACGCTCTGGACGTCGGAGCCGGCGTAGTCGGCGCTCTCCGCGTCCCTGGGCGATCTGAGCGGTATGATGGCGGCCGGGCGGCCGGCCTGCGACGGCAGGATGAGGCCCCTGCGGGGCCCCTGCGGCAGCGAAATGTCGCCGGCGCTGCGCAGCGAGATGACGCCCTCGGCGCGCGCGTCCTGCCTGGCGTTGAGCGTGAAGCACACGCGGCCGTTTTGGATGGTGGCCGTGGGGCCGTCGTTGCAGCCCATCAGGAAGTCCTCGGGGTCGCTCTCGTAGGGCGGCTCGTCGTACCAATGGGCGGGACGGTTGAGCGGGTCGGCGTAGTGCGATTGGACCGGGGCCAGCATCCTGGCGTCTTCGTCGTACATGTAAGTGTCGTCTGGAAGATTTTCGGATTCGAAAAATTCGTTTTTTTTTTAACGAGCACGAACTTACCACCGGATAGAGGACCCCGGATGCCTTCTTTACCTAGCTGGAGCAGACCCTGTTTGATGTCCCTCAGAATCTCCTCGTGCTCTTTGCTGAACTTCTCGCGCTTCCTCAGCGCTTCTTGGAGCTTCAACTGCAACGGTAATTATTTGTAGCGGAAAAGTTTGTTACGGGGGGACCGTGAAATTTATCTATCTATCTATATCGGAAATAAACGCGATTTTCGGAAGGGACAGGATCGTTCGTATCATTCTCCTGCCGGTATCGTAAAAGCTACGACCGGTCGAGGTAATAAAACGCGGAAAAATCCCATCGCATCCGCCCCGAATCTTGATTTAGCTAGCCCGAGGGAAGCCTTAACCCTCGATTCTTTCGCCAGAAAATACCAAGAGGTAACGCGTTTACTCGGTAAACTTCTAATTAAATATTTAATCTCGCGAACGAATCATTTCCATTTGAATAGAAGGTACCAACTGATACTTGTAGGTACCCTGAATCTTCTATACTTAACCATCCTCTAAATCTACTCTGAATCTTCTTCACTTTATCCTCTCTAAGTCTACTCTGAATTTACACTGAATCTGCTCTGGATCAACTCTGATTCCACTCTAAACCTACTCTAAATCTACTCTGAATCTTCTCCATTTTACCCTGTTCTAAATTTATTCTGAATCTTCTCCACTTTACCCTCTCTAAGTCTACTCTGGATTTACACTGAATCTGTTCTGGATCAACTCTGGTTCCACTCTAAACCTACTCTAAATCTTCCCTAAATCTTCTCTACTTAACCATCCTCTAAATGTACTCTGAATCTACTCCATTTTACCCTACTCTCAATCTTCTCTACTTCTATTTGTACCCTACCCTACTCTACTGTTTTTTTAGTTGGTACAACTTTCAACCTTCGAACAAAGTTTCATTTTTATGAACCCAAATCCCGCAGATTCCTCCGCAGATCGGCGCCGGAAAAATCCGTCCGCAAGTGATCGATCCCCGGCCAATCCCCCCGCCTCGCCGCCGGGGGCCCCCGGAATCGGCTCATCAACGTTGATCACCTCCGAAGGCGGCCGTATTTACGCTTCTCCTTTCCGCCCGCCCGGACGGCGGTCATCTTTCAGACGGTCACTTAAAATTCCCGAGGCGGTCGTATTCTATCGCGGCCCTCTCGGCGCCCCCGTAAACTTTATCGGCCCCGAGACCTTTTTCCCTCCGCCTTCGGAAAACTCCGGCCGGCCTTAACACGCAACCGTGTTTGCTTATCCGGTTTGCTTTCTCCCAAGCGGCTACCTCCGCCGATTCCGCGGGGATTTATACAGGGCGAGTCACTTCTAATGGCCCGTTAGAGGTACTTGGAAATTTTAAAATGTTGTGTAGGTAGATTTAGAGTAGGTGTAGAGTGGAATCAGAGTTGATTAAGAGCAGATTCAGTGTAAATTCTGAGTTGACTTAAAGAGGGTAAAGTGGAGAAGATTCAGAATAGATTTAGAATAGGGTAAAATGGAGAAGATTTAGAGTAGATTTAGAGGATGGTTAAGTAGAGAAAATTCAGGGTAGATTTAGAGTAGGTTTAGAGTGGAATCTGAGTTGATCCAGAGCAGATTCAGTGTAAATTCAGAGTAGACTTAGAGAGGGTAAAGTGGAGAAGATTCAAAGTAGATTTAGAGGATGGTTAAGTAGAAAAGATTCAGGGAAGATTTAGAGTAGGTTTAGAGTGGAACCAGAGTTGATCCAGAACAGATTCAGTGTAAATCCAGAATAGACTTAAAAAGGGTAAAGTGCAAAAAATTTAGAGTAGATTCAGAGTAGAGTATATGTGCTTTTTTTTCGAAAAAATACAGAAATAAAATCTGAAATATGAATCATTCCACAGATTTCCCACCGCCGCCCGCCCGCCTCCGAATCGGCTTAATAAAGAAACCGCAAAATCGGAATAAATCAATTTGGCCGGCGCGCCGGTCATTTTTCCTTATTTTTTCCGAACGGGAAAATCGTAATCGGCGTTCCGAGGAAAACGCGAAACTGGGTTAATGCTTGGAAAAATACTCCTGGAGAGATCAATATGGTGTTTACCTTCGGGACGGGTAAATCCCCGACCATCAAATAAAAGAAAATATTTTCCTGAAATACTTAAACGAATTGTACACATCCGATTGCGAGTTTTACAAAATACATCTCTTGAGCAACGTTTAAGCAATATTTAAGCTATATTAAAGCAACCATTAGAAAGATATTAGACCAATATTACAGCAATATTTAAGCAGCGTTAGAGTATCTAATATTACAGCGACGTTTGAGGAATATCAGAGCATTTAAATTACCTTATAAATGGTTTCCTCGAAGGTGTTCGGCGTGCCGCCGTTGAGCTGGAGATTCCTGAGCCTGTCGTAATCCCTGGGATCAACCATGGACCGGAGGACGGCGTGCTGGCCCAAATCGGTCAGGCCCAGACCGCTTTGGAGGACGCTATCCGGAGTATCGACCTGGAATTATCCAGATTCACTTATATATTTTATAAACAACAGCGACTGGAAGTAGATATCTACTGATGGAATTTGTAGAGGCGATTATCTCGAAAACTAATTCAGACTTGAATGCAGAAATAACCTGTTATACTCTGTTCGGCATTAGGAGAGGAGTAGTTTTGAGTGCAATAGACAGCACGGGTGAAGGGTGAAGAGTAGGGAAGAGTAGGGAAGAGTAGGGAAGAGTAGGGAAGAGTAGGGAAGAGTAGGGAAGAGTAGGGAAGAGTAGGGAAGAGTAGGGAAGAGTAGGGAAGAGTAGGGAAGAGTAGGGAAGAGTAGGGAAGAGTAGGGAAGAGTAGGGAATAGTAGGGAATAGTAGGGAAGAGTAGGGAAGAGTAGGGAAGAGTAGGGAAGAGTAGGGAAGAGTAGGGAAGAGTAGGAAAGAGTAGGAAAGAGTAGGGAAGAGTAGGGAAGAGTAAGAAAACTTGGGAAGAGTCCTATTTCCTTGTACCATTCCTTTGTCGGTTCTTCTATTTATTTTTTGGATTCACTGCTTCAAGAAAGTTTTATTACCATCTCCTGAATACGAACAGAGTATAAAAATCTCTAAAATCCCTAAAGAAATGTTCCACCCTGCACAATATTTTCTCTATTTTTCCTCCTACTATCTCCTGATGTCGAACGCACTATAATCATATTTTACAAAAACCCAATAATGAATTACCACCGCTAATTAACCGTTTTTATCCGCTTGAACAAATCGATTCGTCGAAATTCGATATTCCCGTTTCCAACTCGTCGAATGAAATCCGCATGAAAATCGGGCGGGCGCGATCGGGAAATCCCCCGTCCTCGTCGAGACGTCGAGGGTATACTTTTAATTCAAATTTCCTTTCCGACGGGCGACATCTGAACTCGACGCCCCGACGTCGCAAGGAGACGTATATAGTGCACGGTAAATAAAATTGCATTACTGTCAAAGACGCTGCCCGAATCCGTAATTTCGGCCCTTCCGCTGTATCTACGGCACGACAGGAAAAAAAATAGGGGGATGATGATGATGATGGTGGCGATGATGCGGGGGAGTTGTCAGAACCAGATACACTGCGTATATATTCGAGATGACCGGAGTTTTATATGATAAAAAAGGGCCGTGTTGGTTGGAAATAAGGGGTGAATTCGGGAGTTTGTTTCGCCCTGTACATTTATCGATTTAGGCGTCTAAACAATCCGGTCCTGCGGGAAAGGACTGCAGGAAATTCCGCGATAACATAAGTGGTGTGCAATAAAATATGTAAATGTCCCTATTTTGCCCCTTTTCGGTGAAATAACAAGCGAGTTCTGAGTAATTTTAACCCACCCTCGTCGCTGTCATTCCATTTAACCAGCGGCGTACACGAAAACCCTTTTCCCATATTCGCCCTATACGATTTAAAACTACCCCATTTCTCCTTAGTATCGCAATTATTAGTGAACACAAATTTCATAACTTTACTTCCCTAAATATTTATCTCTCTATATGTATACATCACTGATTTGAGAATAACAATGAGCAGTATCTAAGCAAAGTATAGATGAATATATTGTTAAGGTAAAGAAATGATAGGGCGCCGCTGGATTTAGTGATTACTATTCAAGACGGCCTCAGTTTCTGCCGAATTTCTCCGGCTATTCCTGCGTCTTATCGCGAACAGATTAAAAAGAAGACTAAAAATTTGTTTCCGGTGATTAATCGCCGGGCATTTGCATGAAATTCTACTTCCTCCATCCGACGAGGTAATAAAAGTTTTAATTTAGATCGAGATCGGGCCCCCGGGGGGAAGGTATTTCATTCGATTCGTTTAATAAACGAACGGCCTAATGTGTTAGAGAAAAATTACTATTTTTCTCCAAATTGTATAGTGAGGTAATTTTTAATTTATAATATTATTCGCGGAGTAGAGCTGTATTATATTCGGTGTTGCGATGCAATTACACGTTAATTGGTAAATAAAATTCTCGTCGTACAAACTCCAGTTTTTTCACGTCTACTGAAAATTTCAGCTCCTTTGACTATTCGACCTATTTTTTTTCTCCCGTCGCTTCGTCAAAGGGAAGAGGAATTTCGCGCAGGTAAAACCAGCTCTTGGAAAATACTCTAATTAATATTCCACTCTTTCGAATTAAATTTGAATTTTCGGCGAATCCCCCACGACTATTATATATCTCCAGTCGAGTGGCTGTAGGCCCGACCAATCTACCGTACAAAAAATAACCACGAAATCTCCAAACTAACAAGAATTTATCGTCGTTCCCTCTTCTACATATTTCCCGCACGACTCCATTGTCTCGGCCAGTCTCGAGTGGAGCGTCATTGGCCTCTTCCTTTTCCGCTTACCGGCCACTCCAGACCCGATCCGATCCGGAACTGTCGCGCGTGTTATTTACCCGATTGCTTATCTCCCCTGTAAAACAGCTTATGGAATCAGTTTTCGACTATACCCAAAAACTACCCCTTTCGCTTAAAAGAAAACAGACTTGTTTACGGCTCGATTTCACCAGCGTTTCGAAGTTTCCGGAGCACATTTCAGACGGGACGGGATGTAAATAAATACACACAACGCGGCGTATCTAAGCGTTTCAAGTTTCAAGCCCGTCCTGAACTTGTTGTGGCTGTCATCTTAAAGTTGCGCCGCATTCTGCGATGTAAATTCCCCTGTCCTTCCGCCTTTATCGAAACTGCCTGAGAAGTATGCCCGTCTGAATACAAAGACGCGGCAACAATCCTTTTAAGTCTTTCGTCCGGGCGGCGCGGAGGAATTAATTAAGCCGAAACATTCTTGCGTCTTGTCGGAGAAAACGCGCGCCCGAGGTATTTTTGAGTAAACTAAACCGCGCGCTGGCGGCGCAAAAATTTATCATACGAATCGACGTGTATGAAGGGTTTTCCGGGCGGACGGGCGCATTTCATAAATCACGTCGAGATCGAAAGGCTCGTTTATTTTCCTTTCTGTATCTGCGACTGTGTCCATCGATATGGAGCTGTCTGGGCGACTTTCTGATAATGCGATTCGGACGAGTGTGAAATGGGAACGGTGTATATAGGCGCTTATACGCGGAACTAATGCCGCGCGGGTGAAAAATCCGGCGTAATCCGGAGAACGGGCTCCTTACGGCGCGTCATTATCTTATGCAAATCGACCGCATTTACGCTAAACGCATTCGGCCCGGAATTTATCCGGAAAGTTGCCACCTTAACCCCTTTAACGTTAGTTAGTTCGGGCGAAACAAACCCACGCGCCGCATCGGCTGTTTACGGCGTTTAAATAACTTTCGCCGCCGTATATCCCTTAATGGGACCCCGAGAAAATACAGACCATTACACCCGACTGGATTTTTTTACTTGCGGTGCTATAACGCGTGAATTGTACAGGAAAATCCTTAGACAAAGACCGCCATTATCTAATCTAATCTACTTTACTGTGTTGCATTTGTGAATCAAAATTTTAACGTAGAGAAATTTTAAATTTTTGGCGGATGCGCTGGATTTCTCCACCAAAATTGCAACTCGCTTGGAGCACTATTAGCTCGATTTAAAGGGCAATAGGATTCCCTTAGAAACTCTAAACATTAAAGATACTCAGAATCGAAGAAAGTATAGGGAATTTTTCATCTAATGTACCTCATTGTATTGCATTCCAGAATCAAATTTTTCGTATTTACAAACATTTTTTGGGGGATGCGCCTTTTTCCTCCACCAAAATTGCAACTTCCGTGTTGCATTATCAAGTCGATTTAAATGGTAATACTCCCTTACAAAACTCCCACCAAATGACAAAGACAGTCGTAACCGAAGAAACTATCATTGAAACTTCAAAGAGAATTTTTAATTTAATACACTTTACACAAATTTTAATTTTTCGGTGGATGCGCCCAGTTCCTCCACCAAAATTTCGACTCGGCTTGATTTAAATGGTGAATTAAATTCACATTCATCGAAAATTGGGACGCGCATTTGGTGTACACTCGGCTCGTTAAGATGCACCAAAAGGGCCGCCTCGAAATGATTAAAATATCCAAGTTATAATCGACAATGGTCGGCGTTCTCGTGTCGCCGAGTTTTTAATCCCGGCGAATTTTTTTTGAGGCTTATTACCGCAGACGCGGGCCAATCGGACTGGAAAATCATCATAAATAAAGATGCCCGATTCGAGAAATTTATGCACTCTACACCGGACGAATTTATTACGCAGTTATGCATAAAATAATACAATGTATATTAAAGAGTTGTTCGGATGTCTGTAGGTACATGTAAACTGGAATTGGATATTAAACGGAAGGAGCCCGAAAAGAAAGGGAACGTTTATTTATCGTGTTATGTATGTGAGAAGGTTGTAACTTTTTTATTTCCTCTAGTAAACCCGTAAAAATTTCACGTAGACAAAAACAATTTATGAAAGCGACGGAGAATAAAGAATTCGACGCGGAGAAACTCAGTCTTATGGCCCATAACAAGGTCCATATATTCCCGGTTGGAGAATATTTTTTTATTGCGCCCTTTTTAAACTACTGGAATTTCCCGAACGAAACATATCGATTCCCACGTGATTATAATTTCATTAGAAAAACAAAGTACTATTTTTGCTGTATATAGAAGGTTATCAAGAGTTACCAACTCCCTTAATTGAAACGTACCATCCAATTTCGCTGGAATGCATTATTCAAGGCGCAATTAAAAACCCTCTTCTATCCCATACCATCGCGAAAACCCGCTCTCTAGCATAGCGAAATATCGACGAATTTTCCTAGGAAATCCACGAGCACTCTTCCTAATAGTCGCCTGTACGAACGAGACAGTTAATCCGTCTCGAACGGACACGCACAAAAGCCCGGCTTACCTTCGAGCAATTAGAGAAAAATTCACTTCAAAAAAAAAAACCTTCGAAAAATGCAAAGCTCACAAGACGTTAATGAAAGGCGAGCTAAAGTATCGCTCGCTTTTCCGACTTATTTTTTTCCTCTGCAATCCTTTGTTTCGACCTTCAAAGTCGCGCTGCGAAAAAAAAGATAGATGGAGGTTGATGACACGGCTAGAGGATTACGAATTTTTTTTTTCGGTCGCCTCGGAAACTCGCTTAAAAATCCCGCTTTTTTTCTCGTTCCGCATTCGAAACGGGATAATTATTGTAAAACATTTTTTAGCGTCGCGCTACGTTTTAAACGAATTAAATTCGTACAGTGCATCGTATACAGGGTGGCGCGAAACGGGACACTCTGTATAGTAAAGTATCTACAGGATTTCCGAGGAAAATAAATTGTACCGGACGGGTGAATTGTTTTAAAATAAAATTCTCTAATTCGAATCGGACCGGCGATAAATTCCCGCAAACAGCAGATTAAATGGCGATACTGACCCCTTTAACAGAACTAATTATGACATTAGCGGGTAAATAAATCACCGGGTAATAAAGACCGCTGGCGAGGGAAAAAGAAACCCGCACGCTACACTTACATTTTATCACCGGACTCGACTATTACGTGTTGAAAAAATATAAATCTATTCCGGATAACGACTAACAAGCTTTTTATGGGTTTCACAGGCACAAATTCCACCCGCTCGTGAGCCGGTAGAAGGGGCCCCGGTTCGAAAAATGACCGAAAATCCCCCGCTCGTCTGCCCTTTGAGCTTAATTAATTTACTTTGGAGCAATGCAAATTGACAAGCACTTAAAAAATTCTCGCTCAATTTACCGGCGAAACGGGGCGCCCCGGACTCATCGCGGCAGAGAGCGCGAATATAATATATCTCGGGGGTAGCGTCTGAGCGAATTTAATTGCGTTAAAACGAAAAACCTGCTTTTGATTATTTTCCGCTGTTTAATTAACGGGACCGGGGGTGGGCGAAGCGTCGCGGGAAAGGGGGCGATTTTCGGCGACTTACCCGCTGCGGGACGCCCCTGGCGGCGGCGGCGGCGCGGCCGTGCCTCGGGGAGCTGGCCCCGTGCTTTTCTTTGCGATGGGACGTCTTCAGGCCGCGCAGGAATCGCGAGAATGTCGTCCGTTTCTTGCTCGTGTTCGTGTAGTTTTGGTCTGAAAAGATAGAAAAATTACTCAAAATTCCATCACTTGTTAATCCCCGATAAATAGGAGAATTCAAGAATATTTTGGGGAAGACATTATAATCTAAACTAAAACCTCAAAAACTCAAAACTCGATCACATCATGTTATTTCTCTTATAAGTAGTAGAATTCAAGAATATTTTGTTATAGATATTAAAAACTAAACTAAAACCTTAAAAACTCAAAATTCGATCACATCATGTTAATTCTCTTATAAGTAGTAGAATTCAAGAATATTTTGTTATAGATATTAAAAACAAAATTAAAACCTCCAAAACTCAAAATTCGATCACATATAAATTCCCTTATAAGTAGTAGAATTCAAGAATATTTATGAAAGATATTAAAAACTAAACTAAAACCTCAAAAATTCAAAAAAAAATTCGATCACATATAAATTTCCTTATAAGTAGTAGAATTCAAGAATATTTTGGGATAGATTTTAAAAACTAAACTAAAACCTCAAAAACTCAAAATTCGATCACATATAAATTTCCTTATAAGTAGTAGAATTCAAGAATATTTTGGGGTAGATTATAAACTAAAATAAAAACTTAAAAACTCAAAATTCGATCACATATAAATTCCCTTATAAGTAGTAGAATTCAAGAATATTTTGTTATAGATATTAAAAACTAAACTAAAACCTCAAAAACTCAAAATTCGATCCCATATAAATTCCCTTATAAGTAGTAGAATTCAAGAATATTTTGTTATAGATATTAAAAACTAAACTAAAACCTCAAAAACTCAAAATTCGAACACACATAAATTCCCTTATAAGTAATACAATTCAAGAATATTTTGGGATAGATATTATAAACTAAACTAAAAACTCAAAAACTCACAAGTCGATCACATGTAAATCCCCTATATGCTTATAAGTAAATTGGTATCTCATTTTGACGCCAGAATATGTGGGTATAATTTTATATTACACCTTTGTTACACCCTGTATAACGACATTATTAATACAGGTATAAAATATGAAAATAATTTTCGGGTAAAAATAAAACTTTATATAATTCCATATTCGAATTTCATCAAATCGACCGAAAGCCCTGAAATATTCATCGGACGGGCGCTATTGCGCGCTTCGCGATAAAATAAATGAAAATTAATAAAATATTTTCGGCATTTTAATTATTGCATTGGGATAATTTACGCTCCGGAAAATGTAGATATTTCAATGGGGGAAAATTTTAATCGAGCCATTATTAATGTGCGCTCGGCCGTTAATAAATAAAAGAAACTTAAATGTGCCGCGTTTTAATTCGAAAACCGTCCGTTTTTAATAGAGAAATTCGATTTAATCGGGTGATTATTGAATATTTCATTCGTCGCGCTCGACGCAAGTATCGTTTTAATCTTCCTCGCTCAAACGACAATGTCCAATTGAATTATAACGACAAATACACTCTAATTCAAGCCAATATATCAAAAAATTCTATTTTTATCTAAATCGATTTTTTTTCTTCTTTCGTACGCTACATTATATCATCCTTAATGCATTAATTTCCTGGCGGGCCGGCCGTAAATCTCGCTCTTTTACTCTCTTAAATAAACGGATAACGGGACCAGAGACACCGCTCGCAATACATTCATTCTCTTTAATCCTCTGCTCCTTGTCCCGTCCACTTCATTATATTCCATTAAAATGTCCCTAACTTGAGCGCATAGGCGCGAATAAGTAGTCAAAAATACGATTTTTTTTATTATAAAATCCAAAATGTCACTTGTCAATTGTTAAAAAATGTTTTGGACCGAATAGCCGATGCAGTCGAGGCCTTAAAAAGAGGTAAAATAAAGAATTCTCGGCTCTTTTATTTTCTTAAATAAACAGATAACGGAATCAGAGACACGGCTCGCGATGCATTTACTTTTTTAATCCTATGCTACTTGCCCTAACTTCAAAATATAATAAAGTGTCAAAAATTCCATTTTTCTTTATTGAATCCTAAACATCACTTGTCAAAAAAACATTGGGGACTGAATAACCGAAGTAGTCGAGACCTCAAAAAGAAAGATGAAAGAGGTAAAATAAAGAGTTACATTTTTTAAGAAACTTTCTAATTAAATCCAACTTTTTTTATCTATTAGAGAGTATACGTAAAAGTTCCGAAATCGCCGCATTCTTCCTCCTTAATTATCGGATATTAAAATTTAATTAAAAAAAAATCGAAAACTCCTCAAATTTAATCGACGGCTCCTCCAAACAGCGCGTTGCTTTTTTCCCATCGCAGCGAGAGAATCGAAATTGATTGGGCTAATTAAGAAGTTTCCGAATTAAAAACTTCATCTTCTACAATTTCCGCCCGCATCGGAAAATTCTTTAATAGTTGTTAATTAATCCCCCGACGTTTAATCAACGCGCACCAAAAAAATTCCTCCAACAATAACAGTATAGAGATCCGATCGGGGGGCGGGCGACTTTTCAATTTCGATCGCCCGAAACTTTCATCTAATATCACGAGCCATTTATCCGGCTCGTGAAATATTCAGGAGCGGGCGAAAGAAAGCGGCAACAAACGTCTCCGCCGCCTCCTTTCCCGCCAATGCCCCGTATATAATCCATTAAGAAATTCCGTATGCAAGCCCGGTAGCCAATTTGGAAATTATATTAGCGAGCGGGCCCTGCCTTGCCGGCGCTGCTAATTCGATTAAACGACCTTGAAATTCGGCTCGGCAACGACGCCTAATTGACTGGAGTGTTCCCGTTAATATTATTTACCTGAATTCCGACTTTGTAACTATTCGAGGGCGCGACCCACTGTTTAAAACGTCCCCGAAATTCCAAATTCCACAGGATTCATTCCAACGCTTCCGTGACGTCACGCTGCGCTACTATGAAACATACTATATGTATAGATATACAAAATATACTTAACTTTCTTCCTCTTTTGGTAGTATACAGTGAGGACCAAAAGTCCGTCGCCCCCCCCTTTAACTTTTGAATGGTAAGAGCTTTTGTCGCGCAATTTGGGGTGTTTATATTGGAGTAAAAATACTATTTTTTGACGTAAAAATGACAGTTGAAACTTTCAAAATTACAGTTAGGCGCCATTTATGTGTGACACCTCGTTTTAAAGGTAATTTAATTCTTAAGTCAACCCCCAAATTTGAAAACATTTTAATAACGCGTATTCACGTGAAGACCAATTTAGTTTTAACCCCCGGCCATATTGATACATTTAAAAATTCATTCTGAACGTACTATAAAATGTGTCAATTAATTGTTGCTGTGGTTTCTTGGCTCTGACATTTATTTGTCAAATTTAAAGTTGATGAAATTGACAATGGCTCGTCCTTTAAACGAAAAAACTGCATTTTTAATCCAATATAAACACCCCAAATTGCGCAACAAAAGCTCTTATCATTTAAAAGTTAAGTGGGGGGCGACGGACTTTTGGTCCTCACTGTATATATCAACGAATTACTGAAAGGCATGACGTAATCACCCCACGATATTGAATGTAGTATGACGTCACCCGGCGCTACAATAAAACATACTATACGTATACACAAAATAAAACTTTCTTCCTCTTTTGGTAGTAAGTATATCAACGAATTACTGAAAGACGTGACGTAATCACGGCGCGATATTGAATGTAGTATACGCGAAATTAGGTATAGTACGTTCAGGGATAATTGAATGTGACGTCACGGTAGGATTAAGGCGAATTTTCGGTGCAATTCGAGTTAATAAACGGGCGGAGGATTAATTGAGAAACGTGTACGTCGGTCATAAACGGATATAGTAGTTCATCTTTTATAGTTTTACCGCAATAACGTACGTGTGGAAATGGCCCGATTCGGGATTTGCGTACATAAAATGGCGGAGAGTTAGCGTGCTAATAACACCACCTATACAACGTGTACAAGTTTCGAATTTACATGCTTTAGTAATAAGGGGTATCGTTTTTTCATCCCTTTTCTACTACTGAATGTGGTATATGTTCTAGTTTCAAGGCGTAAGAGTGCGCAACTTCTACTGCGCATAAACATTTGAACCGTTTCTACAGCGCTGTTGCCAAATGTTTGTTATTTATATTCTTCGTTATTGAGTTTTACATTATGTTAGGTTATGTATGCCATTCGTGTCATTAATATGCATTTTTAATTACATCAAATTGATAATTTACTTCTATTAGCTAATAAATGCCAAACTAAACGTAAATAAACTTCATTTTATAAAATTACATTAAATATTTGATTCAAATATTCACTCGCTATAATTACCTAATGTATTGTTATTAGGAGTAATCAATTTCATTATCAATTAATTCAATCGAATGTTCGAACATTCCCTTAAATCAAATAAAACCATAAAAAGTTGGCAACAGCGCTATCGAAACACTTCAAAACGTTTCCATCATTTGTAAGCGCATTAGAAATTATCTCCCAACAAATTTACTCCAAATATTTCTAGCGTACGCCTATGGTTACAAGAAAATTTCTTCATTCAGTCTAATTAGGAACGCCCTGTATATTAAATCCTCCATCTTCCGTCCCTATTTGTCCGTATTAGAGCAGGGAAAACGTACCATTTTCGCGCATAATGCGAAACGACGGTACGAAATACATTCGAGTAAATTACGATGGTAATTTAGGAAACGCGGAAAACAATGCGAGGAAAAATACATTCGAGGAAAATATTAAGAAAAATAATGACGTTTCAGCACGCATTCGCATCGCCTACTTTAACGCGAACACCTTTCGTCCGGGATGGTGAAAAACGGCGATAATAAATAAGAATTTATTTTATTACCGCAAACAGCCGAGCAATTATGGAGTTTTAGAAAGGAATGAAAAAAATTGTACACGGACTCGATGAAATTGGTAGATAAAGAAGTAAATTAACCCCTTTGCACTTTAACCTACAGTTGGTGCTAAACAAATATCAATGCAACTTATCTCAGCCAATCAGCGTCACGCTACATATAAATCGCGGTTGTGTGAAACGACAGTTCGAGCTGTCAAAACTTCAAAAATTATTAATTTGACATCTCGAGGAGAAAATGGAGAAATACATTAACCGAAGATACGTGAGGCATGATGTTTACAACAAAATCATCGCTGATTTAAGTATATTTTTATGTTTTGTATCTATTTTTAGTTTGAATAAAACCTATCTTAATGCTAATTCTATATAATTCGTACGCAAAAAACCGTGGTCGTTTTAGGAACCCTGTTTCATCCTCAAATAACGGGACACTTTTTTGACCCATGTTTCCAGACCTTAGAAATATAGGACCGTGTCTACAATTTACCACAACTTGACAGTCAGTGTCTACCAACCTACTATAAAAAATAACTATTATTTTATATACAAACTTTGAATTTTGACAATATACTTTTTTTTGGATGATTTAATTCTACTTTTTAACATTTTCTATCATCCCTTGTTAATATTAAATTAAATTCTGCAGGTATTAAGCTTAATCTATTTTGTGTATTTATTTTTAAAAGTTGGTCACAATGCTTGGCAAATATGACGACAGTAGTGACGTGCATTCATATTTGTTTTGCACAACAGTATGTGCATTTAATTTACTAAAGTGTGTTAACAAAAATAAATTATTCAAGTTAAATTTCTAATGTTAGTGTATATTCGAAACTAGGCAACAAAATAAAAAAATTAGCACCTCAAATGAAGATTGAAATAAGATGAAAAATTTAAATAAGATGTCACAAAAGCCTATCCTTCGAATTTAAAAAAATAGGGGTGGTATATCTCATACTAATGTGTTAAAAATTTTAAATTACTAATTTCAACTTAAAAAAGAACAAAAATAGCCCTATATATTTCAGCCTTATTTAATTATTATTATTATTAGGATTCACATTGATAGAAAAAAGGGAGTAGGTACTTAATTCAAATAAAATGAATTAATTGCGCCTAATTATTCCGGAATAAACACGCGTTTTGATAAACCTTATTCGCAAATCCAAACTCTTGCATAAATCTTCCCGACGAATTTCCCTACTGCTGATGGAACTACATCAGAGATTACGGCGGGATAATTCAAAATAAACACCAGCGAATTTCCTTTCCCAGATGCCTCTCTATTTACCGCGTTCGTTATTCAAAACAACTAAGTCGCTAGCGGTAATTTTCGAGCAGTCGAAGCGACTGCATAACGGCGCAATTTCCGCGTTTTTTACGAGCGATAAGCGAAACACCACGTCCCGTATCCTTATTTCGAGCGTATGGTCACGTCGGGCCGTAAAGTCGAATCGCCCCGACGCCGGAAAATCCGGTTTTCCGTTTCCACGACGCGCTGTTACCTTTCCCATTGCTTTTCGAAAACTGAATAAACTCGTTATCTATTCTGTACTATTGTTAATTAACTAAGTATAACGGCCGATTTCATAAAGAGACACATTAAAAGGATACTTCTGTCCGTATTCAGTGCACGTTTCTAACGCTAATCAATCGTTAAAAGAATTATCGTGAACGTAAACAATGTCCCTAGTTACTCCGTAAAAACAATGTAAAATTGTTAAGTGAAATAATGTACTCCATAGTTGTGCAGGGTGATTCTGAAATAAGTGGTCAAACTTTTGGAGCGAGTATGAAAAACTTGGTTTTTATGGTTTTTTCGATTAAGTTTTTCTCAGAAACGTCACTGACTGTCAAGTTTTTGACAGAATGCCTTCCTACTTGATTTTTAATGATGACGATAGTTTAATAATGAGAATTTTAACGTGCACCGGAATTTTAAAAGTATTTTTTTGTATAAACGGTTCACTTTACGGAAAATCATCAAGTATACCTTTTTATGTAGGAAACTTCATTTTTTCATATTATTTAAACAAATCATTAGAAAAGGTTAAAATAAAAAAGTTAGGTTAAAATTACCCCACAACCCCCCTATTTTAACCCACCCCTGGATAACTTTTTTAACCCGATGGTATGGTGCCGTAAGGCATTTCATTTGCTTAGTATGTGTACCAAATTTCATCATTATACCTTCACTAATTATTAATAAAAATACCTCTTCGAGAATCCATCTTTAACACCCTGTATACTAATAACCAAGGATCATTCGAAAAAATGACATTTAAGTTTTCATAATATTTTGAGATTCTCTATTTGCTCCCAAAGTTTGACCACTTATTTCAGAATTACCCTGTATAATCTGTCAGTTTTGTGAGAATAATTTTGATTCTATAAAAATTCCAGTCCGATGAAGAATGATTTCTTTATATTAAAAGACCAAAAGTCTACAAAAGTCTTAAAAAAGAAACAGCTTCTCTCGAGTTTCGTATCATAATAAATCGAAAAATTAATTGTAAATTGACTTACCGTTCGGGGGAAATTCGTAGAAGTACGCCGATCTCGGGCTCAAGCACCTGGAAAAATCGAACGAAAAATCAATCAGTGGCTCGATTATTTCGAAAGTTGCTCGATTATATTCCGCGTCCAATTAAAGCATACATCAACATTAGCGAGTGTATTATGTTTGTAGTCCTATACAAGCGTTATAATTGGAATTAATCGAAATTACTCTCCGTTTTATAGAGAGACAAAGATGGAACGCGCAGATACATTTATAGTATAGAGAACGTGATTATCATTATGCGTAACAACGTGATGGAAATCGCTATAATCCATATATAATTAATAGCCGGGATACTATTACAATAACTGAGTTACGGATTGGACAACAAAGCCTCTACAGATATTATAGATGGGCCTAACTAATTCAGATATATCCTGTAGCATATACAAGATAATTTCGATTTTTGTAAGATGTGTTACGGCCCTCGTAAGTCGATGACTAACGGGGAACGGGAAACCGCCCGGTTTTTCCAGTACTTTTCCCTATGTACACGTTGATACGAATCGGAACTTCATTATTTCCAGACCACGTTCCGTTCGGCCGGATCGATCGCGAATTCGCGGCGTTTTTGAAACGAGATTATCCCGCTAAAACTTGAGAAATTCAATTTCGAATTAGAAAAGTTTCGGCAGAAAGGGGGATAGATATCCATCCGTCCGGGGCCTCTACACATGCTCCACCGCAATTGATAAATTAGATTTTTTTTTCATGCTTCTCTCCCATACGCTATTGTTCTCCTAATTAGCGCGGAAAGTTCACGTTCGGGGGCGAAAGAACCGGCAAATTCGCCAAGATGTATCGATAATGGAATTTGGGTTGCATGCCCGGAACGTGATAATTAACGTCTGTCGCTTGTATATTCAGCCAGTTCGATATTAATTCGAATCCGCCATACAATAATATGTTGCATAATAATATACATTCAATTCTACCCGGGATATTTCGTTATCAAAACATTGAATTCGTATCTGTACGGTATACGGTAATGAATCGCGATTGTACGTATAAACCTATTCGGATTAAACAAGATATACACCATCATTTTTAATCCCGGATTAATTCCATGTACACCTCATCGAATCCAGCTTGCCAGCTGGAAATTTTAAGAATGTATAGCTTATTGCACATCTAATCCATCTAACTGCCAAGCTACACTTGATGAGGTAAAGTGTTCTTGTTTGGTCTCAACTAGCAATCTACTTTGATGTAGTACAGATACTTACGTTTGATAATTGTGATGCTGGTGAACCAACAAAGGTTGATGGCTGGCGGTTTGCTGCTGGTTCTGCTGCTGGCCCAGCAGCCTCTGTTGCTGTTGCCTGGCTATCTGCGATGCGAACACGCCGTAGCCGAAACCGTAGATTTCGTCCTCTTCCTTGTCGCTCAGGCAGCTCGACGGCTGTAAACAACGAAAATAATTGACGGTATTATATACGGCTCTTTCCCGGATTCCCATCGATTCTCTCTCGACGAGAGCCGTTTTATCGTTGACCTGCATCTTTAAGGAGCGAATTTATCGTCTAGTCGAAACTCATTAGATGCATTCCTTCAGTTCGTTAATGCTACAAAGTAAATTATTTCGCCGAACGGGCGTCCCCCCAGAGAGATCGGCGTACTCCGTCTTCGATAATAGTCGATGGGAATTGGTCTTTGTGAGTCGAATCGAATGGTCCGGAGTTCGGATCCAATTCGAGGAATATGCGACGATTAAATCGATGATATTCTGGTGTGGGGAATGGAAGAATTTGGGACAGGAAAAAAGTAGCCGGAAATGCTGGAATTTATTTTTAACTACTAATGGCCACTGACTGAAGGAAGTAGATGATCAAGAATTGGTATATTCAATAAACAGAAGATGAAGGAAAGAAGAAAGCGAGAATATAAGAATAGAATTTTGCTCGAATACAATTCAACTGAATTCCACAATGATTTTAAATCGAACTGAACTATTAGGAACGATTTCATCGACAAATGCCTTACCCAGGGAGCATAACCGGTCGGTTATATCGTCGGTTATATCGTCGACTCGTGACATCTTTGCGAAAATCTTTTTCCGAAACAGTAACGAAGTGCCGCGGTAGTCGTTAACGGTAAATTAACCCGCGAGGTTTACGAGAAAACGGCCATTTTTACGGGCGATCCTTAAACGGTTCCAGTTGTAAATGCGCACTTTATTGGAGGAAACTCATTGTCCGCGAAAAACTCGTTATATCCATTACGTTATCCGCATTCGCTCCGTAAGGAAAACTACAGCAGGGACTTTGTTCATATTTCATCGACTCCCTTAATAGTATAACATCTCCAGCTACTTGTAAAACTTGTAGAAACTTGTAAAATCCTTACCGAATACTTTCCAGGTACGTAAATGGGTTGCGAAATGGAGGAAGTGAGCGGTCCGGAATGCCCGGAAGAGGGCGTCGATCTCCCAATGGGGCTGGGCGGCGTATCGGGCGTGCTGGGTTTGCGTTCTTTGGGCGACGTTTCGCTCCATTCGATCCTCCTCAGGTCCTCCAAATGGCCGAGAACGTCCACGTAGTGCGTGCTGAACAAATCGGCGTATCTGGACGCCAGCCCTTCCAAGTAGCCCCTGTCGCCGTCCTGGAAAAAAGCCAAAAAATGATATTTTTTATTGATTTTAAACTTATTATTTTTCGATCGCCCATTTGGCGGTCGTAGGGGATTTAATTTAATTCGCTTGGAGAGCGTTCGAAACGAGATAAAATTGGCTACAATGGCCGGCGAAAAAAAACCGATATTCGCGTTTATAAAGCTGTCTCGTTCGTTTCCCCATGTATCTATCTCATGGGAAGGAAATTTATCGACTACTTTCGGAGGAAAACGTATCGGCGTTCGCGCAACAGTGATGAATCGACCGGACAATGAATGGGTTTTATTGAGCCTCGAACAGCGAAAGTTGCACACTGAAGATTGCTGGAAAAAGTCGCATTGACAAGAAAACAGAGGACACCTTGTATAAGGAGGGTAAAATTCGGCTCGGGGAGAATTTAGAGAGAATTAATTGGCGAGGCGCGAGGGCGGAAAACTTCCCGTAACGCCGGCTTCTTTGTGACTTATCGGAGCGAATTTTATACGCTAGTTCGTGCGTTAACGAGCCTCTTCCATGTATCTACATCGGCAAACTTTCCCGGTCCGTATCGTTTTCGCGGATAAAACGCCAACTTTCCGCGAGTCTAAAGAACGCCCGGCGTTTTGCATAATTTACCTACTCCGCCGAAGTTATCCGGCAGTTTATAAACGTACTTATAGTCTAGTTAACCCGCATAATGCACGCGAAATTATTTTACATCCGCTCGAAAACTTATTGCCTGCATATGCCGTATTGGCCTCGTATCGGTCGCGCTTGCAGCCAGCCGGCATCGAAATCGGAAATTCTATTAGAAACGTAAACTCGAATTCCGTTACCTCCTCGTTACAATGCCGAAATTTTATACGTGCTCGTAAACCGGACTGTAAAGTTCCACGTTATTGAATTTCCGAGTACCAAGGCAACTTTCTCTATTGCTCTACACGACTCTGCTAGATTTTTTTGTCGTAAATCGACCATACTACCGGCCAGATTTAGCACCGTGATATATTGCCTGTGTACACTGCAAAAGATATAGCTGGAGACATTACGTTATGTCTACAACTATACCTTTTGCAGTGTGAAAAATTCGATGGAATTTTATAGAGACATCTCGTCGCGTAGTGAAATTACAAAAGTTCTATTGTCTTTGAATTTGCCTTTTCGCCCGAAAGAAATCGTCCTTTGTATGCAAATGGCGTACTCGTTAATGTCTCAATATTGTTCCGGAGGAATGCAAGATTGCTCCTTATTTTTTCTTATATACACAGCGAGAATTAAAGTTTCCTCTAATATAATTCGATACAAAGCTGTTTTCGTTTAATCACCAGATAAAGGGCATAATATAATTTTTAACCGGAACGTAAATAAACAAAAGTTAGCAATGCAGAAAAATACGGTAGAGCCGCAGGAAAAATACATCCGGCTTATATTCAGCGCGGCTGCTCCCTCATCCCTAATAAACATGGAGATTATTATTTCGAATGAGTTTCCAACGGTTTACGAGCCGCAATAACTTAACTAAACGGCGCAAAAGAAAAGAAGGAACCGTATACGAGTAAACCATAACGGATATATCTCGAACATCTCCTCGAAATTCCTCGTTTATTTCAAAGTAAAAACCGCCGGAATAGAACGACGATTTTAATGAAAAATCGCTACATAATCGAAAGGAAAGTTTTCCCCCGTAAAACTCTAGTTAAATTCGAATGGTAAATCTCCGACTGGCGGATCTTCAAATCGAGTTAGTTCATCCCCTTTATACTTTATACAGCCCACAAATGCGCGGCCCTTCGATATGTATTTGAGTGTTTCCTTTTCGCTAAGCCCGGATTTTCGTAAATATCCTTCAGATATTGCGGGATATTTCTACTGGATTCCGCACAGTCGTCGGATTTATTTCGAAAGCACTCCCGCAAAAACACACGTCCCCCGCTTGTTTTCTTGTACCGATAAAAGCGAATTTTCCAATCCAACCGCCGCAATACCGAAAATATCAACACTGCTCTTGTAATTGATAATCGATTAATCAATAAATCGGTCGGCGGAGTTAAATTGGGCGCAGAAATAACGCTTATTTTGCAACAGTCGTTACTGCACCTCTATACCGAATAATCGCTTCCCAACTCTATTAAATTTTTTGTCATGCGAAATGTCATTAATGTCAATTTTAAAATCCATCTTAAAGTCCGCATACAATGCAAAAAATATTAGTAATTTATCGTAGAATAGAGTAGTGAATATAGTAGAATGTAGTAGAATGTAGTAGAACTAAGTAGAGTATCAAGAGTTCGATATTTCAAAAATAACGCTTTTTGTAACAGTCGTTTCTGCACCTCTAACCAAAAAAATAATTCCCACCTCTATCAAACTTTTGTCATACGAAATGTCATTAATGTCAATTTTGATTAAAGTTTTTGGTTATGTAGCAGGTTATGTGTAGCAAGGTTATGTAGCATCGAACGCATCTTAAAGTCCCAACTGCTCGAGTACAATGCAAAAAAATATTATTAATTTATCGTACAGTAGAGTAGAAATGAGTAGAACAAAGTTATAGAGTTTTAAAGAGTTCGATATTTCAAAAATAACGCTTTATGTAACAGTCGTTACTGCACCTCTATACCAAAAAATTGATTCCCACCTCTATTAAACTTCTGTCATACTAAACGTCATTAATGTCAATTTTGACAGTTTTTGGTTATGTATCATCGAACGCATCTTAAAGTCCCACTAATTCGCGTACAATGCGAAAAAAATGCACAAATTTATCGTACAATTCTTAATTCAGGAATAAACGATAGAATTCATTATGGAATGAGTTCAAATCGATGTGTCATTAAATTTGATGGGAATTCGGCGAGTCCGGTTCTGGTATGGATACGTCTACATAATGCATAAAGGGCAATGGAGAACCCCCGACAGAATCCGACGAACATTGTACAGCGGATCTTCGGGGAGTTGGAGGATATGGGGGAGAGAAAAAAAACCCCGGCAATTTTATGCATCGGATTCGTGTCGGTGCACACGTATCGGAAAATACGGGAAAATACAGGACGGTCGAAACGAAAAATCGAGAAAATTTATTAAGGATCGCCCTAAAAATTGTACCGAATAGCGAATTGAATTTTTACATCGTATAGGTGAGTTTTTTTAATAGGAAATGAGGATTGTATATGGAGGAGGAGAATTCGTTTAAATTTCGGTCGGACTTACCCTCGAAGGCGCTCAAATAAACTCGAGAGTATCGCAAATCTGGATCGCGCAAATAGAAAAAAAAAAGAGAGAAGGTCCGGAAGGCCACTTTGGCCCGAAAAAGTCCCGAATAAATCCCGGCCGGCTCTCGCGGAGATCCGAATCCTCGATTGCCGGCGCAATAAATTTATTAACAAAGCTGATTCCGGACCGGGCGTTTTACAGTTTTCTTATTATCGGAATGATTTTTTTGCCTTCGCTTTTATTTGCGGTGCCTCTTGCCCGGAAAATTAACCCGATAAAAGTCGGAAGGACCGGAAAAACGGCCGTTTTCGGGTCCCTCGCCGGCGGATATTTCACCAGCGAGGTTCGAACAGATGCCAGATGTTTGAAATATGCATGGCCCTCGGCCCGGATTCCTCGCCTTCACAACGAAAATTAGGCCGCGCGATCGTCGCCGATTTAAGTACGTTCGAATGAATTATTTATCTATCGGGGAAAAAAACACAGATCGCGATCAAAGGACGAGCAGCGAAGGAAATTCCGGACGCGTGCATGCACTATGCATACCATACCAATTCGCGAAGTCACGGCGTGATACAAGTAAAGCAAATTGAAAAAGCGAATCTGTCTGGTGCAATTGCGACGAGACAACGCGAATTTCTGATGTGCTTTGTGAAAGTTCCAAAGTGTAATATAAGTAGTTCATTATTTTCAGTAGGTGCAGTAGGTTCAGAATAGATTTAGAGTAGAGTAGATTCATAGTTGAATTATATAGTAGATTCTGTAAAAATTCAATGTAGATTACGAGTAGAGTAGGATTCAGAGTGCAATCAGAGTAGAATCAAAATAGAATCACACTAGATTCAGAGTAGAGAAAATTCAGAGTATATTCAGAGGTGAATTATATAATAGATTCAGTATAGTTTCAAGATAGATTCTGTGAAAATTCAGTGTAGATTACGAGTAGAGTAGGATTCAGAGTGCAATCAGAGTAGATTCAAAATAGAATCAGACTATAGATTCAGAGCAGAGTAGATTCATAGTAGAGTAGATTCAGAATAGAGTAGATTTAAAATAGAGAAAATTCAGAGTAGATTCAGAGTTGAATTAGAGTTGAATTAGAGTAGATTCAGTATAGATTCAGAGTAGACTCGGTGCAAGTTCAGTGTAGATTCCCAGTAGAGTAGGATTTAGAGAGGAATCAGAGTAGATTCAAACTAGAATCAGACTAAGATTCAGAATAGAGTAGATTCAAAACAGAGAAAATTCAGAGTAGGTTCAGAGTTGAATTAGAGTAGATTCAGTATAGATTCAGAGTAGATTCGGTGCAAGTTCAGTGTAGATTCAGAGTAGAGTATATTCATAGTGAAATTAGAGTAGATTCAGTATAGATTCAGAGTAGATTCGGTGCAAATTCAGTGTAGATTCCCAGTAGAGTAGGATTTAGAGTGGAATCAGAGTAGATTCAAACTAGAATCAGACTAAGATTCAGAATAGAGTAGATTCAAAACCGAGAGAATTCAGAGTAGGTTCAGAGTTAAATTAGAGTAGATTCAGTATAGATTCAGAGTAGATTCGGTGCAAGTTCAGTGTAGATTCAGAGTAGAGTATATTCAGAGTTGAATTATAGTAGATTCAGTATAGATTCAGAGTAGATTCGGTGCAAATTCAGTGTAGATTCAGAGTAAATTCATAGTAGATTCAGAGCAGAATAGAGTATCTAAACGAACGGTCGAAATATTTATCCCTTTCAATTTCTCTGGTGATTTTTCACGCCGAAAACGAACCGTAATTTCCATTAAACCGCACAAACGATCGGAAAACGGCCGCGTTTTAACGATCCCGCAATCCGGCCGGTCAAAGAAATATGGCAACGAAGCTGAATAATTAAAACTCGATTTGTTTTATATTCGAAATCCATTCAATTACGACGCACATTACCTGAAACCGCACATGCACGTTATAATGGACCTAATAATGGCCCTTTTCGCGTTTGTGAATCGCTCCATGCGGCACAAATTCGCGCCCTTTTATATACATTTTATAAAGCACACTCGAATAAAGATTTGTTTTTTTTTTCTACGCGCTTTTTGAACCGACAACCCTCCCCTATTCGAGTTCACGTTATTACCAGCACGCTTAATTAATTGCGGCTAATAAAGCAACAAAAATCTTTCAATCGCAAAAGTTGAAAATCTCTAATAAAATCTTTAAAATCGGGGCGAACTTTAAATCCGGCTCTAGCGAATTTTTTTTGCTCGCGTTCGTCTATCGAAAACAGTTTAATAAAAGTTGGCGAATTTAACAACACTGCAAGATTGAACTGCAAACTTCCTCGACACTTTTTCGCTGCGAAAATAAAGTTCGCGCGACTTCCGATATCGACTTGTGGACTTTTTTATAGAAAAAACGCCGGTATTTAATTTGCCGGGAACGCGAGAGAAGCGCGGAAAAATCGCGAAGTTTCAGATATTCCTTTGACGCGTCGACGGGAATTTTATTTAAAAAACGAGTTTCTAAATAGTTTGGATTTAATTTAAAATTATACACAGGCGCTCTAATAGGGCGTTTTATTCTCGAATGCAATAAAATATCATCCAGTTCCCGCCTGGAATTTTAACGTATTAGGGACGAAAGGTGAAATCAGGAGAGAGATCAACAAAAGAAACAATCCGCACGAGATAAACATTAACCTGAAAAATTCCGAACGTTCGGGCACCTGGGGCGGAAAGCTTTATTTATCCAGAAAGCCTTTTAGTCCGACGAATTCCCCCCGTTTTTTCGGCGCCTTCGACGTCGAAAATACGGCAGGAAAAACCGCTCCGGAATGGCGGGGAACTACGCAAACTACCGGCCGATCCTGCGACAGGAATTTTCGATTTCCCAACGCACCGCGAGAGGATTTTCGGCAGAAAATTTATACAAGTGCGCCTCGATTCAATTTGCAACTGCCAAGCTACTTTTGATTAGATATAAATACATATACAGAGTGTCACATTAAAATTTGGTACACTCTGTACGAAATGAGAAAAACCCCGGGAACCGTGCATAAAAAAATCAATTTCGCGCCGCTTTCTACGCTCAAATAACGAATCCGAACTTTCCCGGCGATTAATTAAAACGGAGTCACGTCGAATTCTCGCAGGTTAAGAGTCGCCCGAAAGCCTAATGACGCCCTTAAAAACCGCGGAAATTCCGTTTCAAAACCCCACAACGATAAGTCTGGATGACGAGGACGAGCCTTTTTTTTTCCTCGCTTAATGCCTCCAGACGCTTCTTTTTGTGTTATCAAAAAAAACTCCCGGGCCGGGGTTCATTAGTAAAGTTAGTTACCGAAGAACGATAATAACTATATGGAATATACACACTAGGTATAATGGGATACAGTTGGGTGTATTGTTTAAAATTTACTTGTCTGGATAATAAGCAAGAGCTGGGATAATAGGCCGGTACGGAAAGACGCGCGATTCCTTGTTACCGAATGTCTGGAAATTAGGGAGTCAGTTCGTGTTTCTGGAGAGGCACGTGCCTCTCAGATACTTCCCGGAGACGCTTCGAATGCGAGAAGGCCCCTCCGCGAACGTGTTGCAATTTTTCTTTCGTTTACAATACATAGCAATATTTACGTGTGAGGTAGTTTAAAACGAAATTACGTCAATCAACGGGAGCCCGATGATTTTTTTTTTCACTTTTTATTTATTTTTCGACGCGTCGAAATTCCGGGATCGGGGCGCGCTAGACGTGCACCTACAAGCATCCGAAAGGATCACACTCTGTCATCTCCGGGCGAACGGAATCCTTATTTATATCGGGATTATCCCACGTGAACAAATCAGACGGACGAGTTATTTCTCGCCTGACGGACGATCAGGTACGGACCGGGACCTCACCAATAATTTTATGTGTTATTTCTTCAAATAAGAAACGTCAATTTTATGCACACATTTATTTTATATCAACTTGTTGAATACACTCTTTATTAGGTATTTGTATAGTAGATATATCGAATGTAGCTTGGCAGTTGTAAAGTGCATTAGATGCGTAGAAGGGTGCTTAAAGGGCGGTGCAAAATTGTCTTTTTTATACACGATTTCTGATTTAGTGAAGGTTTTTTTCCATGGTAAAATAAATTTTTAAAATTCTGTATAAGGTGTACAAAAAAAGCGTTTTTTAATGAGCCACTCTGTATGCATTATTGCTACATAATTCTACCACATCAAATGTGGCTTGACAGTTGAAAATTGCATTCGAGGCGCAAAGAGGGAAGAAAGATGGACAAAGTTCAAGAAAGATAGAGCCGAATCAAACTATATATAAGCCACTGGAAATCTTGCGATCTTTACTCTTCGATCGATTAGTGTCAATTAAACTCTCTTAACCTATCCTCGCCCTACTTTAAATTAAACTACAGCGCAATTTAAAAAAAAAATGCAGCTGCCAAGCTACGTTTGATGAGTTATAGGTACAAATGAGTCCCCCTTAGAGCGCCTCTGCGCCTTTTCGCTCGCAAATTGAACGCAAACGCTCGCTAACAAATTGGGATCGTAGACAATAAGACTCTCGCAAAGAGCGCACAATTCGCTACGAAAGACGTATTTTCACGGTAGGCAAATTATATTTCCTCTCGAATCTCGCCGGCGCGAAGTCGCGCGAACTTTAATCAACGAAAAACTCGAATCTCCGAAGCCGTAAAAAATCCGGATTTCTGCAAGTAGCAGTCGATTCGTGTCCGATTCGGCGTCATCAACAAGACGAATGCGCGGAGAAAAACAACACATAATAAATAGCATTAACTCGTGAAAGCTTTTAAATTTCGGTTCGGCGCGAACTTTTCGCGAAAGCAATTTGAGATATTACGCCTTTCCCGGGCGCGAGTCGAGAAAAACTCGCCGCGGCTTTCTCGCCCCCGCGGCGCTTTAAACTTCTCTCTAAAAGCCGATTTTTCTTCTCGTCCTCCTCGGCTTTTTTGCCGCCACAAAACGCTCGTACCGACGAAAATCGCATGCATCTCCTGCAGGATATAAAACGTGACGTTTCCCTATGGAAACGAGCCGCGACTGCGGTCAAACTAATACACTCGCAGACGATGCACGGCTGCACTACCGGCATTAAAACCGCCGCCCTGTTAAGTTTCCGGGAAAGTGCTTGCGGTCCGTCGCGGCGTCGGGACGTGACGCTACGCCTTTCTGGAGACGTCGAACGCCGTTTGATCTGTCGCTTTACAATCGACGATATAATTAAACGGCATAGTTAGATAGCAGCAACTAAGGGAGTTATATTAGCTGTATATGAACGTTACCAAAAGGCCAAGAACTAGAACGAAGAATGGCTCTGTAGTTATACAGAAGAGAGCTGGGTTAGGGCGTCGCGGCGCTTTATAATAGCTGTATGCCCTTTTACCATGAGGCTAAGAAGTAGAAAGAATAAGGGTTGACCTTGTTTTTCGGGGACGCGGGTACGGTCAGTCGAAGGGTTGAATGGTGGAAGGAAAGGGTTGAGTCGTGAATGGTAAATAAGCGGAAGGGTTGGAAGAATAAAGGGAGAAATCGAGTGCTAATCAACCGCCACTCGTCTCTCGAAAATTGCCCGGTTACAATCCCGATGCGAAAAAAATTAGGGAGGGAGTTTATTTGTTTTGCTACCCTTCGACGCACGCGGGTAATTCCCCGGGACGTTCTGCATAGTAAGTGAAACGTTAATTACTGGCGTTTTAATGAATGCTCCATTCGGCGCGTTTTGACAAATTTTCGAATTTTACCGCCCGCAACAAGTCGGGATTCCTTTGTGCGCTCGAAACGTTCATTTGCGCACGCGAAATATTTGAACGAAATCATTTTTTTTTCCAATTCTCGCAATCAAACAGTGATAAAAATCAACGTTTCGCATATTCAAATAAATCCAATCGAACAAATACAACATATTCGACGGCGAAAAAAATGGATTTCGATAAATAAAACGGCTTCCCAAATTATCGTCATAAACTCGCATCATAACGCACCCAAAAAATACAAAAATTTACACGACAATCTTCCACCCTTTTTGTTATACGAGAACTAAAAATAAAACGATCCGATGTCGTAAACATAATTAGATCCGAGCCGATGAAACGGCGTAATGAATATAATTAGGAAGTGAATTATACTAAAACCGGTTGGCCGTCGCTTTGCGAAACAAAACGCGCCTGAAAAACGAAAAAAAATAAATAAAATGCGAGCGAACAGGACGAAGAAGAAACGCCGAAATCCGCCGCCGGAATTTAATTCCCGCGACGAAACGCAACACAGCCTGTTAGCAAAGACAACGAATATTATTTGTCCAGCTCAGGACCTAAGTACATCTGTAAGGCGCATAACTACAGCACTAATCTTTAATTTTGTATGTTAAAAAACATTTTTTTATTTGCAGTTAACAACAAAATGCACTAAAAGAATCAAAACGTTTAATTATAGAACACATTTCCACAAAAAAAAGCTCTATTTTACACAACAAATACCTAACTAAACTGAACTCGATATAGACGCTTTTTAGGACTTCCTGTAAAAATGATTGTGAATGTGAACCGTATGGGCTTTAACTAAAATGATTTTATCATCGGAACTGCCGCTCCTGCCATCCTCCTCTAACCTATCCCCGTCGCCTTCGCTTCTATTATCGCAGGATATAATAGTAACGGACCCGTCCGATTTGATTTTGATCCGTTTGCGCGCCTCATTGCTCTGCTGGTCCACCTTCTTTCCATCGCCGTCGTCGATTTTCTCTTCAAACGAAACAACAATAAATCAACGCGATCGAACCACCCCGCTTAAATACCTGTCGAAGGCTCCCTCTCCGCCTCGTCGGTGGCGGCGCCGCTCTCGAGCAGCAGCTGCTCGAGCACCTTCCGCTTGTAGGACAACGGGCCCGGCTTCAGGATCGACTTGCCCGGCTTCGGGCTCCTCCCGCCCTCCGGCGGCTGCCTCGACACCTTCGACATACCGCCCGATTGTTGATTCACCAGCCGCACTCACGGCCGGATTCGTATTATTAGACGTCCGACTGACGTGCGCTCCTCTTTAGTGTCCACTAAGCTGCTTGTTGAAGGGTTAGGATTTTGTCAAAAGCGACGTCAGCTCGATTTGACATGCCTCGCAGGAAATCCACGAGCGATGTTTCCACGCAAACGGGCCGGCTCGATCCGGTGGTGATGTTGGAGAGGCTGCCCGAGGAAAACGGCGCGCTCGCGGCGCTGCCGAAGAGGATACCCAAGCGAACTCGGTGCATATGCAAGCTGCCGAAGCGGTACTGCCAATTCGCCGAGTCCATAAGCAACGAGTGCGCGATGAATTCCACGTTGCAGGAGAGGAAGCGGCCGCGCAGAGGGAGCAGAAGTAGAGCCGCGAAAGGTAGGAAGAAGAAGGTGAAGTTCAGCGCGCCCGCGGCTGAGGAAAACAAAGCGGAAGAGGAGGACCTGGAAGTGCCGGTGATGTTGGACGATGCCGGTGATGATTATCTTCTTAACGAGTGCTCGCCTTTGTTGAATTTGGACGCGATCGAACAGGACACGGAGGAGTTGGTGTTGTCGTTCGATGAGGAGGAATTGTTCAGGTAATTACACTATACTGTTGATACTAAATTACAACCCCGTTTTGTAGGAGTTTTCAAGAAGATAATAATAAAGTAGTAAATAAGGAAGAAACTCGAAAGCGGTGTAAAGATAGCGTAGAGAAGCAAGAGGAAACGTTGGAAGGCAATATTAAATGTACAGAAGTATCGGCTGTTAATATTCACATTCACTGCCATTTTTACGATTAAGTTTTAACGGGACATTTTAACGAATAAAAGTTTTAGCATTTTTTCGGGAAGTTTGTAGAAAAACAGGCCCTATTGGAGGATTTAATACGCCGACGTTGGCATCGATGCGAAACGTTCCGTTCCAATATTTATAATGCATTCCCCCCATATAAGACCGCCGAACGGGGCGGCGAAAAGTGGCTTTCATTCGAATCCGAAATCCAAATTTGTATTTACATTAGTTATCTGGAAATCCGGCGGAACTTCCTCTGCCCGCCGAGCGGGCGCTACACAGAGAGGATTTCAATACATTTACATTTACATTTACATTAACGCGGATAGGCGCATTTTTCGTTTTTTCATCAGTCTTCTTTTCATCGCCATCCGAACGTCCCGTTTGTTTTCGTTGCCCGTTTCCCGCCACAATGCGACGCTAATTAAATTTCTTAAAAAAATTGTCCCGCGGGAATAATTTTCGTCCGGCGCGATTAAAGGGAAATAACAAAAAAAAACACCTGCATCCTTTCGCCCGAGGTCCTTACAAACGATATCCCTCATATACTATACAGGGCGGTTCAAAATCGATGCGTCGATGTGACGCTAAAAATTAAGGCTCTTTGTATCGGTTTATTGTGGATATATAGAACAGAACAATTTGTTTATATAGCCTACAGGTCGCATCATGCTGGTGAAAATCGAAAATTAACGAGGTTTCCAGTTGGATTTTTTCCAATAGATAGAGTGCAATTTAAATATTTACCCCTCGGGGCTCCCGCAATGGCGCGTTATCGCAGCAACGAACATACGCGTACGGATGGCCTCCAGTAAAACCAAACAGCAGCTGCACGAGCGGGGAAAATTGTCAATTTTTTTGCGTGTAGGTGCGTCTTATGCGGCGGTCGAAGGGCGCGAGATTAAAAATTAATTAAACCGGAATTTTAGGCCGAAACTGCCGCTTAAACCTAATCTCCCCGGCGGAGCCGTTCAGTTATTCATGGACCGGCGCCATTACCATATTTAAATTGCACGACAGACCTAAGAAAATCGCGCGCCAGAGCCGGTTCCGGAGGTCTTTCCTAATTAAAACCGGCACTGGAAGTACGACGATGGGAAAATGAAATTCGTTGGCGCTTTTCGCGAGCAAACGACGGCGGATTCGGCGCTGGATCGGACGCGGTTGAAAAAATAATTCTTCGACGGTTATTTATGGACGCCGGGGGGTATGTCTTTAGTGCGCCTGCTTTCGCGTTGTTTTTCCCGAAACATCAATTATTAAGCGCCGCCATCCGTCTTCCCGCTGCGTAAAAATGATGAAAGTTTTCCGCATTTTTTTCCGTAGGCATTAAAAAAATATCATCAAAAGCTCTTCTCTCAAAAGGTAAATTCGGCCGGGTAGTAATTCAAAGCCGATTCTAGCGCTAGTGGAAAAGTTCGTGGCTATTGTACCTCAGCAAATGTAGCTTGGCAGTTGGAATTTTAGTGGTATTGGATGTAAAGTAAGAAAATTTGAAGATAGCAGAAGGTAAGTTAAGAGAGATTGATGAGTAAAGATCTTCTTCAATGAGCACAAAGGGGAAAATAGATAGATCAAAATTAAAGAAAGAGGAGTCTCTTACTAAAAATGTAATATATTACCTAGTGGTGTAGTTTATCTGGGAAAACCTTGGAAAATTAAAGGAAATAATTTAATCGCCGCTACTGCATCAAATTGTACCATCCGGCATTTCTCAAATTGTAAAATATTTGAGAAATGCTCCCTCTTTAACTTTGTTCACGTTTTCCTCTATTTGCACATCTTATCAATTTTTTAACTGCCAAGCTACATTCGATGAGGTATAATTACTCTTTCAGTAACTTTTTAGTGTCTTTGGAAAAGAGACTCTCTATTTTTAATAGTCTTTAATTGTCCATGTTTCTTCCCCTTTTTATACCCATCTAATGCAATTTACAATTGCCAAGCTACGTTTGATGAGGTAATATTACTTTTTTAGTAAGAAACTCCCTCTTTAACTTTGGTCTATCTATTTTTCCCTTTGTGCTTATTTAAAGCAATTTTCCACTGTCAAGCTACATTTGATGGGGTATACAAAAATTTGACAAATTTACGAGAGAGTACAGTAATATTTTTTTGTGTAGCGAAAAACCAATTTTTCACCACGCCTAATGCGGCTTCAACGGTTTTTTTATTAGCGCGTAATAAAAACGCCAAAAAGTCCGAAACACACTACAAATTGACTGTCGAATGTTATATGCAAATTAAAAACTATATTTACCGCTTTTTTGCGCCGATTCTTTCAATGTTTTTCGCCGGTCATTCGCGTCGTCTCGCATCGAAATTTCCGGGCGGCGCGGCGCAATTTTCGGCGCGGCTTTTCATCCGTTTTCCCTTGTATATATATTTTTTCCGGCGATTGTTAATTAGAATGCGCGGTAATAACGCGTCAGTGAATTGTACGCAATCCGTTTTTTCCGACCCTTTCGCCGAATTATTCCACCCTTTACAGCCGAAATTGTTTCCCAAATTAACCGTATAGAACGAAATAAAAGACGGGCAGGATTCGTCCTCTACGAGGATATTTCCGAATAAAATACAAAATACACGCGGAAATTTCCCCCGAGCGATAACTGATGGCTAGTTTCGTTTCCTTCGGTCTCTAACTGTCGAAACTTAAATGGAGGAATGCGATTCGAAAATTACTTGTTATGCAAATTTCGCCTCCGTCCCGTTTCCGCAAATTGTTTGTTCGCTCCTTTTCCCCGACTCCGGCGAAACTCGCTAGCCGGGAAACTTTTTCAATAAAATTAACTTACTCTCATCGGATATGATACCGCGCGTTTCTATAAACAATATAAAAAAAATCCCTGCAACATTGGAACTTTTAATCCATTAAAACCGGCAAGATTAAAGTACGTTGTGTAATAAGCAAGAGTAGAACTGGTTGCATAACTATCTGGATGATAATACAGATAAGTGCAAATTTATACGCAATATGGTCTATACATAGTGTTAATTAATTAATTGTGAATACTTGGGGGATTTTAAGAAGAAAAGTTTATATCAATATATGTCCTAAACCTCTTAATTTTGGAGCTACAGGGTAATTTCAAGAAGAAAAAAACTTTTTTATCATAATTTTCCTATTACTCCAGATATTTTTATGAAATTTTGTACGCACTTTTTAAACATTAAGGAGCATTTTTTGAGAAAATAGATTTTTTTAAATTTTTACCAGTGACGTCCGCACGGGATTTGAACTGAATATATTTGGAGAAAAAATGGCACTCCACTGCTTTTTCTAAAAACCAAAATTATTTTTAAAATCCTCATTTATTTTGGAGTAAATTCGGTCTGAAGACTTACTTTAGTAAGACGCATCATTTTCGCATAAAAAAATAAAAACCAAAACACTTTTCTCCCAAGTTCATTGAGATTGCTTTTAATATTTCGTTGAAATTTGGTAGGTGCTCCCCATGCATGGAAACACTTTTTTTGGGGACAAAAATGAATTTTGTACTATTACCAGTGACGTCCACGTCCGAAATTTCATAAAAATATCTGGAGTAATAAGAAAATTATGACAGAAAGTTTTTTTTCTAAAACTGTAATACCCTGTAGCTCGAAAACTAAGAGTTTTAGGACAAATATTCATATAAACTTCTCTTCTTAAAATCACCCAAATATTCACATCCTGAAGCATCAGCACTCATTTAATTAACACCCTGTATGGGTTAGTAAATTAAAGTTTGCAAATTACAAAACTGCCACATTAAATCACCTAAGCAGTTTCCAATACACTGCTAGTTTGAGTTGATGGTGAGCCACCCTGTATATACAGCATGTAAATCCGTGCAGCCCACGGGCTGTCGCAGCCCGACATCCTCCTATTTGTACATTATTAGTCAAATTACACCGACGGACGGCGGTTCTCGCAGCCGACCGCACGTACTGATCTATCCAAAGCGCCTACGCCTAAGAGGCGTCGGCGTCGGGACGCGGGGAACCAAACAGCCTTCGGGGAATCCTGGGGGGACGGTTTCGCTAGGGACAAGAGCCGGTGCGAGTTAATACTAACAGGGTGTGTTATTAGGTAGTGTCTAAGCGACCGAAGGGTGTGTGTTGAGATCAAAATAAAAATCCCCAAATCTGCTAAATTTTAGCTAAAATGTATTGAGCGGTGTAAGTTCTATAGTAGTAGTTTCATCCCCCTAAATTCGTCGCGATTGTTAAGATAACATTTCGGTTTCTAATTAACTTACTTAGTAGATACAGCTCTATATCGGGTTTCGGTAACGTTCCATTCCTATATTTTACGGACCTAATATTCTTCGGTTTAATTTCCGCAGGGCGTCGCCGGCGCAGTAGTTGGCTCGCATTATTATATCTTTAAATAGTTATAATCCGGTATTTACCTCGTTTAATAACGTTTTGACATCTGGCGCGAAACGGCGCTCGCTATTATCGCATCGCGGATAATTGCGCAGATGGTCCGCTATTGTGTGATTTTATTGCGCCCGGGAAAGGAGCAGTTTCGCCCCGAAACCGTCGCCGTTAGTTCGTTAGAAAAATATTACTCTATTATCTAACGAACGGCAGATTATACCGGTATACAGTCGGTGCAAAACAAATATCAATGCACGGCACCTATGATTTACTGCGTCACAAGTAGACAGTGTTGCCGAAGTTTTATGGAGTTTACAAAATCTAAGAAGTTTCTAAAATTGTCAAATGGGAAAATGACATGAACAAATTGAAAATTAGGGGTAACTGTTTCACGTTTCTAAACGCGGGACGTACTCAGGGGCTCACTTTAATTAATCATAAAATTCCTTTATCATCTGAAATATATTTAACAGTGCGAGTAAAAAATTTAGTGTACAATTGACCCTTAAAAGAGTACATAGTGAAATTTCTGAGAAAACTTCTGAATTTGAATCACTTAGAGCTCAAATTGTGTCATTTCTAACATGTGGAAAAGATAACTACGCAAAAAATTCTTATTTCTTGATTATTTGGCTAAATAGCCTTTAGTAGTTGAGGCTAGTAAACTGGAAAA